GATACGAGTACCACATTGATGAATACAAACGTTTGATCGGTATACTCGAGTACTACCTACTATAAGCGACTTCATCCACTCATTCTTAGATGAATGTTTGGAGATCATTAGCGTAGCCAGTTTAGCTATAGTCGATAGATATCTCTGACTTTATAGCCGTAGAATAGCTTTAATAAGAGAAAGTTATCTAGCACCCTAATTCTGTTATCTAGCACCCCAGCTTAAGCGTGGGCTACTGCCAGTATCATTTCTATTACTACTGCTACTACTACTACTACTACTATTATTATTATTTTCGAATATATAGTATTTAGCAGTTGTGTATATGTATATGTTTTTCATTACGTAGACTGGCTGCCTTATTGCGTTATAGCTAAGGTGTTGGATCATGAAATTGGAGTGCTGAATAATGTTTCCCTTCAAAAACACTATCGCTCTCATCCAGAGCATCTAACTTCGCCACAAGCTCGATGTTCCGTGGCTTTGCGAGTATACGTAAAATGATATCACGGGCCTCTTCGTGTCTCATGTTGATTTCTGAGGCATTTTCTTGACGTTGTTGGTAAAAGGCTTCTTGCATAACATCCCAATGGACTGCACCATCCCGCCTTGAAAACGGACACTCGTCTGCGACTGGTACGCCGCTCCACTGGCATATGGCGCTCCAGACAAGATTAAGTTTAGCTGTTAATTTCACAGGATATTGCATATTAGGATCAATCTGACTTTTAAGCCAATACTATTAACGAGATTTAGCAGAGAGCTGGAGTTAAAATCGCTTAGGGTGTTTTGCAGTGTCAGAATGCTGTACAATAGTTCAATCAGGTTCCTAACGCAGTACTAGGCATAGGCTTAAAGTGAACATGGTGGATGTTGAGGTTTGAGTTTGCCGGCGGCGCCTGACATAATGTTACAGAAAGTCATGGTGCCATGGCTGGAGAACTATCGAAGCAAGTCGCCGGAAGTTATGTTGGGCGATGGGACTTCTGTCTCCTCGTGGCATGGTGGTGCTTACAAAGTCGTACTAGGCGGTGCTCAAATGGATAGTAAACTCTCGCCGGTTAGGCCCAATAAGGAATCGGAACGGGACTGACGATGCAGTACTACAGTCACTTTTAGCATAATATTCAATGCAAGAGTGATTTATACTTACATTGCTGCTGGTATATTATTTATAGTGTTTTTAAGGAAGACCTTTATAGATGAGATTCATTGTGCGATGCTTAGTTCTACCCCGTAATTTAACTGGATGTACGTGTATTTGCGTGGTTGATCTGCTGACGGCAGAATTAAAATCCGTGAATGCAAGTCCAGCTCACAGTTTGAGGATTTATGGAGCACTTTTGACACAGGGAGCGGCATAAATGAAGTGAAGCTAGGGTGAATGTTTGAGGACTAAAGGCGAATAAGTAATGCTGTGGGGACCTCTCAGAACACATTAAATGGGAGACGTTGTTCAGCGCCCTAATCTCAGTATCTAACACTGTTTGATCGTTGTCAGCCGATACGATCAAGGTCAACAGTATCAAAGCTATCTTGTTTGATCGCGGCCACCCTGTTTGATCGTTGTCGGAAGATCAAAAGGTAGATGCACAAGATAGCCTTGGGGATTGTCGCCGCGAACAGGTTGATGTTACAAAAGATCAAGGCGAGTGTTCATTTCCTCCGGCGTCTCGTATGGATCAGCATTGTTAATGGTCTTCGATATTGAGGTCGTCAAATTTGAATTTCCTCTTTCTTATGCCGTTCCCTTCCACTTCTTCAATGGTAATTCGGTTGATGCACCTCAGAAGCCCAACATGGTCGGTATCCATCTCTGCGTCTCCAGCCGTCCAGCTGAAGCGTGGGCCGCTGCCAGCTACTGCTGCTATTGCTGCTATTGCTGCTATTGCTGCTATTTTTAAACGTATGGTATCTGGCGGTTGTGTATATGTATTTTGATATGTGGAATGACTACCTGATTGCGCTATAGCTGGAGTGTTAGATTATGAGATATTAGGGTACCGGCTGACAGCGATCAAACAAGGTGAGCAGCTTTGCTTGCCCTTATGAACGCTTCCAGCGAGCATCAGACTTGTTGTGTGCTTTTTTTATAGTACAGGCTTATCGATCTGAGGTAGATGGCTGTTGGAAGATAGGCTCTCCTCCGTTGTAAGGCCTAGGGCTCGGGGCTCCGTGGCAATTTTCTACTCCTTGTTTGAGCACAGCTGTATTCACATCGCCTGCTTCTGGCTTGGATGCCTCGCCCTCCATCTTATCCTCATATTCGTCAAAATGCTCATCCATTCCTGTCAAATCGATCCCCATATCCTCTAGCATAGCGTCACGCTCGCTTTCTGCCCATGTATCGCTTTAGAGTCCTCGGCCTCTTCCAAGACTCGCTGCTGAATATCCTCGGCTAGCTGATGAAAATCATTGTTATATGTTTGCCGGCCAGAGAATTTTGCTGATCAGAGAAGCTAAACACAGACGACTGGCGCAAAACCTAAGCTGACACTAATTTAATCAATATACAAGTGCAAAGGGCGCCGAAACAAGAACGCCAGGCAAGTTGCAGAGACGAAACAATGCTGTGCTGGCAGAGAACAAAGGAGGAGGGTGCTAGTGCCGCAGATAAACAAAGCAGGGCGTGAAAAAGAGGAGGAGAGGGGGGAGAAAAAAGAAGAGCAGCAAAAGGAGCAAGAGGAAGAAGTAAATAAACAAACTATGTATTTCAATGGGGAGAGCTTATCCAGCACCACAATTTTTCTATTCTTGCGATTCCTTGGATGAAGAGACCTCTTTAGCCGCAGGTTGTGTTCCATATGGTATTGGGTGAGTATCCGTAAACTGTAGTTTGCGGCAAGCTCTGCTGCCTCCGTCTGGGCAGTCTTTGGCAAATATGTCTGCGCGGGAGGAACTGTAAATGTACTCTTATTATGTATATTTACGACACTTAAAATTATCCATGTTAGGAGGCTCTGGGCACTCTGCGATCTTATATCCCGATTGGCGGCTCACTATTAGTGTTTAATCAGCGTGTTAGAGGATAAAAGAAAGACTTACCCGCATTTATTGCAAGTAAGTTTGTCAACGCGTGGCTCGGGGCCTATGAAACTGGTTAGAAATTAAATGATGATAAAGTAGCACTATAAATTACAGTCTCTGACTCAGTGACCTTCATTGCTGCAGTTGTAGCACGAGATTTTTGACAATTCCAAAGTATACTCAACTCGTTCTGGGGTGTAGGCCTTAGACGTATAGCCGAGCTCGCCACATTTATAACACAAGATCTTTGGCTTTTCTAAAGCATACTCAACTCATTCTTAGGTGCAGGCCTTGACATATAGCCAAGCTCGCCACAGTTGTAATACAAGATCTTTAGCTTTTCCAAAGCATGCTCAACTCGTTCTTGGGTGCAGGTCTAGAACGTATGGCCGAGCTCGCCACAGTTATAGCGTTTAGGAAGGCCTCTGTTGATAACCATTCCTGCATCATCTAAGCGAGATAGAGGGATGAAAATTCTTAAAGACAATAAATTTTTTATCCCACATTAGTTTTCGGTGCATTTTGCATCACAACGAACTCCTGCGAGAAAATTATGTCCTCGGAGACAACAGAAAGAGCGTGTGAGCAAATGAAACTGCTCCATGCCTATGTCTAGTCAGTGACACGATAGAAGCGAAATGAGGCGCCTCACGTTGAGCTCAAGCTGAGAATGTCGCGCTGCCACTTTATAGTTCCCAAATCTTCACAACTCCGTGACATTTGAATGCGCTTAGGCAGTAGATTTTCGTCAGAATTACTACTTGCCTTAGATATACCTCTCCTCCCTTAGTAAATAGGTGAGAAATCCTGTACCTCTAGGCAATCGCTGGGAGATACTATCTCGTGCCAGTTGCTAAGTTTCAGAAGGCACTCCCCTCTTACTCTGGTACGCAGCAGTGAATTGTGTCAGCGTTGGCCTGCCAACAGCGCCATAATTCCTTCCATGTGTGGTAGGCATTGTGTCTAATATAAGCAACTGCCTGTTCTTACAGTAACGCGCCCTTGCGCCTTGTGTGCTTAATTAAGACAAGTGCCCGAGAATCGGATATCAAGGTTTCTTCGTCAACGGCAAGATGTAGGTGATAAAACGGCCCGTTCCAAACGGGGGTAGTTACAATAGCCCCATATAATGGCAAATTGTCGGATGAGTCACAACCACAGGAGAAGCCCTTATAGCTCAGTGGTAGAGCGTTGCACTTGTAATGCAAAGGTCCATAGTTCAATCCTGTGTGGGGGCACATCTTTTTTTGAGCATCGTCATGGCATGTTTCTTTTTGACTACCCTCTTGATAGAATTCATCTACTTCAAAAGAAAAAAGAAGGGCATCTTTCATCATAAAGCGTTAGCAGACTGGGCTAGATGGAGATAGCTTTGAATTTCGCTGAACAAGAGAGTATGCTACCTCTTCTGGATAAAGGAGACTCGAATATGGCCAAGCACAATGGAAAAGAAAAGGTTGCGCTCGTTGCTAGTAAGTAAAGAGGCAGCTGCCAGATATTTCTAAGTGACAAGCGCAGATCCTTAAACAGATGAAAAATAGAGATAAATAGAAATAAATCGGTATAAGTAAGACTAAGCTTGCTGGTAAACAATCCCATAATACTCTTTCCTACGACAAGCCAGCGCGAAATGTACACTGCGAAAATATCTTTGAAGTGCTGTTACAAGCATACCAGGCATTTTGAGTGAATCTGGTAGATTGTATCTATCTATTTGAAGTGATCAAAGGCATCGGAACGGAGCTACCGAGCCGCTTTCGTAATCAATCTGCACTGGGAGCAAAGCCGCCCCACTTATCGGCGCGCGCTCTCATCAATTTTCCAGAGGCCAAAAAAAAAGTTCCCAGTAAAAAGGCGACACCCAATTTTCGGCATTTTCTCTGTTATTATACGTTGACGCAGGAAGGCTATACTTCATATCGCGGATTTATTTAAGAACTCGTATCTGAAGTTTTAAGTCTCCAAAAACAAATATGCCTGGACGAACAAAGGCGCAGGACGATGCTTCGTCTCACGACGCTGATATGCAAGACGTCCCACCTTCTGCCCAGGAAGAGATTGGTCAGGATGCCGAAATGAGGGAGGATGCCGAGGCTGAAGAAGAGGAGGAAGAGGAAGAAATTGAGGCTCAGAGAGTGCGAATTGTATGACAAAAGTCCGACACATCTAGAGAGCCTTCAGTTCACTAATAGAAATGACAGCTTCCTGGCTCAACGGACACTGCGGCTTCATTTGAATTCACCGATGAGGGCCATACACTGGGCAATGCCCTGAGATATATCATCATGAAAAAGTATAGTTCCTTCACTGGCACCGTTCAGTTCATCGAAGCTAATCTCTCTCAGCCCCGACGTGGAATTCTGCGCCTACTCCATTCCTCATCCATCTGAGCCCAAGATGAACATCAGGATACAGACCTATGGTAAACCCTCGTTTTTTCCTTCATGATGTTAATCCCCGCTGACTCTTTTATTCAGATGGAACGGCTGTGAATGCCCTAAAGAAGGGCCTGAGTGATCTGCAGGATGTATGCGATGTAGTGGCTGAGAAGTTCTGGTCAGAGAGACAAAGCTTCAACGCAGAGCAGGGCATTGAGCGATGAACGACTGAGATGATGGTGGAGAAAAGAAAGCGCATTTAATGGTCATCGGACTGCTATCAGAGTGGCGTATCGAACGGACATTTGTATATGGACATTATGCGAATTCAAGGCGTTATATGGCAGGTTTTGACATAGGATCTTTATAACGATATATTTACAAAAACAAAATTTCTTGCATTGCTTCTAATTTCGGCCCTGTTGATTCTCGTTAGCCAATATTCTTTATCCCCGCACTGCATCACCCCATAAACTCACCTCCAAGAAACCAGACATGAAGCTAGACGGAAGCCTCTTGTCTCCTCTAAAGTTGTCGTTGAAATAAGACAAGATATGAGTCTGCTGCTTCCAGAAGTTCATGGTTTCCTACATCCCCGCCATCCATTAGCAAGCCGTTTCCTTCCTATTGCCTTAGCCCTTTTTATTCGCTGGCAGCAGCATTCGTACCTGGTATTCAGCGTGGGATTTGAAGAGGAGCACGTCGACGACAGAAAGGTTGCTCGCGTGTCGGTTTCGTTCAAACTCTTGTCGCATCCGTGTTCGGAGAGCGGAGACGGGTAGAGGGACATTGTACATTGTCTGGATTTCAGGTGCCTGCATTCTCTCAATTAGATTCCAATTCTGCGGTATATAATAACGGTCCTCAAAAGGAGTAATCTCCAGTTCTTCATCGGCACATAAGCTTGAGAGGGGATTTCGTGGAACGTACGCCTCGGATCCATTCGCGGTAGGAAGAAAGGACTCGACGTTTCGCATCCGCCCAACTAGTGGCTGATTGGCTCTGTTAGCTTCAGGAAAGTAGGGAATTGGCTGCAAGGCTCACATTGCGCCGTCTTCTTGGCGAATTCAGTCGGTGAAATGGCCATGGCGGGCAATCTATGCTTCTCAGCGCAATCTCTATAATGCCGTGACGTTGAATTGGCACCAGTAAAGCATGCTCGGCTTGGAGCATCGAAGTTCACGTGATTCGGCGCCAACTTCCGGTTGCGCCACACGATATTTGCCCCTCGCCTGTGGCTTAGCTCAGCCTTCTCGACGCGCTTCTGGAACTTCCTACTAAGCTCGGTCCTGGAACTTGACATAAACTTGCTCTTGATCTTAATCTCGATCTCGCATCAATTTTTGGGTGGCATCCTGCTTCCCTCTCTCCACAAAGCATTTTTACTCTGTTCATTCACCTAAACCCCAATGCCAGCCATCAGACACTCCTCGAAACGAAAGCCGCCGCCAGAGGGCTTCAGCGATATCGAAGATGATCTCTTGATCTTTGCGAACAAGATGAAGGATGCGCAGAACAAACCTCCGCCTCCCGGCCCAAAACACATGGCGCAGTGGGAAATCTTCCAGATTGCGCATCAGAGAAGCCGCTACGTATACGATCTGTACTATGAGAAGGAGGCCATCAGCAAGCAACTTTACGAATGGCTGCTCAAAAATGGATACGCTGATGCGATGCTCATCGCGAAGTGGAAGAAGCAAGGTTACGAAAAGGTGAGTTGCCGCGTAGCATTCTGTCCCCTTTCATCTTTGATATCGGTATACTGACATATACTTAGCTCTGTTGCTTGCGCTGTGTTCAAACCAAGGAAACCAACTTCAACAGCACTTGCATCTGCCGAGTACCAAGGGCTCAGCTGAAAGAAGATAGCGACATGCAATGTGTCAGCTGCGGCTGCAGAGGATGTGCATCCAGCGACTAAAGGGGAGCTATACTCTTGAATTCCGAAAATTTGATTCAATATACAGATATGAGCCGGAGAATGGCCAGTTAAAGGCGTTGGGGCGTCGGGCGTCAAATTACGATTGAAATGCTCCGATTGCGGAGAAAACAAGAGAGAAAATATAGATTGGGTATTGGGTTGAGACCGAAAGAGGTACATATCCTTTATTTTGGCTGAATACCATTTTTCCATAATGTTATGCTGATTATTTCTTCACAATATCCAGTTCACTCCGTTTGATTCCCTCCGTTACCTCTTTGAGAAACCTGCTCGGCCTCGACCGAATCGGACGCTGGTTGGTACGAATTGTAATGCTGACATGGCTCCAGTAAGATCTGCCATATCAGTGTCTGATGTCTCCGGCTTCGCCGTGCCACTATCTGCCGTAGTGGAAGGCTGTGATGGCTGTGATTTGTTATCGGGCTGTGACGCCTCCTTTTCCAGGGTATTCGCGCGGCGCCTTAATTCCTTCGCTTGTGATTGAGAACCAGCCGATGATCTGCGCCTACGGCTAGCTTCTATTAGAAGAGAACGCTTCCCATCAATTCCGTCCTTTGTGACAGCGAAAAAGAAGTTCCTCGGGTAAAAGTGCTTGTCGATCAGATGGAGTCGCCTCTTCTGGGGAGTCATGCACTTGCGCTCGCATCCCTCAACAAAACAAGAATACTGAGTTGTGTTAGAGGTATTATTTTCCATGGCACAGCGTGGGAAGCATCGCTTACTGTGTGCTCTCCCTTTTCTCTAGCGACTCTCGCCAGAGGGTCATGACACTCTTCAATGTGCACATTGAGAAGATGATCTGTTGGAAAATTCTTACGGCATTCAATACACCTGTTTGTGTGAAAATTGTGGTAATGGGTCTCGTAATCGTCGTAGAACCGGAATCCAATCGGTTCTCTGTGGGGAGGTAGTGAGCATCTCATGACGAATCCGGCTTCCTCGTCTTCAACGGCCGAATCAAGGCCAGCGATTTTGGAGACGGGTCGGAGATCGACGTCAGCCTCTGCTAGATGAGGAGAGTCTGCGTCTGGAGGATCGAGTTCTAAATGCTCTTCCGGCTCTCGTGAGCGCTTCATCTTTAAAGATATTCAAAGGCGAGCTATATGGGGTAAAATACTTTGATTCCCGCCAAGACCAACGATATTGTGAATGAAGCAAGGCGGGGGGACGGGTAGATGCAGAAGCAGCGGGACGTGGATGTGGGGGAATACTACTAAGTAACTTGAAGCAATTTGGCTGAAAAAATACTAGTAGATAAATATCAATAACGCAGTCAAATACAAGCAAAAGGGTCGACTCAGGGTGTCTAAATGAGGAGGTGAATGTTGTAAGTTGGGAAATGCCTGCCCAACTTTTGGAGTGGACTTTGCCCCACACTTTGCCGTACTTGTGCAGGTCGTTAGCGCCACAGGGTCCAGAGCGAGACCGAAGTGCAGGATAATAGGTCAATAGGTATTGATTCCATCACAGTCTGCAGCACAAAAAGAAAATGATTCGACGATCCGATACTTGCGCTGTAACTAACCCTTGCTGCAAATCGGTCGGAAGCTAACAGTTTCTCACAATAGAGCTGGATCACAAGCTTGAATGGGGTTTCAAGTTGGTATTTGGGTATGTCTCTAGGTTAGCATCAAGCACGGCTGCAGTGTGAGCAAAGCATAATATGAAGCCATGGAAACTGTGAGTATTATTTAGAAGCTTCCTTTGTACGTAATTTTCTTGAAAACATCTCTTGTAGCCCAGTTGCCTTGGTGACTACAGCCGTGGCGCCTTTTACTTCGCAGGTTGCCCAAGAGTGGAATTTCATGACGAGTGTGTTGTTTGTTACTTGGCACAAAGCGTACCTACTTAGGTACCTATATATGGATACGTGTGTAAGCTCATCTCATTAGCGTCGAGGCGTTGAGTAAAAGAAAAGTAAAATCAAAGGAGTAAAAAGTCAACTAGCATTACAATTTCGTGTGTATTTGTTTCGAATAGGTATCCTCGGCCAATCTTCCGTTGTAGGTTTGCGCTTTGGGAACCATCTGGACTACTCGCGCCTACAATAAGGTGTGGCTGCGTCGTTGCACTTAAAAAATACAGCCGAAGAATTGCCTCCACCACCAGCTCAGAAGACGCTCACTCACTCTAATTATCGCCCTTCTCTCATTTTTAGCAAAAAATAGAAAAAAAAAAAGCTTTCGCAACACGCCGCCACCGAGCAAACCCACGCGCAAGTAAATAAACAATATTGACTCTCGAGCTGGCAGATTCGTGGCCTATATATTGCCGTCGTCACCAATGTTTTCTCTCTCAGCTGTTTTCCCGATTCCCACCAACCGAGTTCGGTCCCAGCTCTCCCAATCCGACGTGATTCTGAGTTATGGACTGTCTGGACCTTTACGATTTGGATTCTCAAGAGCATGATAAGTGATTGCTTAGCTAAAGATCTATTACATACGACATCATTATCACGCTGTTAGCCAACATTACATCTACCGATTCTCGACAAAACAAGCCCGTCAACGACATGGCGTCTTCCAATGCCCCTCCGGCGAGCCTTACTTGGCGGTAAGTTTATACAAGACTATGATATATTCTGCGATGCATATGCATGCTATTACCTTGTGTCTATTGACTTGGGCGCAACGTATCGGAAGCTCGCCGGCTGTGGACAAGACTGATATCTGTGATCCAGTGACGCCCAGAAGTTGCGCAAGTATCTTGCACGAGACATCGGCAAGCTCCAGCCAGGAACTGGTTCTGGAATCGACATTTCCAAGTTCGAAGCGGTTGACAGCCTTTTGGAGAAGTATGCGACCCTGAGTCTTGGGATTCTTTCTGGATTTAGCTAATGCGCTTTTTCTTTTGCAGGTTCCGCCTCGCTTGCGTCTCTACCATCTTTCTCGACTTTGATTATGCCATCGCCCAGAAGACAGAGGAACACCTATGGCTCATTCATACCTCGATCAATGCCGAATATCGACGCATCTTGGGCCGGCTCAAGCAATCGTCCCACGCAGTCGAGAAGCGAAAGGTGGAGAAGATGTACAACAACTTCCTGCGCATCGCCCATAAGTTTTACAAAGGATATATCCAGCGCCTCTCCGCCTACTATGATATTCCCGAGCTTAAACGAATCGCGCAAGGCATTGAACTTGACCAGTTGGTCGTCGAAGACACGATTAGCCCGGTCTCGGAAGATCTGCAGCGCAAAGTGTTGTACTCTTGCCACCTTACCCTGGTCCACCTGGGAGACTTAACACGATATCGAGTTCAAGCTCGCCATAAGAACTCTGGCTACGAAGGGGCCTTGCTATACTACGGACTGGCCCACCATCTTCAACCCCGATCAGGCTTTGCTTTCCACCAAATGGGAATCATCAATCTCGAACAGGGCAATCATCTCGACGTGGTCTATCACTTTTCCCGCGCCTTGGCCGTGGAAAATCCTCATCCCAATGCTCGGACCAACTTGGAAGCCGAGTACAAAGCGGTTCTAGCTCCAACTGGACCCAAGTCTAGACACAATGTCACTGCACCACAAGACCATTTCACAATGTGGTTTGTCAAGCTCCATGCCTACTTCTATAAAGGCGAGGCCTTTCGTCCCCAAGAAGAGTTGGAAGGCGAAGTGATGCACCGACTTGAGATGGCTTGCCGAAATCCTGACTCTTCCAATGTTATTCTCAAGATGGCACAGGTTAATATGCTGGCACACTGCATAGCCTCTGCTCGATACACAGGTACGTGATAACATGCGCCGATTATACTTACCACTTGCTAACTAATCCTGAACAGAAAACCAGACGGAAACTTCCATGCACTTTTACCAATACGCGCTTCGCTTCAACGCCAAATTTATGCATACTTTTTGCAAAGTCTTTTTGTCTGAGCTCAGAGAGGCTCTTTCTAACGCCGAGGGCTTTGGCTTCAAACACCGACTGGATAATTCCGAAGAGTCGCAGACACAGACTTCCGTCATTGAAGCACTTCTCCCTGTTTTGCGTGTATATGGTATGTGGCTCGCAGCCCGCCGCACCGAGATTTCCACCGTCGCGGATGTCTTTGGAGCAATCATTCCAGAGATGATTCAGAACATGTCGAGAATCGCCACTATATTCTCTTCGGAATATTACAGCCTGGAGAATTTGAAAACTTGCCCATATTTGCTTCCGGAAGATATCCAAAACTTGGGTTTCCAACCACTCAACGAAGATGATCTACCCGAAGAGTGCAGAGTCTACTGTGACGAGGATGGAGACTGCAAACCTTACCCTCACGCCCTCGAAGAAGGCTGCGGTTCGGCATCGAGTGAAAGAATAGGAAGAATCTTCGACGTCCTCCGCTGTGCGTATTTCTTGGCCAGCGACGACGCATTTCCTATGACCTATAAAATTGATGGAAACTTCCTTATTTTTCGTTATCAGCCAGTTGCCGAGAAGCCACAAGCTCAACAGAATCCGGAAGACGATACGACGTCGGTTGCTAGTGAATTGGAAGCTGTCGATAGAGAAGAGTCATTTGAAACCAAGATCATCCCCGATGCCCTGGCGATACCTGAGCTGGCGATCCCCGAGCTGGAAGCAACAGAGGTGGCGAAACCTCCGGTATCAACGCGACAGGAAGCAAGTCGACTTTTGCTGAACGAGGATGATGATATTTATGAAGACTCTGAAGCTATGAATCGGGGCGCTGAGACAGTTCTCGATGTGGTGGCCCCTTTCTTGAGACCACTTACTCCTGTTGACGAATCTTCATTCGGAATGCATACTTCCACTGCAAACGAAGTATTTGGCTCACTCAACACAGAAGCCAGCCCCACGGAATCTATCACGTCGGGGAAATTTGCGCCTCTTCCTTGGGCTTGGTTCGGCACGCCAAATCCGCATGGCGCTCGTGACCCGGCACTGCCTGTGAGCCAAAGCGCCCAGAATGTTCAGAACGTTCAGAACGGCCGGAATGGCCAGAACGGTCGCCGAAGCACAAGGCACTCCCCTAGTGCGTCTATGGCAGCAAGCCATCTTCTCGAGGACCCCTTTACTACGCCTGGCCGCGATGCACCTGAGAATCGTCCGCGCAACATGGCAAACGGAGTCGCCAGCCCGCCAAACACATCTGCTCGGAGACTACATCGGGAACAGTTGCTCCAAGCTTTTGGCAATGGTTCAAGCACTCCACGCACATCGTCCTTTAGCCACTGGTCACACAGTTCCAACTCCAACTCCTCGAGACCACCGGTACCCATGGCGACAATGCAGGAGTCGAACCATTACCCGGCTTGGACCAACCAGTCGAGCATTTCTTCTTTCTCTCACACGAGCAGCCTCTACCATGGCACTCCAGCAAACGGATTGCAGTACAACATGCAACTTGCTGTTGACCCGAGCCGTGTACTTCAAGAACCAATAAATAACCACTTTCAAATCGATAAGACGACATCGAATTACAACAACGCCGTCATGAGATCGGCATACCAAGGATCGAGCTAGATGGAAGGATATACGCTCTTGGGATGAATAATGTTTTGCAATGCTTGTTGATGGATTTCTTTTTCTTTTTCTCGTTCTTTTTTCTTTTCAGGACGATTGGGATATTACGATTTGAATTTTGTTTGTGGCAATGACGAGGAATGTCAGGGGCCCTTTTGTGGCAGCGTATGTTTGCATGTATTCTACAGCGACAGTCTTGCAAATGCGAATCTTGTTTGCTCTTTATTCAATTTGAAGATGGCTCTGGCACTGTTGTGGTTCATGGAGCAAAGTCAAAGGAATAGCCTAGAGAGGTAAATGAAATTGATAATCAAACCAAAAAAATCGAAATTCTCGTGTGCTTGGCAAAATATGGTGTATCATTTTATCATGAAATAGGTTGAAACGAATGGAAAAACAGAAATCAAAGACAAGAATGGTCATGTATCGTGGAGGATGCCGACCTGGTATGCAAGGATGCAAAGGGAGCCCGCTGCTTCTGGACTCTGTACCTTATTGATGCAAAACGCCGTTGTTGAAACCTATGCCCCCCGTTTTAATCCCTCAACGCCAATTCCTTTCCACCCCAGCCGTGGGAATGGATCGATAAGAGCAATGCGCTATTGCAAATCCAATTTAAGAAGATGCCGAGTACGTCTGCTTGGGGAAGGGGTACCTGAAAGGAATGAGTCAGCTCATACGAATTTACACGGATGGGAGAATTGGTGTATATGAGTAGATGAGTAAATGAAAGAAAACTTACGAGGGACCAAGCTCCTGAATGCTCAGCTTAGCCAGCCACTGGCCCTTGTCAACGGACTGCTCCAGGGACTCGCCCTGGACAATACCAGCCAGCAGACCACCGGCAAAGGCGTCACCAGCTCCGTTAGTGTCGTTGATGAGAGCAGAGTCGATGGCGCGGACGGGGAACTCCTTGATCTCGTCCTCGCCCTGGATAGCGACCAGAGTAGGCTCGGTTCCCTGAGTGATGATGGCAATACGCTTCCTCTGGGTGTTCTTCTTGGGAAGGTTGGCCAAAGCCTTGACGACGTCCTTGGGCTCCTTGGAAGGAAGGTCGTGGGCCACAGCATAAGCCTCGGCCTCGGCCTCGTTGCCGATGATGTAGTCCCAGTAAGGGGCGCTGGCGTCGACGACCTCCTTGAAGAACTGGGGGATGAAGGGAGCAGAGAGGGACACGGCGAAGATCTTGTTCTTCGCGGCGGCTTCCTCAGCAAGGGCCATGATGGCAGGAGGGCAGACTACACATCATTTGCATTAGTACATGCACCGCATCGCAACGCAATAGATCCTTTTTCTCATCACTTACCGGTGAAGTGGTAGCCTCCAACGTAGTAGACCTCGGCGTTCTCAACCAGGGCCCAGTTCTCGGGCTTCTTCAGGTGGTCCAGGTCGTAGTGGTTGGCAGCACCGAGGTCAGTGCAGAGACTGCGGTTGTGGCCGGTGATGACGACGCCGCATCGGCCGGTGGGCTGCTGCTCGTCCACGCGGTACTCGACACGCAGGCCGGCGGTCTTGACGGCATCGTGCAGCGTGGCGGCGTACTTGTCGTTGCCGACGCCGCCAAAGTAGACGACGCTGTTGGGAGGCAGAATGTACTGGGCGCCACGCGCCGTGTTCTGGGCAGCACCGCCGGCGATGAGCTTGGCGTCGAAGTTGTTGAGGAGGTCCTCGTAGAGGCCGAGGTGCTCTTTCTCGGCGAGGATGGCGTCGTTGGCCTTGAGGTTGTACTTCTTCAGCAGGGCCTCGTCACCGACGGCCTGGATGTCTGTGATTGCGGCAGCGTTAGCGACAAGTTTGCTTGTTTGGGCACAGAGGAGACAGGAGTGATATTTGCTTGCTTTCAACAGCTTTATCTGGGGATGAGGGGTCCTTCAGCAAACTGGAAGTTTTGACACGTACCGAGGAGAGGGTTCTCCAGGCAGACGAGGCGGAAATCCTTGGTGGCAGCCATTGTGATGTGATGTGAGGAATGAGAGTAAGAAGTCTATTGAAGTCGTTTGCTAGGTTTAGGTAGAGATTGATATGGATGGATTGAGGAGAGGACGGGAATTGCGCTGGAGGGGAACGTGGGATTTTTTTACTGGGGCCTGTGCTTATTTTGGAGGGGTGGACGACCCCTGTCTTTTTAAAGCTGGCGTGCTGGGGTTATTATTTGGCGCCTGCGTATGGAAGATGGCACTCAATTGATCGTTGCTATGGTACATAATAGAGCTTTTGATTGTTACAAGGAACCCTATATACGTGAGATGATTTCCAAGTTCTCAAGAGATGGAGCAAAATACAAGATGAGAAAAAAAAAAAGAATAATAAAAAGAAACAAAATCAGCTTTAGGCCTAGGCCAGAACAATTCCTGTCAGCTTTGGTGTGCGGATCGGCGACTTTCTAAGCTTTTGACTTCCTTCACAGTCTTACTTGTGCTGGAGTTCACTGCATGAGATAATAATGAAGGCATTGCGTAAATCACATGCAGCCCAATAGGCACATTTTGAACTTATTTCTAGGGCATATCCTTTCCCTGATTTTCGTTTCTTTTTTTAACTCTTTGCCAACTCCTTGGTCGAATACCCAGTACCTAATCTAGACATAGCGTATAAATGCAGCCACCTACATTTGGATAAATGTCCCGATCCTGAAGAGAGGATTGAAGAGTGTCATTTTAGCGGCAACAGGGTTGTTCAAAGAGGTTTAAAGACATATTTTTGGAATTACCGTATCAAGTAGGTGTAAGGAGTAAGAAGACCTGCAATACATTGAACAGTATAGTAATCGATCCCATACGCCAGATTTTAGGCTCGCTCTCTTCTCCATTCAGTCAATATTCATTGTATGCCGAGTCAAGAAGGAGCCGCATGTGGGAATCTATGTCAATTACAATGGATATCTAACTTTTTTTGTATTATGTATCCTCACTGTCATGCGCCGGCTCATTCACATCGGAAGATTGCAAGGGAATCTGGCTCGTAGTTTGTTTTTGTTTTGCAACGAAATGTCATAATAGTACTTGCCAGAGGAGCCGTGTCAAGTTTCGTTCCTGAGCAGTACCATCCATAGTAAGAAAGCCACTGAACACCATCCCAATGAGACCATCCATTTTAGCCACCTTACTCCTTTGTCTTCTGAGTACCACGGAGCAGACCTGTCCTTCTGGCAGCAATAAGACCGGCCTTCTGTCCCTGGACGGCGTACCGTGAAATGGTAGAGGCCTTACCAATGTGCTGGTGGTTACCCTGTTATGGGGGTCAGCGTCTGCGTTATTCTGTCCAATCGAGCAAGGGAAACTTACACCACCGTGAGGGTGGTCCACGGGGTTCATGGCAACACCACGAGTCTTGGGCCAGCTGTTACGCTTGACAGCGAACTTGTGCTTGGCACGAGAAGCCTCTGTTCAATTTGTTAGCATCCAGTCCTTCTAATTTCCAAACTAATTTCTTCGCGGTCTTCTCTCTAAAAAATAAGACCAGCATAGGGATAAACGTACTCAACAGAGGCTTGTCGGTACGGCCACCACCGGCAACGATACCGATCATACCACGAGATCGGGAGTGGACGACCTTCTTGGCACCGGAGGGCAGCTTGATACGGGTCTTGCCCTCATCGGGGTTGTGGCCAACAATGGTGATGTAGCCACCAGAGTTACGGCCGAGAGTACCACGGTCGCCAATCTTCTCCTCGACGTTTGAGACAACGGTACCCTCAGGCATCTCACCAACGGGCAGGACGTTGCCGACGGTAAGAGCAGCACGCTTTCCGGCGTAGATGAACTGGCCAGTGTACATGCCCTCGTTGGCGATGAAGGTCTCGGTAACCTGCTTGTACTTGTAAGGGTGGCGGAATTGCACCTTAGCAAGGGGAGCACCACGACCTATATGCAAAGAATTCCCATCGTTAGCCCTGAGTTCCCTTTCGTGAATTCCATCTCGAATCGGATGTTGTTTCGCTGCTCGTTCGGAGACTAACCAGGGTCGTGGATGATGTCCTTCACGATACCGCGGACGTAGCCATGGCGTTCGGCGAAATCGAGGTTGCGGAACTTGGCAGGGGCCTTGTTCAGGCGGGTGTTGGCCGCTGTTTTCGAAATTGTTAGAAATCTCGAGACGCATTGAAGTTTCCAATTCGATGCATATCGATGCGGCGGCTACTCACTGAAGATAGAGCCACGGCCCTTTCTCTGGTTGCGAATAACTCTACCCATGGTGGCTACGTGTAGACTGTGGGCGGGATTGATGTCAGTGCGAAACCGCCAGCAGGGCGAGAGGTTCAAACTTTACCTGGCTCCGGCCTTGGTGTTTTGACAAAGAGGCGCTCGCTTGCGACTTCTGATAATTTTTGTGTGCGGGACCGCTGCCACAAGATGAGGAACCCTGACCACGTGACCGAAATTTTCCGTCGCGCGCATTGGTCGCACGGAAGTACCTTGTATCTCTGCATCTCCCGCTCTTAGCGCATCAGAAACTGGACCCCGACAACCCCCACATCTATCCTCTACTCCGTGTTTCTCCCATGAGCGAAGACCTCATGACGTGTTGCGAGATGGAGTATCTTCAAGACTGAGACGCGTGACAGAAAGTGCCGCGGAAGCAGTGCCTTGCTAAGCACCTTTTACCGCATGCACTCGAAGTGAATCTATCATTTTGCTACTCTTGTGTTTTATGCTCTCTCCAATATCTCTGCTCCTGCCGGTTGAAAGGGTCCGACATGTGACAATCACTTATGAACGAGGCACTACTACCTACTTACTCTCATCTATTTGCGCGCTTGCTTGGAGATCTTTCATCGAGCATACCTTCAGTTGCTCAACTGCACCCGGTCTAGCAGAAGATGTGATATTTTACTTCGTGGAAAGCTGCTATTCCATCTTTCAGTCTACTGAAACCGTCGGACCAAGTGGTCTAGACCTGCGCAATGATTGAAATACATCACCAACAGCCAGACTTACACTCCTCTTTTTCAATATGGACACCGCTCTATTTTATCTATCTGAAAGATGGCTGGCCAATTCACTAAGCTGCTGTGGTGTCTCTGACACACTGCCAGTGGGGTCGGGTCGCAGGCTGAACCATAATCTCTAGGAGTAGGAATCCACGCGTGGCGATCATAGCTATCGCTCTGAGCTGGCAGCAATGTCAGAATTCAACAAAACCTCGTGCTAGTAAGTTCCTAGATTCCCGATTCCATGATGAAAAGAAAAACACCAAGCCTCCATCTTTTTGGCCTACTCAATCTTGAGAATCATGTACTGACGATGCATATAGGGCTGGCATAAATTGCCTCATGCATGATTTAGCCGGGTTGGTGCACACCTCAGAAATATTATTTGTGTAGCTCTGGGTTGCTTTGCTGGCTCTGGACACATCAGTGTTGCCATGGCTAAGCCTATTGCGAGAGTCACCAAAAATGCATGTGGTGCAGGGCTGGCTTGGATGCGGGGGAAACTCCTAAAATCCAAGGCTGATGGAAATGATGGAAATATTGGATTATCGAGCCAGAAGCTGTGTTCTGAACGGCATTGGGCTGGATTTGAATACTGGCGACCAGGTTAATCAGGCGGCTTGACCCAGGTTGGCCAAAGCTCTGCCTACTTTGTTTGGCGTTGCCGATGCTCTCTGCGAGGAACAAGAATGAGACGGGATCTGGGCTCCAGGCCTCACAATGGCATGCGCGGGCAAGGTTGTGCCGAGATACGGCCCGGGTGTAAATAGACATCTAAGACGGGAGACTGGGATCCAGGCGTCTTCTAATTCATGATTAAGGCTCCTTGCTTGACTACGTGACTGGCGACTACCACTTGATAACCCCCCTAGGCCTATCAGGATTGATATGTAGCTTAGTGCATCCACATCACTTCAACAGACGACGTGCCTCATCCACCTCCCTCCTTCACACTCTCGGCACTTGCACTGCCAGAAGCAACTCCCGCGCCATGGCTGCCGCAGACGACGATTCCTCTGATCTCTCCTCGTTATCGTCACTATCCCCCATTCCCTCGGATGATGAGTTGGACGACCTCAGCGATGACGCGCCGACCGGATCCAAATCGGGAATTCTAAAGTTCTTCCCCAAATTATCAGAGAAGCCGCCAAAGGAGCCTTCGCCGCCACCGCGCAAACGGTCGCCCTCGCCACCTCATGAATATGTTCTCGCGGACAATCCAGACATTGCAGTACGTAATAGCCTGTCGCAAACGCCGCTCTTTATCCTCCAATGCACACTGGTTTTGCCTGGCAGCGGATCGCGTTCACAGCTTTTTGGCGACGCGAAATTTCGCGTGCAGACGTCATCGGACTCTACTAACAGCCGCAGTTTCTGGTAATGTTTAGAAGCCGCTTCAACGACGCATTCCCAAAATCTCTTTCGCACTTCGGACCGCAAGAATTAGAACGAGACGTTGTCGAACCCATACCCGGCGATCGAGCTGAACATTTTCTGTGCGCCGTCCTCGGACTCCTCCTGAATCGGAAACAAGATATCAAGTATGGTTTATCTTACCTCGCCTACCATTGCGCGAATCGCTGAACTAATTGGTTTTTCTTTTTCTTTATTTTTCCGCACAGAGCAGGACATTATGGCAGAGCATTGGAAGATGCTATTACGTCTAACAAGAACCAATGGCCGGCCTCTTGGAACGAGAAAAATCCGCTGTCCGGCGGCGGAACTTTTAGCTCCCTGAGTCCAACCGAAAGGGTGAGTGCTCTCTGCATGACTAGATAAAAGGAGCGAGAGGCCTCGAAAGCAAAGAACCAAAATTGGCTAACCTTACTTCCGTAGTTGAATCTGCTGCGCACTCTCGTCCTTTGGGCCATGTCCTCGTCCGATACCCTCAAGGGCTTGATCAACCAATCCTATAAGCAAAATCGCCACGAAGACGACATTAACCAGCCGAGAGCAGTTCAACCATGGGGCTCTGACGGAGATAAGCGCCGATACTTTTTGGTTGAGGGGCAAGACGATACTGCCTTTCGCGTATATCGCGAGAGCAATCCTGCTGGCGCCAATCGGACTTGGTGGAGCGTTGCTGGGACCATAGAAGAGCTCAGAGCTCTCGCAGAGAAGCTAGAAACGAAAGATGGCGGCCCCAAAGCTAAGAAGCTAAGCCAAAAGATTCTTCAAGCCATCCCGCGATTCGAACTCGGAGACGAGGTAACTATTCCTTGCCATTTCTACTAATTGTCACCAAGCTTGAACTAAACAAACTATAGAAACGGAAACGGCGAGAATATCGACAGCTGCGCAAGGAACAGTTCAAGCGCCCAGAGCCTGGATTTTCATTATACGAGGGCCGCACTCGCGGCAAGCGAATGAAGTATACGTATTCCGATGATGAAGACATGTTCTCGGACTCGACTGGCTATAGACGCTCAGCTCGTAATACCGGAACACACACGCCAGCAGAAACCGGACCTGTGACCACGTCAAGCGGTCGAACTGTACGAGCCCCTCCCCGACTTAACGTGACCACGGGAGAAGACCTTGCCACCGGTGATCAAGATGATACCCTCGAAGGTGCTGCAGAAGCTGGAAGATCGCGGAGATCGGCAGCCGCAAATCATGGAGCCAATCAGTCCATGGATACGGATGAAGAGAGTGAGGCCGAGTTTGGTGATGATGAAGACGACGTCGAAGCCCAGATTCCCGAAGAATCGGAAGACGAGGATGAATTCAAAGACGAAGCCATGGATGAGGAAGACTTGGAAATGCAATCTCAAACATTAGTGGTGAAACTCTCGGTAACTCCGCCCAAACTTAAGGGCGTTCTCGATCCGAGTGAGTTGCTTCCGACCTCGAATGAAGGCGATGCAAAGGAAAAGGATGTGACGGCCGGTCCGCCAGATACGCCGACTCCAAAGCAACAAGTTTTTGAAGCAGAAGTCTTGGTTCCGACGTCCGGCGCGAAGACGACTGAGAGGCATGTCACTCCAGAGGCTGTTGAACGACAGGCTTTGGGACCTTTGGGACAACCATCTATCTCATCTACCTCATTGGCATTCCGAGGTAGCCCTGAAAAGCAGCCGGCGCAATTGGTGTCCGGAAGTGTCAACATCGGCAACCAGGAATAAGAGATGCCAGCTTGCCTTGAATGGCTTTTAATGTTTCTCATCGGAGTTACGGTCTATTAAGCGACGGATGATCCGAGAAGTTTATTAGTGTTAGTGTACAATCGGTTGAATCCATGGGTTTTAGAATGGGGGACATGACAACAGACGGAGAAAAATCCCCTTCAGCGAGGGCCTGCTACCTGACCTATGGAGCGCAAACAAAAGGATCTTCGGGGGTGATAAAATGGGTCTAGAGGTCTAGAGGCCAAATGTTTTTGTGATTTTTTTATCTTTACTACTAGACAAAAAGGGATAAGATGATGGCCTTCACATAACTGATAAGATAATAATATACACTCTTGTAGGATGGGTATTTTGTTGTTCTTTTGTTTTAGATACGTTTCCTGGAATTGGGCAGGCTCCAGTTGTTTACCCCAAACCACCATCTCCTGAATCGGGCACCTACTGAGTCGCCACTGACCCTGGCGCTCTTGTTCCAATGCTGCCATCCGGCCATGGCCAAGTTGAGCAAGACACCTTGAGCCAGGGGCAATAAAACCTGTTCGCCTGATCAGTATTGTGCGTCATTGGAGCTTTGCCAAAGGAAGTCGAGGGATACCTGGCTTTTGATCGTAGTGAGCACTACTTTCCACCACGTATCTGCCGACTCGATGCTGCGGAGATAGCTCTGCTCGAACCGCAAGTCTGGGAGCGGCGGGAGGTTGTAGTGCTTCTTCGGAGGCCGCAGGACGCTGTACGGGATATCATGGTCATCGTCGTCGAGATGGCTGCGCTTCACTTCATGAATGTCGACCAGCTCTGACTTGTCCGCCGCAGTGGATGGCGCAATGTCCTGTCGAGGATCGGGATGCCTTCTGATATGCCCGGCTTGAAGGGTGCTGGCGACCTCGGTTGGGAGGGATGAGTCCATTGCGAAGGGACAGGATAGCCCTGCTCCAGGCCCCAATGTCGACAGAGAAGAATTATCAAGCCTTCTATTTCTGGACACCAATTCTCGTCTTGCTCGTGATTCGCAGCGCGCGCTTCGAAAGTATCATAATACGCTATTCCCGATGCTCGTCTGGGATCATTCAACGCATGGACGGAGTTTTGCCGGGCGGTGAATTATGGAGGCGAGACTGAGCTGACCGCATGAGTCTTACAGCAACTCTGTGACGTCGAGCGCTTACCTAATGCGCTTCCGTGACCTCAGTGGTTGTCGGCCCGCTCGTTTTAGGCGGATTGTGGCCTGGAAAGCCTGAACGGCGTGCTGGATTATGGCCTTTTAGCTGCCTGGAGGGACCCGTAGCGCCAGCCCAGCCATTGGGGTAGTAGGGTAAAACTACCACAACCCAAACTTGCATCTCGCATCCAACAAAAAACCAACCGCTGCTCTCCCTCGACCAGCCAGTGTCACGCTCGCACGCGCCGGCGCCTCTCAATCCTTGGACCTGTCAAAGCGGCGGGATAAAAAAGAAAATTTTCATATTTTTCTCCAAGCGCCTCTCTTTTTAAACGTCCTTCACCATGAGCGAACCTCAAAGCGGCGAGGCGGAGAAGAACGTGAGTCTTTCCCTCTAGGAGGAAAAAAATTAACACTAAGAGCGAAAATACCTGAAAAATATTTTTGGCTCCCCTGATTTGCCCCTCCTTGGCTTCGTGCCCCGCGCTGGCCATCGAAAAACGCCAAATATGCAACAGCAACATCTAACGATTTTTTTTATAATATCTATAGATCGAGATCTGGAAGATCAAGAAGTTGGTCAAGCGCCTCGAGGCCGCCCGAGGAAATGGAACTTCTATGATTTCTCTCGTCATCCGTACGTTTCGCCCACTGCAGAACGCTTTCGCATTAGCTCAATCGAGAGTTGCTAACTATGTCACAGCTCCCAAGGATCAGGTGTCGCGTATCGCTAAGATGTTGGCTGAAGAATACGTATGGAATATACCTCACAGACTCTTCAAATGTATAACCTTTTGAATTCTTTGCTGACAACCCCGCAGGGTACAGCCTCCAACATCAAGTCTCGTGTCAACCGACAGTCCGTCTTGTCCGCCATCACATCGACCCAGCAACGTCTCAAGCTGTACAACAAGGTCCCTCCGAATGGCCTGGTCGTGTACTGTGGTGAAATCTTAACCTCGGAAGGAAAGGAGCGAAAGGTCAACATTGACTTTGAGCCATTCAAGCCCATCAACACCTCGCTGTATCTCTGCGACAACAAGTTCCACACCGAAGCCCTCGCTGAGCTGCTCGAGTCCGACCAGAAATTCGGCTTCATCATCATGGACGGTAACGGTGCACTGTTCGGCACGCTCAGTGGCAACACTCGTGAAATCGTCCACAAGTTCTCCGTCGATCTCCCCAAGAAACACGGCCGTGGTGGTCAGTCCGCTCTGCGTTTCGCTCGTCTCCGTGAAGAAAAGCGTCACAACTATGTTCGCAAGGTTGCTGAGTTGGCTGTGCAAAACTTCATTACTGCCGACAAGGTCAACGTCGCTGGTATCATTCTCGCTGGTTCCGCCGATTTCAAGAACGACCTCAACGCCTCCGACATGTTCGACAACCGTCTGGCTGTCAAGGTCATCAAGGTTGTCGACGTCTCCTACGGTGGAGAAAACGGCTTCAACCAGGCCATTGAGCTGTCCGCCGAAACTCTCGGAAACGTAAAGTTCATCCAGGAGAAGAAGCTCATTGGCAAATACTTTGAAGAAATCAGCCAGGATACCGGCAAGGTCTGCTATGGTATCGATGATACCTTGAAGGCGCTGGAGCTTGGTGCTGTTGAGACTCTCATCATCTTTGAGAACCTCGAAATTACCCGCTCGGTTCTTAAGGATAGCGAGGGAAATGAGGTTATTCTGCACACCACCAAGCAGCAGGAGACTGGCAACCGAGAGAAATTCCTGGACAAGACCACTGGCCAAGAGATGGATATTGTTTCACAAGAGTCGTTCCTTGAATGGATTGCTGAGCACTACAAGGATTTCGGTACCAACCTGGAGTTTGTGTCCGACCGATCAACCGAGGGCAATCAGTTTGTCAAGGGATTCGGTGGTATTGGCGGCATCTTGCGTTACAAGGTCAACTTTGAACAGTTGGCAGATCTCGACGAGGACGATGATGATTATTACGACGGTAAGAACACCATATGTTTCAACGGCGCGAGTCGTCGGTACAAAATGCTAACTTAAATGCACAGATTGACCAACCGATTCCCTCGTGGAGAGCGAGGGACCTACTCAAGTCAAACCGTCCGCGCACGATGAGAGCGACATGCCCAACGACCCTTCGGGGCCAGGGGATGCCGCGCCGTTGTCATTTGCTCAAAGGAGCTTGATGCGAGGCGCTGGTCGAGTGCCTCACCCAACGACGCGACCAAGCCCGCTTCGCGAAGCTATGACGGCTACTTGAGTTTTACCATTGAGAGAAAGAGGGTAAGCCTGCACAACAGCCTGCACAATAGCTTATATATATGCATGCACATATATATATGCTTCGCATCTTCTTTGCATGGCCTCAAACTAATTCTAACGCCTCTTAGATGTCGTCTGCATAGCTGGAATCGGCGTGATGATGGGATGGAGTAGATGCTAGGAGGCGCCTTCAGACCAAAGAGAATTTTCGTGCTTACGTGTCCTTGTCGTCAGTTATTAGAAAAGAACGCGTAGCATTTTCGAATAAAAAGTTGGCATTTCGATTTTGCCTACACACTGATTTCGAAATTAGTTAGCTCTCATCTGCAGGACAAAAAGCCAGAAATAGAAATTGACACTCCTTTGTTGTTTTGGAATTTGCTCCTTTGGCATTCAAAGACACGTGCACAGTCGTGAGCTGCGAATGCCTACCTATTTTCTGGACTGAATGCATTTCTGCGATGCTTCATGCATGCGACTTGACTGCTGCGCCGGTGGTCGGAATTAATGTTGCGTATAAGACTACGTCATCAGTGTAGGCGTACCGGTGTTATCGATACCGCCGTAGCTGGCGAATCTAGGTTGTCATTTCGCTGACCCACACCAGGTATCCAATACAGGTAGCATGCTACTGGGGGGGTTTTATGTGTTTGAACCTCCTAAGGGTACGGGGTAACGCCAAACTATAACTGCCAACGTGCACCTTTGCAAACATCTCAGATCACTGGGATTTATCTTTGCAGACGCTGCTCTCAATGTCGCACTTGAAGTAGCTTTTGATATTTTACCGTCACCATGCCAGAAGCCTCTGGCACGACGGCAACCGCGCCGAAATCCGCAGACCGAGCTGTTCCCGTAACTCTCAACGAGGCTGTCCTCGACTCCCCAACATTCCGCGCAGCCGCCACTCACTTTGCCGACCAAGTCGATGCCGTCGAAAAGTGGCTCAATGGATATGTCGGCTCGACGTCGAAACTCATGAGCGGCCTCCTCTCTCTCGAAGACACCATCAACAACTACCTCTCCAAGACGACTCCCTTTCCCGACAATGTCATCGATAATGACTACACACTCCTGGCCCTCAAGCGCACCAGCGAAGGCATGCGAGAGCTCTGGACGCAATTGCTTAACACGCAAAAGCGAATGGAGACGGCTGTCGTCGAGCCTATCCGGTCGTTTCTTACTGGGGAGCTGCGGAACTTTAAGGAGATAAGGAGAAGCTTGGAGCAGACCCAGAGAACCTATGATACAACCCTCGCTCGTTATGTGTCCCAATCCAAGACAAAGGAACCCTCCGCCCTCCGCGAAGATGCCTTCTCTGTGTATGAGAATCGAAAGGTGTACATCCAGGCTGCGATGGACTACTGCCAGCTCGCGCCTCAGCTCCGGTATTCGCTGGACCAGCTGTTGGTCAAAATCTGCTGTGATATCTGGAAGGAGATGAGCAGGGCTAAAGATGCGGCTTCGAGCGCTACCCGATGGGGCCGAGAGCTGGATCGTGTCCGGGGATGGGCGAAAGAGATGGAGCTGTCAGACAATGTCTTCCGACGAGAGATGCAGAATGCAAGAAAGGATATCAGTGATGCGACCTTTGAGAGCTTCAAACCTTCTCGCGAAATCGAGGATTACAGCACCTCAACTGTAGCGTTCTTAGGGTCGCGCGGACCCGTCAGTGTACGCCCGAGTGACGAAGGCGGCGCTGCCGTTACTGAGAAGCAAGGCTGGCTGTTCTTGCGGATCGTAACAGGCAAGCCCGTCAGGTACAACTGGGTTCGGCGGTGGTACTACTGTCGAGACGGCGTATTTGGCTGGCTAACTCCTGGCACGCAAGGTGTTTTGCAAGGAGACGAGATTGGAGTGCTGCTTTGCAACGTCAAGCCGGCCGCCGGCGAAGAGCGACGCTTTTGCTTCGAGCTGAAGACAAAGAGCCGGAGCATGCTGATGCAGGCCGAAACACAGAAGGAACTGACTGACTGGCTGGAAGTTTTTGAGATTTCAAAAAAGAAGGCATTTGAAGCCACCATGGACAGAGATAACAGCCCACTGGCCGGCGGTGTCGACCCGGCATTCTCAATATCTGCCCCTAGCATCCCGGAGTTTTCAGCCAAGGGACTCGATGCGCAGATGGGCTCGTCCGACGACGTTGTACCCAGTATAGATCGTACATCCACCTTGGCTGTTCCCGGAGCAGATGATGGCTCATCTACTCGACGAAGTTATGATCCCAACGGGAGCGGATCTCGTCGATCCATCTCAGCACTTGGACGGGACTTGGCGCGGGAGGAGGGCGAGAGCGGTCGAGAGCACGCAGCAAGGATCATCCAGAAGCTTGATCTTCACCGTAAAGCGACGTTCGGCGCTAGCCCTGAGCCTACGCTGACGACTTCCGGCTCATCAGGAGGTCTGTCCGGCATGATTTCCGGAAACCAAGGCTCCCAGCTCGTAGGAACTTCTCTGTCTTTGACGTCTTCTAGTCAAGCCAAGCTAACGGGTGTTGCGCTTCCACTGCTGGACAGCAAACCTGGTACTCTTGCTCCTCCTACTTTGGCTCGACCTCCGACAATCACGAGTTTCAGCCGCACCGCTGTGCTCATTGCCGGTGAGCGAGGCCACGTCTTGGAAGGCAAGAAACTACCTACATCTGTTCTTGCAAACTACTGGGGAACAAACATGTGGGGCTCAATGCAATCCGAGCCGGCTGCGACGACTGCACTTGACGACGACGACCCCATTGGCGTTGTTGTATCAGAGGACTCGCAGGCGACGACGCCGCTTGGTGAGGCAGCACAAGCAAAAAAGACTAGCGAGTCTTTACCAGCTGGATATCCCCCTGAACTGAGAATCCAGCACGCCCAGTTTAGGCTTTTGTTCCCCAATGCGCCACCTGAGGAGAGACTGGTGCTTGTATTTCGAGCAGCTTGGTCAAGTTCGCTGGAGGGTAGTTCCAAGAGCGAGCTACCCGCTGGCGACGGCAGAATCTATGTGACAGCAGAGAACATGTATTTCTATGGTCAGCAATTGGGCTTGGTAACAGCTTATAGCATCCCCTTGGATATTATTACCGAAGTCACTGCAGCTACCGGCAGAGACTGCGATTTCATTTTCTTACACTTCAGTCAGGATCTCAACGACACGGGATATAAGAGGATAACCATCAAGGTGTTCCTTGACGATCTTCAGCTACTCCATGCCCGTCTCAATCTCCTGGTAGACAATCTGCAGGCGGAAGAACCGCTTGACACTTTGGAAACCATCAAAGCCTTGATTAATATTGATCAACATGAATATGATAAGCCAAGCCCTAGCGCTGAGAGCTGGGAGGAGGTATCATCAAGCACGCCGATGGACAACGGCACAGCATTGGGAAGGCCGGTGGAGCGGGCCACAGGCGATACTCCTCGCTTGATAGCTCCTACCTCTGGGCAAAAATTCCCACTGAAGCTGAACTTGCCTAAGCACGAAGTCATCTACGAACCGGATGATATGACGTCGATGGCGGCCGAGAGGCACTTTGACCTCAGCGCAAAGGCATGCTTCCACGTTCTTTTTGGAGACAAGAGTTTCGTGTTTCCAAAGTTGTACTTTGAGCATCGCGCAAAACAGATTGCCCAGGGCCCGTGGTCAGCTGCAGCTGACAAAGAACCATTGAAGCGTGAGTTCCAGTTTAAAATTGACTACGTCGATGTCTTTGGTCGGTCGAAGACGGAGGATATACGGGATTTCCAAACAATTGACGTCTTTAATGATCATGTCACATATGTGGTTACGCATACGAGAACGGCGTGGCATCTCCCTCATTCCCAGCTCTTCAAGTTGGTGACCAAGGTCGTCATCACATATGTTGCCAAGTCAAAATGCAAGTTGACATTTTACGTCCGCGTCGACTGGTCAAAATCACCGCCGATATCGAAGAGTCTAGTGGAGCGCCAGGCCCTTCGTGATGCGGCTAGCGATGCTGAAGAGCTTGCTGAAATAGCTACTGACCAGATTCACAAGCTGGGCTCAAGAAGCCGCACCCACAAGGCTATTCAAGTATACGGCCAGGTAGGCCAGCAAACACAGGTAGTGGTCTTCTCGCCAGCACCTACCGACGCTAGGAAGAAGCAGGCCATCAAGCCTCGCACGCTTACGGCCATGCTGTTCGAGACGGTCAGGTCTCTCGGCGAAAGCGTAGTCTCGTCCGTGATTCTGTGGATCATTGCAGCATTGAAAAAGATATTCGACGTTGTAACCGCGCATCGGCTCCTCTTGCTAGTCCTGGGGCTGAGCGTAGCTACCAACTTGATGCTGTCTTCCACGGAGTCATTGACTTGGTGGCAGGAAAGGAGAGCGGCAAACTTTATGCGCCGAGTTGGCGTGTCACCGAACCACATGATGAGCAAGGCGATCTATATTGCTGACTTGCATGAGGCGTCCGGCGCCAGCGATGATGAGTTGTCCTCCTTTCCACAAAACAGCACGTGCTTCGGCACGTTCAGAGAAGTCTTGGACGCCACGAGTCTGGATTCTCCGTGGGAGACGGCGGGAGCTTCGCTTTCCTTGCCATCAAGTCGAGCCACGGCTCGCCGGCTGCGGAAGACTCGACAGAGGCTGGGGATGTACCGGCATGATTTGATGGTTGCAATGAGGGTCGTCAACAGTGTCGAGCGGGAGATGCTGCAATCGGAATGGGAAAATTGGCTGGACAACGAGAACTCCCTCTGCGATAACCTCGCGGAGATGTTACATGATAACGGCCGCAGAAGCAACGGCAAAGACAACGCAAGTGATGAATCATCACAGAAGCCTATGGACGCCATACCGCCGGAACGGAAGAGAGCTTTGGAGGCGTGGCGTGATGATTACTGCGGAAGTTGTCGGAGGGACCATGCGTCTGCGATGCAGGCGAGAAGGCTGACCAACCTATAGCGGCCGTTCTTTGTAGGGGACGCTGATGGATATTATTCTTGCATGGATTGGATGTGCTTTAATCATGTTGTTTAAGAGCAAGCGACTGTTTTGGCTAGCTGGGCGGGTGGGATGAATTGTTTATTCTCATCGTTGTCGTTTTCTGTGTTGCTTACTTGGTTTGTTTTACTCGGAAGAGATACCAGACATTTCATCCTTCGTTTTCGTTCTCCGTCTGACTCATTCTTTTTTACTCTGCCTTTGATTTTACTTTTGAAATTCTCTATACATAGATAACAAGGGCATATAAGCATATATATATATACACGTATAAAACCGGTGCCTGGATTGGATTATCAAACTCTGTCCGAATCGAATGCGAATGCGAATGAGAAGGAGGCTATCAAGCTATCAAATTACCAACTCCTGCTGTAAGAAATGGAGTCCGGAGCAGCCGGTCCCTTGGAGTCGGTGGAGTCGAAAGTGCGAGCTCCGTCTTTTGCCACGACCGCCGGCGTGATTCTGAGCCGGCTAGCCGTTGCGGATCAATTGATTGCTGGAGAAGCTTGTGAATCAGCTGCTGTTAAACTGCTGCTTTCTACGTATCGTGAGCAATTGATTAGGCCATAGCTTTCTGCAGGTCCTAGTGCGACAAGTTTATATAAACAAGGGACAAGCACCTAAGGATCAACCAGTTTTCACACTTATTAGCGACTGCATTGCCCCAATTGGCTGCTAATCAATACGTGTGCACCGCAGCGTTTCTTGCATGACTGCTCGATTACGGCATCCATTTCTACACCAAGATCGGGCTTCTGTCGCCCAGGGGTGGCCCCTCGGTGACGTCAAGATTCAGCTTCCGCGGCAATAGGCGCAGCACGAACAGGCGCATTTCAGTATACGCCGTCAAGCCGTATAGCGAGAGGCGCTATTAACCTCAGAAAAAGGCCCTGTATCTCGCTATTGCGCGCTGTAAGCTTCTTATCGCTGGCTTTTTAGCGGACGTTCCACAGGCTTCCCTCGGCGTGATCAGGCCGGTTTGACGCCTCCTTCGGGCGACATGCCAGTGCCTGCAGACGGCGCACAGAGTTCTAGGCCTTAGTGCTTGCTTTTATACTCCTTTCCCTTTAATGACGTCTTCTCACCAACGTATCTCATCTCTGTCTGTCTGTTATTTCATCTGGACGAGGCCTGCAAATCCGTGATTTTGCGTGCGATTCTGTTTGGTCAATACTTCTCTTTTGTTGTTTTTGCGCCCCTCCTTCTATCGAACGAAGCGCCATTCTGCAGCAGCCATGGCGGCCCATCACGAGCCTCTGCGGGCAATGGGGCCGATCGAGTGGGACGACGTCCCCGTTGGCAACCTCAAGCCGTTCATGGACGAGGTCTTCATCGATGCCCAGACCGTCGCCGAATCCGTCCCATCGCCAACGACCGCCACGGCCACTGGAGCGGCGGCGACGTCAACGGGTGCCGTGTTCGAACAGGCCGAGAAGGCGTATTCGCAGCGGGAGGCGGGATCTTCGCTTGCCATGGCCCAGAAGTTGCGCAAGGAGTGGAAGGAGATCAAGATGAACCAGAATAACCCGTTGAACATCAGCGTCTATAAGCTTGGGGCCAAAGACGGCAGGGGAGCGTGGTTTGCGCGGAGGAGCGTCCATCACGGCTTGACGTTTGAGGAGTGGAAGAAGGGCATGGAGATGGAGTTTCCCGAGACACTCAAGGTACAGGGCTCGCCGGGCAGTGGTAATATTCGAGGCGTCGGTGCGGATAGGCAGGTTGAGAGTCAAGAGGTTGAGAACTCGGGACATATGAGTGGTAATTATCATCCAAGTTGCCTTGTGTAAGTGAGCTGAATCAGTGCTAACTCTTCTGTCTCCATAGTTTTCCAGCTCTCGGCTCAATTCCCTGGACCCACGGCGCCGAGAGACTTCATCACGCTACTACTTACGACTGACTTTGAATACAAACCGGCGGATCAGGAGAAACCTCTACGGCAACATGTCATTGTATCGAAACCATGCAATCATGAAGAGTGCCCTCCCCGAACGGGAATCATCCGCGGCTCCTACGAATCTGTCGAAATGATCAGAGAGGTGCCCATTGAGAACGGCACTGCATCAAAGATATCATTATTGTCGTCAGACCCAGGCTCCGAGGAGGTTCGAAGCTCTAGCTCGGATTCACGGGAGCATCAGTCCGTGGCTATCGAATGGCTCATGGTCACGCGAAGCGACCCAGGTGGCAGCGTGCCGCGCTTCATGGTTGAAAAGGGCACTCCGCCCGGAATTGTTGGAGATGCCGGCAAATTCGTCAAATGGATAACAGCAATATCACTGCTAAGCTCCAAAAGTGGCGAAAGCCTTCCCGAAGCAGTGAGCCCTGCAAAGCGAGACGAAGAAGATGCAACGCTTCATGAGAATGGGAGCCCCCCATTACCTCCCAGGCATAAACCGAAACCCAGTGTCGATTCCAAGAAACGAGAAGAAATAGAAGCTGCGAGAAGAGAATCGGTACAAAGCATTCCTAGTAGCAATGGTATATACGGCATCATAAGCGGAGTGTTTGAAGCCGCATCATCCGTCGTCGCCAGTGGACTGCGAGGCACGCTAGGCAGTCCGGCCGAGAGCAACACCAGCCTAGACGACTTGGAATCCAGGGCCGCAGAAGAGCACGAAACGGATAACGATATGACTGATCTAAGCGAGACTTCTTCCATCAGAACATTTAGATCAGCACTCGAAAGAAGCATGACTGAAGAAAATCGATCCAAGAGCGTGGCAGGCAGCCATAATTCCGATGAATCCAAGACTCAAGGGAAACAGTTACTAGAGAAAGAACTGAGGAAGCTCCAGGAGAAGCGGCGAAAGCTAGATGAGAAAGCCGCCCACATGCAACAGCGCTTGGAAAAGAAACACCGCGGCGGCAAGGAAAAGGACGAAACAGCGATCGCAAAGATGCGAGAGAAGCACGAAAAGGAGATTGCAAAGCAGGAAGCCAAATACAGGCGGGAGCTGCAAAAGCTAGAAGACAAGCGTGTTCACGAGGAGCGTAAAGCAGAGGCCCGCAGACGCAAGGCGATTGAGCGGGAGGAGAAGATGAACCTGACGATGGAGCTGGAGAAGACTAGGGCGGAGAGAGACGTTGCGCTGAAGGAGGTTGAGATTCTCCAGTCGCAGGTCGGGCAGCTTCAGGCGCAGAATACCATGTTAGCGGCCAAGATGGGACGGTTGAGCGGGCTTGAAGGGGCTACTGCTTCGTCTTCCAGGGGCTCGGGGATAGAGAGCATCAAGGGGTGATAAGTGTCAAAAGGGATGTCATAATATCTTTTCTTTTTCTTTTTCCAAGATTCATAAGTGTTTTTTTCTTGTCACAAATAGGGGAACTTGGAGCATTCGGGCGTATCCATCAATAGCGAGTTTCGATCAGCATTGGCACTTTTTCTCTTTCTTTTCTTCGCTGCTGTCACAGATAAAGGGGTTTGTCTATCTACTTTACATGGGAATAAGGATGTGTCTTGTTATTCCGTCAGATTTCCTGTGTACTATTCATCGATGATTTAGTTCCTTGTATTATTTTGCGCATACCTAATTTGCTTCCTTTTACACTGATACTTTATTGTAGAAGTGCAGCTACTACATGCAGGTACATGAGTATACTACTATAAATGCAAAAAGCTAGTAACAGACAGAGCTTTATTGCCCGACATAGGGTTTTTTTCAAGTAGGTAAAGGTAGCGTAAACACAAGGGAAAACCAGATCCGCTATAACCGTGCGCGCCATTAAAGCAGCAGAAGTTATTACTCATCAAAAGAGTTGAGAAAACCAGCATCGTGAGTCGCGCCGAGACTCGCGCAATTGAAGCATTCTCTCTAATTAGCGGAATGCTATGATAATTGATATTCGGCTTGTCGCGAAAATTTCACCGATTTCTAGATCTGCCGTCGCCTACCATTCTTGTCTGCCCAGGCTCGCCCCATCTTCAAAATGTCTGAACCCTCCGGCATCGACTGGAACACTGGCGATAAGTCGGCAATGGTTTCGATTGGCAGCCACAAACTCTATCTATCTGCCTCGGGCCAGGACCGCAAACCCGGCCAACCAATCATCCTCTTGATGCAAGGTATGGCGAGCACGATTGATGAATGGGTTCTCGTCAAGCGCCTCGTTTCTCCATTTGCGCGCTGGGTTGAGTATGACCGTTCTGGCCTGGGCAGGAGTGAAGATCCCATTGAAACGCGTGAAGAAATCAGCGCTGCATCTGTTGCGGCAGATTTGAACGTTCTCCTCAAAACCGCTGGGGTCGCTCCTCCTTATGTTATTGTGGCCCATTCGTGGGGAGGACTCACTTCTCGGGAATTCATTCATTTGCAGGAGAAACATGTTGCCGGTATCGTGTTTGTTGATGCTGTTACCGAGTTCAGCAAAGTCCGTGAGGAGCTAGTATCTGCAGAGCCGTATCTTCCAGCGTTACACAAGGACGTCGACTTTCTTCCCATTTCATCTCTCAGGCGGGACTTGAAACTATCCCCTGAAGAATGGGCAGCTGTTCAGAAGCAGGATGATAGCGCCAGAACGTCAGTCGTCGGGGCTGCCGAACTAAAGGCATCCTGGGGAGACAAGCCGGTGCTGATGGCAAAGAAGCAAGGCGAAAATCAAGTCCTCGGAAACAGACCTGTGAGTGTTCTCGCGGCAAATAATGCGATGGATCTCCAGACACGGTTTGATGCTGGTGTTGCTGCTGGAAACGGTACTGAAAAAGAGAGAGCACAGTATAGAGTGTTAATAGACAGGATGTCAAAGGAAGATATCGACCATCAGAAGGAGCAGTTAAAGTTATCAAGTGTAGGAAGATATACATTTACAGAGACAAACGGTCATAATGTTCAGATGACAGACCCACAGCTAATAGTAGACGAGATTAGGTGGGTTTTAGATCATGTTGTTGCATAGGTAGTCAAAGACCTACTATATTAATCTAAGTATCTAGATAGAGATATGTATCGACTTAAAGGGGGGGATATCGGGAAATAAATCTAATGCAAAACTTCGGAAGTGCTATGTAGAGAATCGAAACAATTATATATCGCAAATATCACCAGGGAGATAGATGTTAATACACTAGAGAAAAAGAAAACTACTCATATCAATATTTAGACTCTTGCTAAGAGCGTCGATATGTGGTCCGGTCTAAGTGCCTCCTCGCCGCCTCGTGGGATATATATTATCTTAGCTATTTCAACCGTCTTTAATATTCTCTATACCCCTACAAATTACTTATGATAATACCTTAAAGCTTTTTGTCCTTAATCTTAGATAGCCTAGGCGCTATTTGTGGATGCTACGTCAAGGTTACCACGATTTCAGCACCGGGGACGCATTGCCACTTGAGTAGGGACGTGGCTTGCGGCGCCACTTAATTTTAAAAGTTCTTGTTCCATGAAATGTAAAGTATAGGGCATTGAAAATTATAACTGGTTTCTTGAAAAGAGGAAGCTATTTATGCGCAAAACAATAATTCTATTCTATTCTATATCTTCTTTAGCTCGCATAGTGGCTCCATAAGCAATCTCGAAACGTGATAATGATTTGGCGACTTCAGTAACTCTTTGAATTGCGCAACGGCTTGGCGTAATTTCGCGCTGCCGTGCATTTCGCTCAATACCACAGAACCACGGACAATAGATGTGCAGATGGCAAAGACAGATGGGTTTGAAGCCCAGCCCAAAGGACCGTCTTCCTGCTCCAGGAGTTGCTGCATCTGTGCCAGACCATCCAGAAGCCATTCATCCAGCTTGCGGAGTATCTCGCCGTCTTCCGCCTTTCCTTCACTCCACTTGAGTTTTTGAAAGACGGTAGCCCATCGGTTTGCCTCGCGAACTTCATCAATGAACAGATTCTGCTCTTCGACAGCGAACAGAGAGTCGTCTGACCTGAGCGCAGCAGCGAGCTGAGCACCGGGTAAGCTCCACGCCTGATCATGACGATATCCAGCGACGCGGCTTGCGGTAATGGCTTTCAGATCAGCATTGTTGCTGAAATGTTGGATGAGCCACTGGAGGAGACGACTAGATGCTTCGAGGGGTACTAGATTTTGGCCAAGAATGCTCTTTGCTGCGGCAGATCCTGCTTCTCGCACTTCGTCATCATCGTCATTCAGTGTATCGTACAGCACAATGATTGCAGGGAGATATTCTTCGCTGGAAGAAGACGCTCGTGCCACGCTGAAAAACGAGCATAGAGACTGAGCAGCTGCGAAGCGGGTATCGAAGCTCTATAAACGGAGTCAATACATTGAAAAAGTCTGACAAGAAGTCAAAAGACGGCTTGAACTGCCACTAACCTTGTCGTCTGAGCCTGCATCAGCCATCATGGCGCCCCAATTCCGGAATGCGGTGGCCGGAAGGGGTTGATGGTGGTTCATGATGGCTACTAAACAGCCGCTGGCTCTCACAATAGCATTGGACAGAGAGGGATTCAGAGAGCGCTGTGGTAGTATGTTCCACAATTTCATGAGGGAGGATACAGGCAAGGAGTTGAGCTTGTCTTCCGCAACGAGCTGGTTCATCAACTCCACCAAGTTCTCAACCGCTACCACTTGAGGTTCCGTAAAATTGGTTCTAAGGCAAACATCGATGTAGAGATCGCAGAGGGCAATTCGGATCTCGCTTGGAGTTGAGGTGGAATGCCATAGTCTTGGTATTGATTCCAGAGCAGTAGCCATGGTATCGGCGCCGAGGCGGCTCTCGAATAATACACTCCTTACTTGTTGAATAGGCTCCTGGTCTTGGGAAGCGGAAAGTATTTTGCTGATAGTGCTTTGGGCTTTGAGCAGTGCGGATCCTTGCTTCGCTGGGATTATGACGCTAGATGGCTGTAAGGGCTGAGCTCTGGAGATTTGGCATATCCATATCATGTTGACGACTTCTAGATAGGCGGCAATGATGTCTGGGCAGTCAACGTATAGACTGTCAATGCGGCTTGTTTCGAGGAATGCCGTAAGATCAGGTAGGTCAGCTAGCAATGTGTCAGTAAATACAACGGGATGTGTTTCAATATTTTGTTGAGCTTTATATGTACCTATGAGGCGATCCAACGCCACCTCAGTGAATCTTTCAATGAGGAATTTGAGAGAGAGCAAAACACCGTGTACATGGTTTTGGCTATTAGTACTTTTGTCATTCAACGCCTTGCGAAGCAAATCTTGGACGACACTAAGCCATTTGTCGTGTAATAGACAAGAGCAGAGAGTCCTGGCAGCTATCTCACGGACATGCCACACAGGGCTCGAGAGATAGGCGGCAACATAAACCTGGATCTCATCTCGCAAGAGATCGGGTGGTCCTGCTCGACGAATGATATCCAAGGCCGGGAAGACGGATTCAGCAGATGATGTTGCATTTGCTGAAGTCACCATCGTATGGCCAGATTTAAGGAGACTTGCGAGCACTGTCGGAAGGGTAGGATAGCGGTGGTAGGGGATTCGGTTAGCCTTTCCATCCCATCCAGCTTCAATCATCGCTTTGCTCTCTTGAGAGCCAAAGAGACTGTCGATTAAGCTGCGAAGGAAGATCAAGCCACAGTTGCGGATGGCCCAAATCTCTGACTTGAGCCCGCTAGCAGCCAGCTCGAGACACTGAGGAAGATACTTTTCAGACTTGTTGCCCATGGATGTGAGCAGGGAATTCTTGAAGATATCTTTGAGACAGTTATAGGCGTGAACTTGCGGCAGATTGGACCCATCTGTCTCCACCACATGCGCCTCGATACTGGCGATTTCGATGAGTTTGGCCATGGCCTCTTCAAATGATGGGCTGGCTGCATTTGCGGAGAGAATTCCCGTCATCATTGACGGAATACCAGCAGATCGTCGAGTAGTCGATCTCTGGCTGAAGATTTCCTTCAAGGTGCCCTTTAAAACTAAACATCAATAAAGCTGCTCTGCATATAGAGAATTGTTGATAGGACATTTAAGATCTTACCTGGTACCAAATCTCTAGCAGAGACTCTTCGCCCTCAAAAGTTTTCAAATGTTTCGTCAACTGGCAGCATGTCGCAAATGTCGCAGCAACTGTGGTGAATGCGCCACGATGCCTCAAGTTGGCCAGCTGCGTAAATGATAGATTTCCAATGGCCTCAAAGGCTTTTCGTGTTGGAGTTAGGAGCCCCTCTCGGGATTGATTTCTCATACTCTGCACAATCGTCCGCATCAGATTACTACATAACAGTCAGCGAAAGCGTATATAAAATAATCACTACACGTAAGAGACTTGCCTTGACTCGTGGACAGCACGGAAACTATAGCTCAAAAGACCCTTAGTGTCGAGGCCTTCCATGTCTTCCATCTCTTCAGGCAGATGGCCTTCAGGAGAGTCATCGCAAAGAACATCGCGCACAGCTCTCCACACTCGCTCACAGCAAAGAATCACCTTCTCCTGCAGTACAATAGCAGCGTATGTCTCACTTTCCGACAGTTTCTTTTCGGAAAGAGCCTGCCAGGTGAAGCCCAGTGCTGCAAACGTGCTGTGCAGTGGCTGATCTAAAACAGCTTGCCCCAAGTCTGACTCTGCTCTTGATATCTTTTGATGAAGTGTGTCGACAAGCTTTGAAAGAAGCCCTAGTCGCTCATCTTCAGTGTCTAGAAATTTGTATACTAACTGTGAGGCTCTGGCGACACCATCAGAGTGATCGGCTCTGGCAGTCCGAACTGACACCTTTTCAGCTCGATGTAAAAGCTCCTGAAGCTCTTTCGAGGGTTTTTGCTCTGTACCTGCAGAATTAAGAGTGAAATTCTGATACCTTTTGTCAGCATAAGCCTGGGCCATCGCTAGTGAGGCAATCTCCCGGACATCGTCGAAGGGATCCATTACTAGATCTGCAAGCACTCGAGCCCACTTCCCATCAAAATGGTCGAAGAATAGTTGCTGATCATCCGCTGTTTCCCAAGTTTTTGAGTGTTCTCCTTCCATACGGAATATTGATATCAAGCTTTTGAGGGATGTGATATGTCGCTGATACGAAGCAGTAGGTGATAACTCGGCGCATAGAAATCTCAAATACCAGTGAAGGAATTTCTCATGGTAATCTAGGCAAGATACCAATTCAGACTCTGACCATGAAAGTATATTAGTGCGGTACAATGCTGGCTGACTGGCTGGATCTTTCGAAGCATTTTTTCTGGCCTTTGCTTTTGCTCGCGGAATGCTCTTCTTCAATACCGAGATTGCACCACGAACTCTTTTGAACATGTCCCTCGATCGAGCACACACATCGACTCGGAACTTTGCATCTGGATCGGCAAAGAATGTGGCTAGATGTCTCTTGAGGAGACCCAAAGTGGTAGCCGAGTATGGTCGTGTTGTTGACGGGGAGCTAATAAGAAGACTGAGCGCTGATGTCCGAACCTCGTGGGAGGGATGAGTCAGAACGCTCTCCAGAGCATTTTCTTGCAGAGTGATGGACGAGTTGTCTTCGGTTAACTGGTCACTGCCAATATCTAGCCCTTGTTAGTAATTATTTTCAGCGAAGTCAGGGTCAAATTCTTTACATGGTTCTTCAACAAGCCCGACTTTCTTTCCCATTTCCAAAGCAGCCAGAGTGAGAAGCGCACTTGCGCCAAAATCATCAGAACCAGCTGTGATAGCAGAACCAGACCCGTTCTGATTCACATGCTGCAGAAACTTCAGACTCTCCGGTCTATCGGCCTTGAAAAGAGGAGAGAATATGTAATTTTTGAAGTTCTCCAGGAGAATTGGCTCTTCTGATAGAAAATCGAGTAGCCATTTATGCCATGTCTCTATACCCAAGCCTATAGAGTCTTCATGGCCCCTTTGTCTTAGAGCACGGAATAGGCTCACTATAAACTTGCCAGCTGCAGGGCAAATAAAGTGTAACCGAGTCCATTGTAGCAGCTCTGTCGTGAAGACTCTCCATATCTCAATATCCGTAGCATTGGCTAAGTCTTCATGATATGAGAGATGAGTTGCTTTGACGTCATCCAAGGTGAAGACTCCCTTGAGTAGGAAGTAGTCAAGAGTCTTGAGTGCCGACTTAGCCACAGGCTTAGTGGAACGGCCGATTACGATAGAGACAAGATTGTCCAGGAGGGAATTTCGTATGTCCAGAGCCGCTTTCTTATCGGAATTCCTTCGGAGAAGCTGCGCTATCAAGTCCAGAACAAGCCTCATGGATCGATGATGATCAAACTCGTTCCAATCAATGTAGAAATCGTACAGCCGAAAAGCTACATCTCGAGAAAAGGCCCAAAGCTGGAGCGCCTGTGACTCAGATTTCGAGGCTCTCTCCACAAAGCCGCAAAGCCTCACACAGGCGTTACCTGAGACAGATCTGGGCTGGGCGGCTTCTCCCAGAATGGTATCGAAGATGCTTTGGGCATAACTACATACAGGCTTAGCAAAGCTACATAAAATCTTTGAGGCAGTTTTCCGGCGAACTCGCACCTCTGTTGGCTTTCCAAATCTTGATCCTCAAGCCACTTCAAAACCGGATTTGGGTTACCGAGCAGATCAACATGCTCAGGAATAAGTAGACTCGGCATAATAGGCGAGATTATTGCCCACTGAGTCACACCGGGTGAATGAAAATTTAATCAAGGAGGTATCGGTGCTTTCAGTGCATGGATCCCATTTCAAAACGCCAATTCTGCCCTTTTCCGTCCTTTTTGCCTTGTTTCAGCCTCTAGCATGCTCGTCTATAAAGTTTCCCATGAGTCAAAATAGGAAGTTTAAAAATGCACGTGATTGTACACGTGAGAAAATTTTGCCCTGCGCACCAAAGCGCACCAAACCCCACATGCGCTCCTCGATCCACACTGCTGGATAAAAATCATCGAGTCCCCCCCATACTTTTTCGCTTTACGATTCTCAACCAACCACCCCGTCCTGATCACCATTAGATACGTTTGATTCTATTGGGAGACTGTCAAGATGTCTAAGATCTCAGTCGGTACGTCTTACATCACGCAGCGGTTCATCTATTCCTGTCGACCAGAATAAATGCACTTCGCCGAGACTCAAACGACATCCTTTTCACGGTGCTAACGATTCAACGCAGCCAACGTCCGGACGCAAGTCGGAGAGCTCCTTGAGTACTCCAACGAGACCAAGAAGCGCAACTTCCTCGAGACTGTCGAGCTCCAGATCGGCCTCAAGAACTATGACCCCCAGCGTGACAAGCGTTTCTCCGGCACCATCCGCCTGCCTTCCATCCCCCGCCCCAACATGGCCATCTGCATCCTCGGTGACCAGCACGATCTCGATCGTGCCAAGCACGGTGGTGTCGATGCCATGTCCGCTGATGACTTGAAGAAGCTCAACAAGAACAAGAAGCTCATCAAGAAGCTTGCTCGCAAGTACGATGCCTTCATTGCTTCCGAGGCTCTCATCAAGCAGATCCCCCGTCTCCTGGGTCCTGGTCTCTCCAAGGGTAAGCTTTCTCTTCCGTCTTTCAACACATACGAATGTGAATACTAACTATTATTTCACCTACAGCCGGAAAGTTCCCTACTCCCGTCTCCCACGCTGACGACCTGACTGGCAAGATCAACGAGGTCAAGTCCACCATCAAGTTCCAGCTCAAGAAGGTTCTCTGCATGGGTGTCGCCGTCGGCAACGTCGGTATGGAGCAGGAGCAGCTTGTTGGCAACATCATGCTTGCCATCAACTACCTGGTCTCTCTCTTGAAGAAGGGCTGGCAGAACGTTGGAAGCCTTACCATCAAGGCTTCCATGTCTCCTCCCAAGCGCCTCTATTAAATTGGTCACGGGCTTTTTATACTCTTGTTTCGAGGTGTCAAACAGTAACTATGTACGCCTTTAGGGATAGCGTAGCTTAAAATCTCAAACAACGAATTTTTAGCCATCTTGTGTTGCCTCGATAACTCGTAACTGTAACATTTGTGTTTAGGCTACATAATATTCTATTGAAAATGCCGAACAGATGGATGTACATTCAAGCTTGAAAGGGCATTCAACAGCTGGATATTCATCTTTTTGCTTTATTCATGTATGTCTATAAAAATTTAAAAGATGCTGGGCTTTATCTACCGCAGCTTTTTGTTACTCGCCACGCGACGAGCCCCCGACGGCCGATGACTCTGGAGAGAGTATTCCAAACTCCGTCATCTCCAAAATCCATATCGTCCAAATTGAGATGGTTCCTATACCGCCAAACCTCCCGGAATCTCAGCCCCTCCAAGCCCTTGTTGGAGAGATATGGGTCCAACCAAGTGGCCGACGCTGGCGCGATCAAATAAGTTCCGCTTCTCTCTTTCAAATACTCCTGACTGCGCCGATCTGCAGGAGTATCGCATGTAGCTAACTCAGCTAGTTGTTCCAGCAGCGCTTCACCCTTGATTCCCATAACATCCTTGGTAGTCAAGACTTCATTTTTGCCGTTGAGAAGCCAGATAGGGGGAGGATAGGTCTTCCACCAGAGGGCATTTGTGGCGTCGGGCTGCTTGCTCATAAATACCTGTCCAACAACAATACCGCCTTGGTGGTATATCCCCATGAGCACGCCAAGGAAGACGTTGAATATAATCCAAGATGCTGTCCAGATTCGATTGATTGTTGGATTCTTCGGCAGTTTTAAAGATGATAGGATAAGTGGCACAGCTGGTAACAGAAACCGTGCTTCTTGATGTTTGATAAAAGATAGGGCGACAATTCCAGATATGGCTGAGTACAGTCTCAAAGACATGTAAGGTCGAAAAAATATTAATACGAATGCTGGTCCAATAAGCTGCGGTAAATTGGCCAGAATATGTTGATACCAAGGGTGCAAACCATGCAGTGCAAGATTTTCGGTAGAAGAATTATATATGAGGTTGTTAAGAGGTGTAATAACAGGATTCGTGATTAGATCGGTCCAAGTGATGGGCTCCGGCGTGTAAAAAGCAGTATCAACTGCAATAGCAATGAAAGCAGTAGCAAGGGCGGCCAGGACCAAAGCGGCCACCGTAAAGGGTCTGTAAAAGTCAGCCTTTGAGTCTAATGCTTCCAAGGTATGGCGACTGACTTATGCAAAAAATGAGGCAGTAACCAAAATCCAGGTAGTATCAGAAACGCTGGAAAGGTAACACGGTTGAAGAAGCCAAAGACGACAATCACTCCCAAAACAATAGACGAGAGTATAGATGACTGTTACCGAGGAGCGTCAGCATGAGATTGGCAACACAAATGCACATAATGAAGAAGCAAAAGACTCACTTGCGGAGCAGTGATGCGTTTTATCAAGACCAGGCTCCATAAGACAGTCAAGGTCTCGACTGAGTTGGAAAAGGTGTGTGTTTGGAAAGTCCAGGTTACATAAGACGATGCAACAAGAAGAAGAGCAGTGCGGCGCTGGCGTGTCTTGTTGGCTAAGTCATCGAGGTTGATCAACTCGTCAAGGGCCCAGTCTTCCAGCACAAAGCTTGTCAAGAACATCAAGAACCTCAGCGTCCAGAAGACAACAACAGGAGGAATCTCGCCATCTTGGCCATTTCCAACCCAAAGCCAACGCAGCAAAAGCATAGGGAGTCCATAGACGGGCCAGAGAGGGAACACACTCCGAATCGGATTCTCGCTAGTGAATTCCCATGTATGCCGAACAGGGTAACTAAAGATCTGGCCTATATAGATCGGACATCCGGTTAGCCATTTTTTAAAGGAACCGCTACTAATAAATCCATTCATAGCTAATTTAACCAGCAGCCAGCCTCAAAGGCAGCAAGTAAATAAGATCTAGATATTACATAGTACCCGAATACATACCGGCAATCACTTCCGGCCCCTGGAAGTTCTCATCGGGGTGGAGGTAGCTAGGCGACAGAGCAAACCAGAGCCTGATGAGAACTAGGAGAAGATATGTGCGCCGCCACATCTTACTTTGGCTGACAGCTTAGAAGATCGTGTAGGTGGAGCAAGCATGAGAGTTGGGAAACGCTGATACCGATGAAGAAACATGAGCAAGTCGGATAAGCGCGGATAAAATGTCTTTGTGCGCACGCAGGCTGGCCGTGCTGAGAACAAAGAAGAAGGAGGAAAGAAAAAGGATAGCTGGCAATTACAAGTAGTGCGGTAGTGCTACCATGATAAGGGGGGAAAGTCAACAAAAAAACTCTAGGTTGTCGTGAATTAAGAACAACGGAGGTATTTGCTGAGATAACGCTGCGAAAGCAGAGGCAGGCCGTTAGATAAAGCGATGCGGCGAGGTGTATTAAGCAGCGAAGATGACGAGGCTTTAGGATGCGTCAAAAAGGAAAGACAAAGAAAGAGAAAAGCGAAGCAAAATTCGAGTCAACGCGTGGGAGAATCCAGGGACGCGCCAAAAGGCTAGAATAGGTGGCCAGGCTGAGGCTGATGACCTGCTGGCACCTGAGACCTGAAGAGTGTGCCTGGCATTGAAAACAAAAAATAAGGGGCATGACCTCATCTTGTCCTTGCCGTCGCTTTGGTAAGCAGGGCATTTTTTGGTGCTTTAGTGATTTGGTGCTTTGGAATGCCAGCTTCAGCTTTAGGCTTAGCTAAGGGCGCCCTAAAGCGTTTCAGCGATGGGAGCTGTCAATGCAGCAATAACGGCATGAAGGTTGGAACAAAGGGGTCCTTTTTCCTTTATTCTTTTTTTTTGGTCCATGTGTGTCTGATTGTCCTTCACCATTGAATAGAAGAGGTTATGGCTTACACTTGCAGGCATCTATCTATAGAAGAAGTGCGTAAAAAGACAAACGCAAGACAGGCCTGTCACTTTCCTAGTGCTACCCAAGGGCGATGCCGTAGGGCTGGGGCATGTATATGAACGAGCAATAGCACTGGTAAATGCATACAGCTTGAAGATTCACCAGCCGAACGAATTGTCTCTCATCGAGCTATTCAAAGTAAAATTTTCAGTAGAATGCCTTTGTCATCAATTGAAAATTATGTCATGCGCTGGCTCCATGACAGCCCTATACCAGGACTGTGCACTACTATAGGTACTGATCCTTCAGCGAAGACTCCGAATAGCGTGATGGTATTCAATGTCAGGCTGGGCTGAAAGCGGCCCGCAAGTGTAGGAAACAGACCCTCGTCAGAAGCAACAGACTTTACAAGAAAAGCCCACAAAAATAGATGTGCACTAATATTGTGTTGCTCATTTGGGGCTCCTTTTGAGCAACTAAAAGAAGAGTCACTTCTTTGATGCTGACTTTAGCCACTCGGCCATTAAGCTTTCTTTCAACCCTCGGTGGCGGTACGTACTGCTCTCCACCAGCGGAACCCCGCAGAACTCAAGGGACTTGCCTGCCTGCTCTGCTCTGCCTACCGCTGCCGTCCGTGCCTAGCAGCTGATATTTCAACCTTCAGCTCCCGCACTCCTAGCCGCGTTCCTCGCATCTCCATCATCAACCGCTCTCCGCCTCGCTCAAACGCCTTGTGCTACATCGCAGCATCCGTCTCCATCGTCTATATCGTATCGCTACATCCATCAGCGCTTCTCAAAGCATCTGATTATCACAATGGCAGAGGCAAAGCCCGCGTCCCAGAAGATCTGGCTGATCTCCAATGACAACGCCACCATGGAAGTCGGTAAGCTCATCCTCGCTGGACCATCGCCATCTCTTTGCCGACGGCTTGAAACTGACTGTCAACCCCAGACCGTGTCGTGGTTGAGCGCTCCATGCTCTTGAAGAACATGTTGGAGGATTTGAGCCATACCGACATCACCCAGGACAACCCTATTCCCATCCCCAACGTAGGCTACTTCCCATCGGATCTTTGATGCTCTTTCTAGAACGCCGCTGACAGGGTCTCGGCAGGTCAATGAAGCAGTCCTGCGAAAGGTGGTCGAGTGGTGCGAGCACCACCGTAACGATCCCGTTACTACTCCCGATGACGAGTCGGATGCCCGCAAGAAGACGACTGATATCGAGGAGTGGGACCAAAAGTTCATGCAGGTGGATCAAGAAATGCTCTTTGAGATTATTCTTGTATGTTTGAATGATGACTACCCAAATCAGACCTCCCCAGGAACCCCAGCTAACTATAAGCCTAGGCATCCAATTTCCTTGATATCAAGCCTCTTCTGGATGTCGGTTGCAAGACTGTCGCCAACATGATCAAGGGCAAGTCTCCCGAGGAGATCCGCAAGACTTTCAACATCACGAATGACTTCTCCGCTGAGGAAGAGGAGCAGATCCGTCGTGAGAACGAATGGGCTGAGGACCGATAAATCATGGTCGCTGTGGCTATTAGTGCTTCTTGAATTATTTGTTTTTGCTGCCGGAGAGCAACAATACGAGCCTCACTGTTTCTGGGGCTATTTCATAGAGCAACCAACGGCGTTGGTGGAATTGAAATGATAGGGCTATTGGTTTCTTTTATCCTCTCTTTTGGGCTCTTTTACTTTTTTTTTTTTTATTAAACTGGTATCTGTTTTTGGGGCAATGTTTTCGGGGCACGAACGACTGACAACAGTCGATCAATCTTCATGAGCTGGGGACTTGTCTCGCACGTTTACACTTGCGTTAGATAACAATTTCTAACATACATCTGAATGACTGTTATAATATAGCTACTCTAAAGTGCGAGAATGGCTTGGTGTTAACGTGACAGTCTTTGGCATTCTCATATCTGATTATCGTGAAACTTTCTGTGCTCACATCCAATCGTAAGAGAACTGGAGTAGCGACAATCAGATGTTGCTGTGAGGCCTTATCCTACCTAGGTATTTTCGAGATACGCATGTGGTGACCAGTGATTGTTATCTGTACGATGCCACTAGAGTCCGAACAATTTACTGGGAAATGATGATTGGAAATGGCGGAGCATGTTTTCATCACCGTCCAGGGAAAACGGCTGGTTGATGAAGTCTTTACAAAGCGAGTAGCAACATAGGCACCGTGCTCAGAAAAAGAAAAGAGATTTGAGACTTGTGGTAAAACAAGCAAATGGACATCAAAAAATAAAGGTTCATTTCCTTTCCCTATGACCGACCGTGACATGAAGCAATATCAAGAATCAAAAATCCAGGCAACCGTGCCCAATATTCCGTACGTCCGCATCCTCCTTCCCACGCGCCCTAAAGACGACAAAGAAACTCTGTTTTTACGCCCATCCACCACTGTTTTAACTTGTCATTGAGAAATGCCAAAGAAGCCGGATGTCGGTACCGTCGGTACAAGTGGGTCGAGGAATGCCAGGTGATTTTGTTTGTTGACGTCGCTTAGATTCCAAGACGAGTCTTTCTCCAGTGCCTTCTCTTGGCGTTGTAGCTGTGGGATTAAAATGTTAGCATCAAGATGTGTCAAAAATTTGGTTGAAAAGGTTTGTTCAATATGATAATGTGTGGAGAAATCGGTGATCGAAGAGAGGTGAGAGGGCGATGTATTTGAACAGCGAAAATTCGGTAGTGATCGAGAGATTGTGGCGATGGTTTCGAGGGAACAGGGAATTTTCTCGTCCATGGGGGAAGTTTGAACGCACCGGATTGTGTTGCCAGTGCGAAGGCGAATCCATTGCGGAACCGGGCGGTTCTGCTTCTGGGCCTTGGCCAGCTTCTGCTTGGTTCGGAAAGTCTTGTGGCTCTATAGAATCAAATGCACGTCAGTGGTCTGATCGTTTCTCAGAAAATATCGATTCCCATCTTTGCGTCTTCATGTTCCCGCCGGCGGTTGTGAGTTTGGAACACCACCACAAAAAGGGTGTTCTTCCGCCTCCAAAACTGCCAGGCCAAACTCTGGAAATCGCTTCTCTCCAATAGGACGTATCTCCTCATAACAACGAGCAGGAAGGGGGCGCTGCATACCGGCATCTTGTTGACCTTGCGTATCGAGTCTGGTGATGATGACGATTTTCGTTGATAGATGAGAACGATTGTAGATTTTGCGACCCGCATCCGAGGGCGTAAAGCCCTAGCGGAGAAGAGAGAAAAAATGGTGGGTTTGTGGCTGGTGCGACAGGTGGCGCAGGCGAATCTTTTTTCCTGAGGCAGAGAAGTTCTGGCGAGGAAATTGTGGAAATATTACCTAAGACGGCCTGGATCGAGTGGACAAAATAAGACGGCCATGGCGCATCATGCTATGATGAGCTAAGCGGCACCTGGATGGAAGCTTTTAGAGTCACTCTGTGAAATTTTTGGCATTCCATTTCGTATTTTTTTTTATGAATCGACCTATCATTATTTACCAACAAAACTATGCCAGATCCCTTATTTGGAACACGTAAAAATATATGTCGCATAGATGCAATCTTACTTCTGGCGACAAAAATACACACATGCATGCTTTTAGCAGGTCAAGTGATATAAGGCTGCGTGAGATTAGCCTTAATTATTCTGTCTAGCGTCTGGGCCAACCAGAGGCCGCCGTTGGGAAGGGTCATTGCCTCTAAAACAAGGCCTACCAAGATAGCTGCAGATGGGCGTTGGAGCCTCCGGAATAGGGGACAGTTTGTAATTGATAACTTCCGCATACCTAAACACTTCAACGAAACCCCCTTTGCGACGGCTTTTGCGGCGCACACGCGAGAAACCTTTGATCGACTCATTCGTCCGGCGTTTATTGCGATTTTTTTCAACAATTCCCGTTTAGCTTTTTTCTTTTTATTTCAGCGTCCCGAGAGAGGCAAACACGCTCCCCTCGACGATTTCAAATCCACCCGCCTGGGACGAGGCAAACCGCGAATAGCGAAACACTCGGTGCACCGTTAGGGGACTCCAGGCTACATATTTCACGATGGGTGCAGGCATGTCATGGCTGTCCAACTTGGTCTGGGCAAAGAAGGAGATCAGAATTCTAATTCTGGGCTTGGTATGACGTCGTGTGCTGCCTTGGGACCTCGGTGATGGATTGCTAATGCGTCGGCGCTCAACAGGATAACGCGGGCAAAACAACCCTTTTATACAGACTGAAGGTAATTATAAATGGCTGTTGCCATTGTTGTTAATCTTTTTAACAATATACTGACTTTGAGGATTAGATCGGAGAAGTTGTCACGACGATACCAACGATTGGATTCAATGTCGAATCAGTCACGTACAAGAACCTCAATTTTAACGTCTGGGTATGGATAACACCAACAAAAACACATGATAGAATCACAAGTGACTTCTTTTGCTAACAAACATTATTTCTTGTCTGCAGGATCTGGGCGGACAGACTAGCATTAGACCCTACTGGCGGTGTTACTACGCCAACACTGCGGCCGTCATCTTCGTCGTCGACTCTACCGATATCGATCGATTACAAACCGCGGCAGAGGAGCTTTCGGCCATGCTAAACGAGGAGGAGCTCAAAGATGCGGCTCTGCTGGTATTCGCCAACAAGCAAGATCAGCCCGGCGCCAAGGGGGCGGGAGAGATCTCAGAGGCGCTGCAGCTGGGCGAGCTGCGGGACCGAAACTGGAGCATCATGGCTTGCTCGGCAGTCGACGGCAGTGGTGTGAACGAGGGCATGGATTGGCTAGTGGTAAGCTTCTTTTTTTCATGTTCCTGAAGATCGATGCATCTCGGGTGTTGGAATACCGAACGAGGCTAACGTTGAACGTTCCAAATCTAGCAAACCGTCAACTCGGAAAACTAAAACCAAACCATATTTTTTTTCTATCATGGAGACTTAATAACAGCCATCTCCTTTTGTGTTTTCGAAAACCACAATCTTGTACAACAAACGATATGATGAAGGCAACACGACGGTCGGATTCCGTTGTATGTGGGCATGCAACCATACACCTGGCGATCAGAGGAGGAGGACATGCAGCGAACGGCGCACTGAGCTATCCATCTAACAGGCGGATGACGGGCATTTTGAGAGAGGATAAATCATATGGACGGGACAATGTCAACAATACTATCATTTAATTTAGACTTGGGATACCAGTATCAGTATCCCAATTTGATTCTCAATATTGGTCTCGGTCTTTGAAACACCGAGTTCTTGCATCAGATGCCTAGTGCCTCGTATCTAAACAAGAGCTGCCACGCGGCACGCCGCAGTAGATCTAATCAAAGACCCGCAACGCGCGGACATTCTAAATTCTGTACCAAACTTGCGTTGAGAGTTGTAGATATATCTGAGCTGGGGCATCCAGAACTACCTGAAAATCAAGACAGCGAGACAGAATTGTCTTATCGCCCCTCACTGCCTCTTATTTGTTACATAAAAGCCCGCATAGTATTATCAATAACTCTCTCGGATTACGACGGCCGAGGCTCAGAACATCCGATGGGAATTTGGATTCGAAGAAAGAGGGTGTGAAGGCAATGCTACTACACAGGAGTGGGTTTCTGGACCTTTAGTTTCAATGTCTTGATGTGTATGAAACATGGGGACTCGGGCTTCGGGATATACAATGGGGTGGAGCTGGTTTTACGAAGTCTACACTTTACTGAGCATGGCGTTGGAGGATGAGATTTTGGCGTTACCTTGGCTATATTGTTGTAGCCTAATTTGAAGGGCAGAAGAACTGAGAGGGATTTTGCTGTGATCGCTTATTTTACCTACAGGTACTGGTAGTATTTGCAGTTGATCTGAAGAGCTAGCGGCAGCCCACTGGCATGTGTACGTTAGAGAAAGGATGTTACCAGCAACTATTAGGATTGATACAGTGAAGTCAGCAAGGAGAGTGTTATATGAGATACCGATTTTTGACTTGGCCGTTAGTCTGATACAGACATTTACAACATCATATGAAATTTGCTACCAATCTTTCTCAGGCTGTTGTGTGTTGCGGTTTACAACCACCATTACCTAAGGGCCGCGAAGAAAGAGAGGGAATTCTCAGACGATCAGCATACACCACCCTTGATAACGCTACATAGCATCCTATACATTACTCCAGTTATAGCATGGGCTACTGCTGCTACTGCTGCTGTGTCAATTTGCGGTCTCTAGCTACCACCTAAGCATGCGCTAAAAATCGCAAGCGAGCAGGTGACCACGCGTTAAGAGGCTTAGGGACACCGAGACGCGAGGCGCGCCGGCATCTCTCCGTTCAGGCTGAGCAAAGCCAGCTCGCTTCTAGCGCGAACCACTCATCTTGATAATGCCAATGGTGGGAAGGAGAACCGCCAGGATTCCAGGCGGCACTTGCGGCACTGGCGGACGAGAGCAAGGGTCTGGTAGGGCCCCCGCCCTGGACATGAGAGCTTGTTCCACGGCTAACGAAGTGTTTTCGCTGGTATATACCAGAGATGGAATAGCTAGGTCTAGTTGAGTTGAGTTGGGGGAAGGGCAGAAGATGAGCGTTGAGATGTGGCGTGACATGAGCTGTCAGATGTGTTAATGTGTTAAAGTGTTACTGTAAGCCACTTATGACATAGGAAGGCTTCTTTCAACTGCCGTAAATAGTAGTTGCACCAGAGCTTCAACTTTAACTTGTAAGACAGGGGGGTATACACCAGTTATTTCACCCATGGACTGCCACACAAGAGAAGGAGAAGAAAGGCAGCAATGTGCTTATGGTGTTTGATACTGCTCGACCACTTCTTACGGCCGAAAGGACAAACAAGGCTAGTAGCAGCGAGCCCACGGCAAAAAGGACCACTGGAGGTTCAGGCGGCGGGCTACGTACAGCTCTCTGACAGGGAACATGGACAGAGAACGCGCCCGTGCCCCGCCCCGGACAAGTGAACCGAGCCGGCTTTCTTTTCACGGCCTGTTTATTGGTTCTCGTCCAGTCCCCCACATCGGGCTGGGGCCAGCGGGGGGGACAGGCAAGTGGGTGGACGCTGACGTAGTTGAGAGCATTCTGGGCGAGCGCAGTGGAACTGGCAACAGAGGCGGGCACTATGGCGATATAGTCAGGCACAGCAAGCTTTCGAGTCGATGGCTGGGGCAAGACCGAGCTTTGAGCGGTATCAATGCGGCAATAACGGGGAAAACACAGCTGCGAACAGTGGGTACAGGTATGCCAGGAGGATGAGACCAAGGCATTGATGCGGTACAAGCAGCCAGCCGTACACGAGCTCAGAGCTAATGTATGGCAAGCAACTGAGGGGAAGCCCAGCCCAGGCCATGTAACAGACATGCCGCCAGCTTGCACCCATTGATGGCTACAGGCACATGGGCTCGCTTCCACTGCTTCTTCTCTTCGGGTCAAGGCCTCGTCTTGCATTGGGCTCTCACCCCACCATTACGTTGAGCTCCTCGCGTATAAAGACGGCGGCTGGTCCTGCCCCTCCTTATAGCTGCCTTGCCTCGTCTCTCCAGCTCTTCTCGACTCTTCTTCCCCCATACACACATCAATTCGTCTCGAGTACCTTGTGCTTCACCAGGGTATCTCTGTCTGATATTTGCCTGCTGGGCCACCTACCTATACTTCTACCTTGCCAGCAGCTTGTTCAGCGAACAAGACGCCATCCGCCAAAATGACGGCCGACGACACGCCAGCGTCCACCTTTAGGTACAATGAGAAGCCTACCTACACCACTTCCAGTGGTGCTCCCATTGACAATCCCTCGGGCTGGCAGCGCCCAGGCACCATTGGACCGCTGCTGCTCCAGGACTTCCACCTGATTGACTCTCTCGCCCACTTTGATCGTATGTTTTACCCCTCCTGTTTCCGTATCAAGAAGCCCTTCAGAGCTCGACCCCATTCCTCCCTCCCGTGACTCTAGAATAGCTTGCTAACACTTCGTATCCATCTAGGCGAGCGTATCCCCGAGCGTGTCGTCCATGCCAAGGGCGCTGGTGCATATGGTGTCTTTGAGGTCACTCACGACATCTCCGACCTCACTTCCATCAACATGTTTGATACTGTTGGCAAGAAAACCAACTGTATCGCACGCTTCTCAACTGTTGGTGGAGAGAAGGGCTCTGCCGATACCGCCCGTGACCCCCGCGGCTTCGCCATCAAATTCTACACAGACGAAGGCAACTGGGATTGGGTCTACAACAACACTCCCGTCTTCTTCATCCGTGACCCTACCAACTTCCCCCTCTTCATCCACACCCAGAAGCGCAACCCCCAAACAAACCTCAAAGATGCTACCATGTTCTGGGACTATCTCTCTACCCATCAAGAGTCCATCCACCAAGTCATGACTGTCTTCTCCGATCGAGGAACTCCCTACTCGTACAGACATATGAACGGATACTCAGGCCACACCCACAAGTGGACTAAGCCTGACGGATCATTTGTCTATACCCAGGTCCACCTCAAGACCGATCAAGGCAACAAGACATTTACAGGAGAAGAAGCCGCCAAGATGTCTGCTGAGAACCCGGACTGGAACACTCAAGATCTTTTCGAGGCCATCCAGAAGGGAGATTACCCCAGCTGGACCGTCTACGTCCAAGTGCTTACACCTGAGGAGGCAGAGAAGTTCCGCTGGAACATCTTTGACTTGACCAAGGTCTGGCCACAGAAGGACGTGCCCCTCAGGCAGTTTGGCAAATTCACCCTCAACAAGAACCCTGAGAACTACTTTGCCGAAATTGAACAGGTTGCCTTCTCTCCCTCTCACTTGGTGCCTGGTGTTGAGCCCTCCATCGACCCTGTCCTCCAGTCCCGACTCTTTTCTTACCCTGATACCCATCGTCACCGTCTTGGAACCAACTATCAGCAGATTCCCGTCAATGCTCCACTCAAAGCATTCAACCCCTTCCAGCGTGATGGCGCTATGGCTATCAATGGCAACTACGGCGCCAACCCTAACTATCCTAGCTCTTATAGACAACTGACTTACAAGACTGTCAAGCCCACCGTGACACACGAGAGTTGGTCTGGTGCTGCTGTCCACGAGCTTTTCCAGGAAGTAAATGACGACGACTTCGTCCAGGCAAAGGGTCTCTGGGATGTGCTCGGCCGCACCCCTGGCCAGCAGGAAAACTTTGTCTCAAACGTCTCTGGCCATCTGGCGGCTGCTCACCAAGATACCCGTAACAGAACATATGAGATGTTTTCACGGGTGGATAAGGCCTTGGGCGCCTCCATCCAGGAACAGACAGAAAAGCAGGTCAAATAAGCGAAATATGTCTGTCAAATTAGGACTCAAGGATACATCCCCAAAGATGAGATTTGAGCTATGAAGAAAAAAAATTGAGATAAATAGATATGAGAAATGAACAACTTGTTATGAGAACTTGATTTCACGTATGTCAGTAAGATACAGAAAGAGGTTATTTGAAAGCGAAATGGCATGTTCAATGCTATCAAAAATACAAATCCTCCATGTCTGAATCTGTAAACAAAGCATTTATTCATCCATCTGTCCAATACGGTACTCCTATTCGCAAGGCTCGTTCATAAGGCAACAAGTATTTCGACAAGTAGTAGCCAGTTCATACGATTTACGATCATGTACGAGTTGTTCACAGATAGTTAAGAGAATACCACGGTCCAGTTTTTTTTTTATGTTTCAATTAGCTACCTAGTAGTACTGCCAACGACAAGAGAACGAACAGGGACCCTTTTCCAGCAGTGCGCTTCATACTTGCGTGCAAAGCATCCCCACCGCCAGGGTGAAGAGCCACATTTTTTTTCCCGTCTGTTATATCATTTTTTTTTGGGCGGTTTTCCCTCTTTTTTTTCATAACATTTTCTCTCGCACACTTTGAGTTTTTGTTTTTGTTTTATATCCAGCATCTCTTGAAATGCATATACCAAGCGCCCTTCCGTTTCCAGCGGAAGAGCCCTGGAGCGAAGCAGGTCATGTCAAACAAAGCACAGCCTTGTTTGGCAGCCTCTGGCCTCACTCACTTGGTATCGCGCCACAGCCGCTACCAGTGTCTACCTCGGCTAGATCCAGTCTAACGGAGAGAACAACTCGTAGCAGAAGTGGGGGCGTAGAGAGATGAGCTACAAAATCATTTCGCCTCAGTCTCGCCAGGCAGTCTTAAGGGGGCGCAACTCCTCGACCCGCGGCAGCTTCTTTGATTTCAGCTTAGCCAGCGTAATGGCTAGGCTCCGCGGTGTGCCGTATTAGAGTGCCCCCTCTGGATGCTTGAGATGCCCGGCTGAAAGAAAGATGGTGAAACAATGTAAAGGAAGCAGGGACTAGTCGCACTGCCCATCGCTGCTCAGCAGATATGGGAAGTGAAGCTCACCCCTGTATTATCTTTCCGTTTATCAGCAGCCCGCGCGGACTCGCCGCCGGGCGTGCACACCCCTGTCGACAACCAGTGTCTGTATGGGCTAGGATATGCCGGATATCCCAGCACCATGATCACAATTGCGTTATGGTTTGGTTTTGCTGGCATGACGTCGTGTTCCATGAAGACAGTACTGGTCTGAAAGCCAGTTCAAATCCAGTTTGTCGAATGTTGGAAGCATAAAGTTGAGCTGAATAAATTGGTTGCGTCGTAAGAGTCCTTGATAGGCATTCTGAACATTCCAAAAGGTCGTATCGCATACCCAAGAGATCTATTCATAACTCATTCGTATCGTCGTCAAATATTCGTAAAGCAACATTAACGCAAGACAGGATTAAGGAAAAACTCCAAGCAGTAACCCGAAGTATCATAGTCAGGCACCACATTGAGGGGATATCTTCCAAAGAAAAAAGAAAGTCTGCTTTCTGAATGTCTCTCAAGAGAGAGGCAACCCAGAATAGACGAGAAGCGAAAGTGTAGGATATTCAAATCCAATGGAGGTTTCGGGCCGAGCCGATTGTTGTGCATTGCTGCAGTTTGCCTCTTATCTTTAACCCAATGGTACCAGAAAAACAAGAATAAGGAAAAAAAGAGAAAAGAATGTCGCAAGCCGTTGGTGACTGTCGAAGAAAAGAGTCCCCGTCCGTTGAAGAAAAAAGTAAGCATCCAGATTGCCAGCCTCGGATCCAGCCATGTTGGTGGTATAATGTAAACAAAATAACAAGTTAACCAAAAAGAAATGCCGAGCTAGCGGCTCTGATGCGACAGATGATGGTATTTCCTGGATCTTGAACGAGGAACTAGATTCGAAACCAAGTGCACGCTTGCTGTGTCGCCGATAGCAAAACGGAAAAGGGAATAAGGAAAAAGAACCAAGAAGAAAGGGTTAGAAAGAAAAGGGGGGAAAAAAAAAAGAGGAAATGATTAGGGGTATTTCCTAGCAAGAATAATTGGATGAGGTATTCGAACTCCGTTCCTGATGCAACAAAACGCCTATATGCCCTGACAAAATGTCTATGCCGCTGAGAAGATAAAAAGACTCGTTTGCTTTTTTCCCCTGAGAAAACAAGGGGGAAGTGATCCGAGACCACAAGCTGGTAACCGGGACAGTATTAAGAAGAAGCCAGCATAGCAGAGCTGTACCTTTACATCGTCGTGGCGTACTCTTGGTAGCGATCCCAGCCAAAGCCGCCCATGCCCATGCCGACGCTGACACCGCATTGTGACGGCGCATAGACACTCGGGAGAGGGAGAGCTGGAATGGGTGCCATGATTGGCGGGCTGAAGAAAAGCTCGGCAGTGGAGTGCGGGTAGCTAAATGAAGGCGTAGGAGATGGCAGCTGCACATCGCTCATGCCCATGTTGGCCCAGATGGGAGTGTTGACCGAGTCGACAGATGAAGTAACGCTGGGGCTCGAGGGCAACACTTGCCAAGGCTCAACGGCGGCAGGGATGATGTGAGGAGGGCCAGCCTGTGTCCACATGTTGGCAAGAGGAGAGCTGGGTAGCAGAGGCGGCTGTCGAATGACTTCGACAACACGAGGGGGAGGAGGCAGAAGCGGCTTCATGAGGTTCATGAGGCTCGTCTTGACTTCCTCGCTCTTTCCGTTGAGCAGCTCGCCAGCGCCCTCCTCCTCAAGACCTTCCAGGGCAGAGACGTGTGTGCGGAAAACAAACTTGTTGACAGCCTGCACAAAGTCTTCATGCAGCTTCTTGCACTGCTGCTCCTTCTCAGACCAGTCGTAGGTGTTGGCCTTGGCATCAACGCAGTAAATGTCCTTGTGGTACTCGACGAGGGCGTCAATGGTTTCGACGGTGAGCTTGTAGGCAACCTCGTTGCGCAGGACCATGTCGACGTGAACGATGTAGGCCTCGATGTGGATGAGCTGATGGCTGAAGAGATTCTCTGTGGGGTCCTCTGGCATCTCGGCCTGGGGCAGCTTGGGGAACATTAATGAGCACAGGGTCCAGATGGCATTTGGCGATGACAGAGTCTCGGTAAGGCATCGGTGGTGCTGAGGAATGCTGTTGAGAGGACGCTTGACCCGGTTGACGCGCTTGAGTGTCTGTGTAAGCCATGGCTCAACCCTTGAGCTCAGGACGACGTTGACGGATGAAGCCCTGGGGGCAAAGGCAGCGGCTGAGGCCGGCAGAAGTTGGACCGGCATATTGTCGTATGAGGATGATATTAAGGAGTTGGCGTCAGACAAACAAGATGCCACGCGGCTGTTGTAGGCTGTACAGTTGAGAGGAGCACAAGGCGTCGTCGAGATTTGAGATGGGTCTTGTTTCTTTTTTTTTTATCTTGAAGAACAGAAGCGGCGATAGAAGGTGGTGGCGAAGGGTAAGGGACAACGGAAGGAGGACGAATGACACACAAACAAGAGGCAGAGCAAAAGATGAAAAAGAAAAGAAACCCGGAGACGGTGTCGAGCAGGGAGGGGCGCAACGTAGACAAGCTGACTGAATCACCTGCTGAGCAGCCGAATCCAAGGCAGAGGAGAAGAGAATGGCGGACGAGGGAATCGTGAAGGAGGAGGGAGAGGCAGCAGCAGAAGAGGTGGGTGTGAGCGGGGAGATATAAGGTCGGTGGTCGAGCGCTGGGGGGGCGCTGAGGGTTAGCGGCGGTAGGCGGGTGCAGTCAGTGCAGTCAGTGGATGTTGGTGCTGTGGGCGCGCCGCTGGAATAAATACCACCCACCAGACGGCTAACGTTAAAACCAGGTAGTGCTTGGGGCTAGCACGTAGCTGCAGCAGAGCCAGGCATGACTGCCTGCTGCATCTGCATCTGCATCTGTACCCGCTCGCTGGCGTTTTTTGTTTTGTTTTTTTCCAATATCGGGCGCTTTCCCACACTTGCTCGCACACACCCCTCCCCTGAGGCGTGCGTCTTGGGTCCGGCCAGAGGCGAGAGCGAGGCATCATGGCATGGGCTGGCCGGCGCAGCGGCGGGCCGGAGGTACTCCCTACTTGGTTGGGGCCGCACGGCAGTATGACGCAGACGAGTAGGGAGTACCCAAGGCCACCCTCCCGTGCACTCCGTGATCGAGGACACTTGTATGATACGCCTCTTTTTTTGCCTTTGGGTGTTTCTCGTATGGCGTAGCAGGTCGTTTCATTGGAATCCGCATGTGCCAGACACGCTGCAGCATGTAATCCCTTCCTGATGGCCTGTAATCTGTAATCTGTAATCTGTAATCTGTAATCTGTAATCTGTAATCTGTAATCGGTGATACCCTCAGCGTGGGAGCACAGAGCCCGAGGTTGGATATAGACGCCGCTGAGAGGCGTCGGCCGGTGCGTGCCAGGCCGCAACTTAGTAGCCAGCAGCGGCCGCCAAGTGATGGCTGATGGGTACCTGCCGAAGGGAGAACCTCGTGCTGCTGCTGGGAACGGGGCATGCCGCCCTGTACTACTCGTACGAGTGCTACAACTGAACCATCACCATACGAATTATTGCGTAGTGGTGCTACCAAGGGTGAGTATTTCCAGCCCTTTCATCTCTCCCGTCTCTGTCTCAGTCGATGCTGGGCAGCAGCAGCAGGTGGCATTCCAAAGCGTTGCTGCTTAGATTGATACTTTGCAACACGAGTGAGTGCTGGTGGCGCAATAGGTACCCCGAGATGCTCCTCGGCACCACTGTTACAAGCAACAACCTAAAGACACTCGAGATGGTCAACTTGCCTGGCAACATTTGAACTCTGTCATAGCTGCTCCACTTCCTTCACTGCCTCTCTGCAACTACCGCTGCCACTTTGCCGCGCGCGGTGGGCCAGATGGAAGATGGAAGAGCAGAGAACTTCATCCCAGCATGGCCTGGGCTGTGCTGTGTAGAGCAGAATTCTGTCCTTGAGACTGCAAAAGGGGGTGCGCATGAATTGGGGGTGCGCAGAGGACGCATGGCTCCCAAAACGGGTAGTCCTGCAGGCGCCGGTGGAGCTGAGAAAGACCTGCAGCCCGCGCCACACACCGTCTTCCAGCAAGTACCGGGACTTTCGACTGCTACGTACCGTGGGCTGAGGGGCCACCAAGAGAAAACAAGGTCCGGTCTTTGGGCTGCCTTTAGCCTTTGCGGCGTCCATCGTGTCATACGGCCTCTTGTTTTTGGAATATTGCTGCATCTTTTGTCTTTTTGCTTCTGCGCAAGTGACACCGCCCGGTGAGACACCAACCTGTTTCCGTTCTGAGGGGAATATGCACGTCGACATCACTGGTGGGCAGCATGATGCCAGAGATCATATCACGAGATCAAGCCATCGTCGAGGCAGGGCCCAGTATCAGTAGGCGCTTGGCGCTGAGCGAAATATCTGCCCATAATGCACGATGCTCCGTGCGCGGTACGCACTTCTGCTGGGTAGCAGACGTGGTGCTGGTGGGTAGCAGCAGGAGTGGTTGCGGCGACATATGCCATGCCATGCCATGCCATGCCTACCCCGTATAGTATATGTAGTATATATGCGGATGGTGGATGGCCGCAGCGATCAAGAGTGGGTGGCCGTGGCATCAGGCTTGAAACATGCGTATCCTCTAGCATTTTCTCGGTTAAAAAATCAAGTGCCGTACTCCGTCGTGAATGATCGGCCGTCTGCCGTTGCCTTTACTCGCAGTTGACAGTTGCTGCGCTCCCACCATATCCCCATGCCCTCGTATAGAGAGCTTCATCAGGCCGTTTATGCTACATCGCCCCGTAAGCACTCTGTTTCGTGTCTTAAGCTGTCGACCGTGGCTTGCCCCATCTGCGTCCACCTCTCGTGAACCGACAGCTAGCTATATCCGAGCTCAATACAGCTGCCGTCATCTCTCTCGCTTCGCTCCTCATTGCTCGTACTTAGAGTTTATATCTGATGAAGAGCATTCGCGCTATTTAGTCCACATCCCATGAAAGAGGGGAAGCAATCCAAAGTGTAGTCTTTTCTAACAGAGCAGCATTGACTCAAGAAATGCACGATAGGGCCACTATCAACGCTTTCAAGCGGGAGGGCTGCGCCGCTTATGCAGGATGTAGCGACCCCCCGTGCGCGCCTCCGCTCACAGGATTTGCCTGTAGACTTAACGAACAATAGAGAAGCAGAAGGAGGAAGAAGAAGTAGAGCAAATAGGTAAAGGCACCCGCCTCCAGCTCGGCGACCAAAAGCGCCCCCAGAGGTCATCTTACTCAACTCCTAGCTCAGTTGGGACAGCGGTCAGCATAGGCAACTAGCAACGAGCTGAAACCAAACAAGGAAATTGATATCGAATGAGAGAAATTACTCTCGACCATCTCATCTCGTCGTCTGGTCAATGAAATGCAGAGTAGGCCCTTGTTTATGTTGGGTCTGCTGTAATGACTTGCATGCCAACGCCGCGCCATGCGCCGACGCACCTTGCCTAGTACATACTTGGGTGTAAGTGAGGAGACACCCTCCAACTGGAAAAATTGTTCAAGTGTTATGACTCTTTCTTTTTTTTTTTCTTCGTCCTCCACTTTCACAGTGCAAGCTTGAAATGTGCGGACTTGGCGGGTGGAATGTGCCGCCGCCCGAGCCATACCGGTTGTAGTCTCCTCGCTTGCGTGGTTCTTGATATGTACTGTGGACCATGGGAAGAGAGGTTAAGGGTCAGAAGAAGAACTGTAGGCGCCGTGGCATGTGTATTGGCCGCGTCCCCGCACGCAAAGGCGTGCTCTTCAGGATCGACCGTGGCCTTTCCCTTGTCGACGACCGATTTGATAGCAATCAAGTCCCGTGAATCATCTCAAAATCTCCGCATCGTCCGAGACCTGCGCCCTTGGCCAGTCCCGACTCCTTTTGGCGAGCTGCCAGGAGAGCAATAGAACCTTTTGATGAGAATGGATACCGTCTAGGGAGAAGCCGTCGCCCGTCTCCGTTAGGGCCGGGTGACTCCCCTGGCTGGGAAGGCATCCTGTGGCATTGAAACCGTCCTAATCGGTGCAGACATGTAAGTCCTGATCAATGGTTGGGCAATGGCTCGAGACAGTCCTAGGGGTCCCCGGAGCGTCCCGAGACGGCGGGTCACTTCTAGGAGTCGTGAATCTCAAAAGACCCTCCAAAAAGGGGACTCGTTGTAGACGAAAGAGATGACTTGTGTGCGAATCCTCGCAGACCAAGGAGCGTCGCCTGCATCTGGACGGTGTTAGTGGCAGTCGGCGAGCTGAGGTGTGTCGGTTGAAAAGAGCCTCTAGAGCCTCTGATTGGCCAGCGACCTTGGCTGCCAGGGTGGAGAAGCCAAAAGCGGCCGGTGAGGTCGGTGCTGATTGGCTCCTTGAGCGATTGCATCTAGCCAATCACGGCCGATGGCCAGATTTTCTCAGAAACTGTGCGAGCGCGGTCTCGAAAGCGAGAATGGGCTAGGAGACCAAAGGTTTGTGTAGGTCAAGCCAGCTAGCGAGCCCTCTTTTTTCGTGTTTCGTCTCTCTCACGTCCTGGGCTGTGGAGATTGATAAGTGACAAAGCTTCTCTCAAAGGGCAGCGGCCCATCCGACGCACTCACGGCACTTGAACATTCCCTGATCTGCCATCTGTATTCGCTGCAGAATCCCGGATATCCGTCTCCCAGAAACAAGAGACGAGGGCTCCTGCTCTAGCACCTTGGGGACCCTGCAGCGTCCGATCCTGCTCACTGGCCACTGGTTCGACCATCGAGAATGGGACCATCGAATCCGGCCGTTGTGCGACGCGGGGGGGGTCGATGGAGGTGGCCCCTTGAGGTCCGCCCGCAAGACAAGACTGCCAATGAGCGCCGTTGCGATGCCCTGATGCATTTCCTCGCTTTTGCCGTCGGCGGTGTTTCGTCAATGGCCGGCCAGGCTCACCACGTCTCGCGCGCCCGCCACCGTCTCACGGACCTTGTACGGGCCATGTTCGGGCTCGTCGTCCTGAACCTGTGGAACAGAACGGATCTGACCAGACACAGATGGGCATGACAGGCGTGGCTGGAATACGAAAGTTGCCGTGCAAGCCACAAGCCACACACACGAGCTACAGCGAGCTACAGGAAGGGGCAAGTACCGGTACATAGGCCCTGGCCAATTGGGCTGACGGAGCCAAATCGGCAGCCATCGGCCCATAAAAGGCCTATCAAACGGGCACACAATGAGCAAGTGTGAATTGCTTCAGCACCTCCATCAGCACCGTCTGGGTGTGCTCGTATAAGGCCAAGATCTGGGAGCGAAAGGAAAATCCTCGCCAGGCCAGGCAAGAACGATCATTATGCCGTAACACTGCAGAAGCAGCTTCAGTGGGAGCTGCAGCTGCTCCGTACTCGTACCTGCCACTAGTGGCCAGTAAAAGGCATTACCAAAAATAGCCTGGAATTCCATGTGGGTGCTGGTCGCCAACTAAAATGCTCCGGCCGGCTTGTCTTGGGGAAGTACAAAGTACCTTGTATCTTATCCTCAAGGTTCTTACAGCCCTGCTTCGTGGCCACGCTCACCCTGGAGGAGACATCGAATATGACAGCGAACATGGACGAGGCGATCACCAATTTTTTCGTCTTCTACTCGCCGCTGTGTGATACCCGCGGAACACGTCATTTGAGGCAACCAATGTCGACCATTAGGCACGCGTCGCTACAAGCAGTTTCATTAGGGCTGGCTGCAGGGCCGCGACAGCTATGCAGGCGGCTGGCTCTTGGGCCGCAGGTGACGACGCTCACCTCTATCCACCACGGTGTCGCCAGCCAGTAATTGGCGATTATCTAAGTGAGGCGAGGCTGCAGAGTCACAGCTTTGGGGAGCATGCAGTGGACGCCCCTCCAGTTACAGGGCAATGCATCTCCATGCACACATCGGATGATAGAAGCATACTACACAGTACATGTAGCTGCGCTCAACGCATCAACAGGCATTCATCAGCATTACTGCTTTGAGTCCCCAGTGGACCCTTCACCTTGACCACAGCAACGTTGGGTGGTATCACCTAGTGCCTGTAAGGCGACAACATGCCTACTCGGGACAGCAAAGCGCTACGTAGCGAGGCTGATGACTGCCACCGCATCTGGTCGCCCATATGGCCTTGCTAGCTATCGCCAACGTGGTCATTCTCAAAGGCAATCCATGAGCCTTGCCTCGGCCAACGCATTTTCTCCCTGTCTCTGTCATCTGCCTCGCTGCCAAGGTCACAGGCTGCCTCTGGACGGGGCATCGCCAGTGGCAAATGCAGACTCCCTACCGATGCAGGGGCATGAGCCTAATGCTTGAGAGCGTAGGTGCAAGTTGGCTACGCTACTATCACAACGTGCGTCTCAACAAACTTCTGATGCCATAGACTACGGATAACAAAGAACTCACGCCTCATGCAGGGCGTCCTGGCTCGAATAGCCGAGTCCCAGATCACTGGGGAAATCTTACCCTGGAAATTCTCCTTCCCCGAAGTGGCTCTTGCGGGCCCCACGCAGACGAGGGTCTTCACCGATCTGCCAGAGCCACCAACTACAATGCTCCGTCCCCGGCATGAAGAAATGGTCGTCCTACGAAGCATCCATATTGGCTCCTCCTAGGAAGATGTGGCTAGGAAGAGCTCTGCATGCTAGGATGCCGCAGTCGAAGCAATATTTTCTCATATAGAAGGATTCTCTCTGCATTAGCCGGTTTGGCAACACAAGGCGCGCACCCCGTGCTGCAAGCCCATTCTACAGCTCTACGACGTACCTGTTGTATCATCGTGTGCGTGCTTGCGGCCATCCAACTAAGCAGCGACAAGACCGAGACGGGTTGCCGAGTATCTCGAAAACGACCCGACACCCCCTGTGGATGGATGGCAATCATGCAACAACCCATGGACAGCTGAAAGAGCTGCAGATACCGTCATGGGCTACTGCAAAACCTCATCCATGGCCCCCTTGACGTCTTCCTGCATCTCCGGCCCATGGCTTTTCGTTAGCCGGACGTCGATGTCCTGCCACTCGGTATGCCCGCTAATCGTTAACGTGGCGCGGCAGACTCGTTGCCCACCAAGGGTCGTGGCTGTGTCTGCCTTGCGAAGTGTGGCTAACCCCACAAAGATCTGCCAGCTGTGTTGGCTGATTATCTAAGTACGATTCCCGCACGGGAGGCAACCAAATTCATCCACGCGACACGAAACGGGTCCAGAAGTACCGTCCCACTACACTTCACGCCAACGGCGACTTGGTCAGGAATAGAAACACAAATGATCCTTTGATCTGTAACAAGCGCGCCTCGGTATAGAGAAAGGGACAAGGGAAAGCTTCTAGGCCTCGCCATATCTCCCTTGCGTCGATACCTAATGAGCCAGGGTGGCCATTGAGCCCCTTCTAACCGGCGTCTAAAAATTTTCGATAACCCATGTTCATATTTTCTACTCTTAGCACCCTATGACGTCGTCGCCGTTGCTCGGAGCAGATTCTCATCATTCGACTCCGGCATGGCTGCTATCTCTCTTTTGGCCGCCATACCGCCCAGCAGTCAGTCACGAGGCCCAAGCGATGGCCTGAATGCAAGAGTAAAACTTGACGTTACATGCCTATGTATGTCTAGAGTAAAGAAAGAAGGAAGATAAACGGACAATGCTCTCGTGACCGAGGAGTCATGTGGACGGGCATCTGTAATAGGTCTGCCGTCGTGCCATCGTGCCTACGTCCCTACAGACTGGATTGATACGCCGAATGGTGCCCAAGCACCAGGCCGATACCTTGCAACGGTAGCAATAAGGCCTTGTTCCTGACTCATTTGTGCCCAAGTGCTACAGGGCCGGCCCGTCTTGGGCGTGCCTGGCGTATTGGGTTGAAGCAACAGGGTCGTCGGCCTAGTCTCAGCATGTCGGTCCCTGGCAAGTCGATCTGGCCTCAGCAAAAGGCGAAGAGACAAAATCCACCGTTGAATCTCGGTCAAATGTAGAGTGGCTTTCCATTCTTCGTTTACCAAGGCAGGCCATCAAATCCGGCACCCCGAGTCCTTTCCCTATTCGTTCCCGGTCTGCCGAGCGCGCTTGAGCCTCGATCCCTATAGGTCAAATTGTGAAACAAGAAGATGTTTCCGTCCAATCACTTTTGTTCTTACTACTTGAAACGACACCGAGATTGTCCAATTCATCCAATGAGTAGCTAGGCCAAGGCGTGGGCTCCTTATCTTTCCCCTACAGCTCTTTAGAGACACCCCGTGATATCCAGTCTGCAATGGACATGACCGTGACCATGGGGTTGACGCCGCTCGCGCTTGGGAACACGCTAGAGTCTGCAACAAACAAGTTCTTCTTTCCCCAGACGCTTCCCCTCTCATCAACCACGCCTGACTCGTTGCTGGCGCTCATTCGGCACGTTCCCATCTGATGCGCCGACCCAAAGGCAGACACGGGCGGCTTGTTGCCCAGAGTGCGCAAGTGCTGTAACCATTTGCCAAAAGCAGCATCTGTGAACTCGGGATCTTTGTCTTGAACGTGTTTTGCTTGCTCGGAGGCGTTGGGTATAAACGGCGGCAGGCCGTAAATGTGCGCTCGAATCTCTGTCGCACCACCGACGTAGGCAATCTTGGCGAGCCCAATGATTCCCTCTAGATTGTTCTCGCGGTCGAAATCAGATGGTGAGTACTCAATTCGCGGCTCACCCGTCTCGGGGTCGACGAATACTCGGCCAGAGTCTCGATCACGGGCTAGTGAGATGAAGTTGTTTATGTGCCGATATCTCATGGTGAAGAGCTTGGTATCGAGGCCGCTGCTCCAACTTTGTAGTGAAAACGCCATGTATGGCTGAATGGCATGGCCGAACCCCCTGCAGTTAGCGAAATCCAATCTTGGAGCGAGCACTGTGGCAGTAACTTTTGCTGGGCTCCTCCTGTTTGGTAGTACTCACCACCATGCATAACGGCTCTAGCTTGACCCCGTGCCCCTTGCCATCGAGGTTTTCAAATTCACCACTCCAGCTCGTGATGATGCCTCCTTCCCATGGTCGAATCTCTTCCCGATTCACAGCCATCAAAAAGTTGACGGGATGGAGGTGAAGATTACGTCCCAGTTGCGGATTCTATAAAGAGACAGAGGTGTGTTTGTGTCAGCGAGGATTCAACCATGTTGAACGGTCAAGTAGGCACAGACTTACCTCAACACCACTCTTCATCAAGATGACAGGGCTCCAAAAAGTCCCAGCGGACAAGATGACCTTCTTTGCCTTGATGACAACCTTCCTCTGCGTACGATCTCCGACGCCCTTGTGAAGGCCACCTTGCTCATCTCTACTTAGCCACGAACCTTGGACTCCTATTGCCGTCGCTCCATCCTCATCAAAGAGGACTTTTTCGACAGTGAGTCCCTCCATGAAATCGGCACCAGCTTCAGCTGCAGCGGGCAGCCAGGCCTGTGCCGGCCCCATTTTCTCTCCCAGGCCACAGCCCAGATGGCAATGGCCGCAGTAATGCTCCTTGTTAGCGGTGTTCTGATCGGCGACGCCTGCGTGCCAGCCCAGCTTCTTACATCCATCCAGCAGCTTGTTGTTGCTGAAGTTGTGGCGGATGGCCTCGGACCCGGCGCCAATGAATTTCCATACGCGGTCCATGCACTCGTCGAATTCGGGCGACGTGAAGAGCGGGAGGCCCTCATCGGCCCATTCCTTGCGTACGTAGTCCTGGAGCTTGAAACACACGCTCCAGTTGACTGACCCGCCGCCACCCCAGCAGCTGCCCGATGTCATGGATATGCTCGTGTCCTCGCTCACATAGGCGCCGCTATGGTCAAACAGATACTCGAGTCCGGCGCTCTGTGGCATGGGAAGATATGTAGGGTGGAAGTGGTATCCCTTGTCGACGACGAGGACCTCGTGCCCTGCCTCGGCGAGATTCTTGGCGCAGACGCCACCCCCGGGGCCTGAGCCGACAATGACTACGTCGGTGGTGATTTCGTGTACTTCGTCCTCCTTGCCGGCAGCGGCAGGAGGCACCTGAAGGAACACATAGTCGTGCCCTTCCGCGGGCTTCCAGTCTTTGGGGACGTCGGGGTATCCCGAGATTTTATGGAGGTAAGGGTTGGTGGTGCTGTTTGCCTTTCCGGCCAGGGCGACCATGGACTTTGCGAGACCTCGGAATGTCGAGAAGCGAGAGGTGGTCCATGATTTGACGATGGCTTCGCGGGTGCTTGTGGGTTGTTGGGTGATGGGGCTCCAGTAGCCTGTTAGCAGCAGGCTTCCGGCGTGTGTTCTTTTATTTTCATAAGAGTCAGTTTTCATCTCTCCTGAAGAGGGAGGGCCGTATATAATAGAGAGGAACCAACACTCACCCTAGTGTTCCAAGGACTCCCGCAAGCTTGGCCCTCGCCGGCGATACGCCCAAGCCCCGTATACAGTCCTCGCGGAATTCGGGATGCGCAGACGGCCGAAAGGCGAGAAACTCTGCAATCTCCTCTCTGCTTGGAGCACCGTCCAGTGAGCTGCGAACCTTGTCTATGAGGCTGTTGAATTCGTCGTCAGGGATGGCAATCTGCGTGTCCTTGTCCGTGATGGCAGATGCAGGCGCGATGGACGGCAGGACGCCATCGAGGATAGCCCAGAGTGTCTCCCATTGATCGGCGGTCATGAAGTCGGTGGGTGGTGGTGGAGGGAGAGTGACTGGCACGGGTGCCTTTATGAGTGGTTCCGCCATGGTCGATTATTTCACTGCTGTACGCGATATAGATTGATGTATCAGATAATGAGTTTGAGGTATTCTGTATGCCATCTTGTTAGTCTTTATATGCCCCTTTCAGATTCCATTGAATGGATGAAAGTGGTCCGTGATGAACTCCGAGAGTCGTACATGTAGATATATAGCAAACAATGCGCCGTGGGAGTCTGCTAGTGTACGGGTGACTTTGTATACTCGCGTCACACCAATTAATGAGCAAAAGACAAGATTGATGGGAAAAGGAATTTTAGCAGCTTTCTTTCCTCTGGTGTGGTAACACCGCGGCGTCAATTGAGAAAGAAAAGTCGGAGCTCTTTGTTTTTTTTTTCCAACGAAGGAGCGCTCTCTCTCTTAAACTCACGCGCACGCACACACGCACGCATGTAGTTAATAGCTGGCACGAGCAAAAAGAGCTTAACGTCTCCACTGCATAACAAGCTTATCGAGATCGAAAAGCTTATGTAGTGTAATCACAAAAGGGGGTGAGATTTGCTGGATGTGAGTAGTGGACGCTCTAAAAAGCTGCTTTGAGATGAGTAAAGACAATGGTTTTAGAGGCACAGTCAGAACTTGAGAGCCGAGAAACGCGTCATTGCCTGTGAAGCGAGCGGGGGAGAATGAAGGGCAATTGGCGGCAACGGACGGCTATTAAATAGTAGCGGTATTTCCAATATTAACAGACGACGAACAATCTGCTAGTAGTAGTTGTCCGGGGCATTTTTAGCTGCTGTCTATTTCGGATATGGGGTCCTTGCGAGTGCGGGGAGGCGAGCCGAGTTGGAGTATCTAATGCCTATAACGGCAGGGTACATGGCACGGCCGTGCTAATCACTCACATATAACGGTATATATCGCATGGCCTACTTTTATCAGAAAGAGGGAAATGCCGTTTTACGTATGTGTTTCCATCTTGCAGCTTAAATTTACAAGCGGGAGGCTCGGTTACTGTACTTGGATAAACCCAAGATCCCCCCCACATTCTAAATACTACTTCACAGATGCAGTCCCGATTCAAATACTACATTGCTACTATTGAATTTTTTATCATTGAATCTCTATTTCTCCTTCTAGAGATACCTACTTACCTCCTAGACAGGCAGCCAAGCTGCTGGCTGCAGCGAGCCTTTCCCCCATCGAGCTATACGTACCACGCGCACACTTACACGGCCCATCCACCAAGATGCCTCGGCCCTCCCCTCCTCTTTTCCCTCTCTTTACTCTTTCAGGCGGAAACAAAGGATACATGTGACGAATACTAGTCATGCATCACTAAATTAGTCGATTTACCCCGTCCCCGGAGATCTCTCTTTCTCCCCCTCTGCTGACTTTTCAATCGCGGTGAAAACAGGGGGAGAACAAGCGTAAACAGGTACGTGAATGTAGTTAGTTGTCCCGAGATGCCGCTTCAATTACTCCACTCAATCCTGCCCTATTTTCAAGCCAAGAACGAAACATGCATAGAGGTCACAATAAGCTGCCATGATATAAGATTAAAGTCAATTAGAGAAAAGAAGCAGAATGAAAAGAGAGAGAAGTAAAGTCAATAAATGGCGACTTACCTGGCACCCGCAATGCGAGAACGATGAAAAAAAAAAATTGTATAAAACTTTGGCTCTCAAAGCAAAAATTACATTGGCAGCATACGAGCCATCATCTTGACTGCGTGCACATATATCTCTCGTGAGCGGGTTTGTGGTAGGTTATGTAGTTTGTAGTAAAATTTCCCGTCTTAGATTGGGGTAATATGGTGTCTGCAGGGGCGGAAACAGAAGCGCAAAGCGTTTCATATGATTGCTGCGAATTTGGACAACTGACGAAGAACCCTTGTTCTATCATCAACAGAGGCATCAACTGCAGCCAATGATTATTTGGGCAGTAGTTCTAGAATATATCTATTATGTTAGCTAAGTTTCGTCTATTAGACCTATTCAAAACCTATGACCTACTCTGTTCATCTGAATCTATTTAGAGATTACCTAGGGATGGCTGCTATCTGCATATACATGTAGGCTCATACGTGTTTTAGGAATCAAGTGTTGCAAAGAGACTGATACACTATATATGTGTTTGACATTAGATGGAGATTCCTTAGTATCTGTCATATCCGAACGCGTGGTTCATTTTTTGTTTCTCCATCGTGATAACCAGACAAAATATATCTGCCACTTTTCTGTTATCGCTGTTCAAGTCTTACGCAAGCATTATGTGGCTGTAGCCATACCAAGGGGTGTCAACTGTGACCTTGTCAAACCGTTTTGCGACCATTGCATCAGCTAAGCTCGGACTTAGTAGAGGCGGGACTGGAAGTTATAAAAATGCCCAATTGCAATCGCCAAAATCTTGCAAGCGAACAAGTAGAATTGGAATCTACAATCTACAGCAGAATGGCTATTCTTACGTAGATGGTACATGTATGAGGCAATGAGGCCACGCAGAAATCGAAAACGACTCCTTTGTTAGAGTCAGCTAGAACAGCTATATCATATCCGCTCATATAAGCAATTAAAGTTAAAGTTGGCTTGGAAAAAGGTACAACGGTAGAAGGTATTAAAAAAAGAAAAGAGTATAAGCTGTGATTTCTTATGGAGATTTAAAATAATCTATGAAATCTCAAGATGGAACAAAGCTAAATTTCGAAGTAACAATCAAGCTTTGTCGAAAATCAGGAAGTAAAGCTCTCCAAAGAATGCAGGTCAGGTCGCTAGACATCTGGTATGCAGCCTATTTTCCCATAATGTTTACCCAACAAACCCTATCGTCAAGATGGTACTTAGTCTACACAAAACATCATCATTCAGATTGCCCTACGCATCATCTGGACAAATTCCCGATAGTTAATCTTCCCATCTCCATCCAGATCAGCTTCCCGTATCATCTCATCAACCTCATCATCAGTCAGATTCTCGCCAAGCAACAGCATTCGATCCCGTAGCTCATCTCGAGAGATGAAGCCATCCTTGTTCGTGTCAAACACTCCAAAGGCTTCTCGCAGCTCCTGTTCAGTGTCTGGCACCTGGTCTGGCTTTTCCATGCTTAGGAAATCTTCAAAGTCCACGACCCCTCTGCCGGTCGTGTCCACTTCTTCAATCATCTCTTGAATCTCTTGGTCGCTCCTTGGTTGGTCCAAGGTTCGAAGGACTGCCGCCATGTCCTTGGGAGTAATGTATTCACCGTTCTTCGAGATGAGAGAAAACTGTTCCTTTGCATCAGCCATTTCCTCTTTGCTCATCCATTGCTGCGGCCGGCGGGTTCTGCCTGGTTTGGGATTTGCTGGCCCAGGCTTGGAGTCGAGCTCGGCCTTCCGCCTCTCGACAGGCCCGAGAGCCATCAGCTTGAGCTGCATCATGTTGGGTTCGGCTTCGGGTCCAGGACGCCCTTTGGTCTTAGCCCGTTTACCGGCCTTGGCCCAAAACTTCATATCACGTTTCTTCTCGCCAGCCTTGTACTCGGCAGCTTTTCCTTTGCGTATAGCCCCCTGGGCGTCCTGCGCGTCCTGAGCATCCTCGAGTTTACCCTTTGCTTCGGCCGTGAATTGGGTTACTATGGCGGCTTTTTGCGCCTTTTTCTTTGCTCTCGAGGCCGTCCAGGACTTCCAGGGGTTCCATGACCTTTTCCCATCGCGTTTTGAGGAAGAAGGATCTGTAGGAATCTGAGAAACATCTTCCAACGCATTCTCAACACCATCCACCTCTTTCTTCAGCATCATTGTCCTCTCAGTCTCTTTTTGAACTTGGTCGTCCGACTTCTTAAAGCCAGCATCGCTTTCCACTTGCAAGGCTTGTTCCCAGTGATACAACGCTCGGCGCCAGTAGTCCCGTCGGGTTTCTTCGTCTTTGACAGTCTCTGTCGCTTGTCCCGATGCCTGTCTCGCTGCTTTCTCCTCGACCATCTCGGAGAGAGCTCGGTGGATGTAAGCGGCGTTGGCAGGGCTCTCGCCAACCTCGAAATCGTTGCTGAAGGCCTTGTAGAGAAGCCTTCTTGCCTCGGCAACGTTGGATGGCCGTGCTTCCATTTGGCGCCGAGCTAGAAGTATCGCCACAAAGACACCCTCGTCGCGCCCTAGGAGAGAGTTTCCCAAACCCAACATGCCATGACTGCCGCCATCGCCATCGTCATCGTCATCATCGTCACTGTCGCCATCCTTGTCCCTCAGCGCTACTGCCTTCCATGCCCCAGCGTCGTATCCGCTGGTATCGAATCCTGTTCGTGCCAGATTCTTGTAGATTGTCTTGCGGGCACCCGCCTTGGCCGCCATCTGCTTGTCGCTGAAGTTCTGCGCCGGATTCGATGCGGCGAAGGAGACCTCCATGATCTGCAGCATGTCATCAAACATGAGCCGTATCTGAGCATCTGCTCCAGGGACCTTGGTGCGATGGTGGTACGTCTCCTTCAGCCGCTTGAACCACTTGCGCGCGGCATCTTCATCCTGGCGCGTATTGTAGTCGACCAACGCCAGGCAAAAGGCCATCTCGGCCAGCTCAGCCGACAGCGCGTGTTGCAGGCGCAAGAACTTGGCCTGCATTTCGGCGAGCAATCGTACGCCGACCCCGCCGCGACCACCTCTCGTACCGCCCATGATTCGCATCAGCGAGTCGGTCAGGGGCACAAAGCCTGGCCGGTGAGGCGCTTCGTGAATGTCATGCCCATCTCGGTGCATGCTATCGGTGGCCGTCCGCCAAAAGCCCGCCATGAGCGGCCGTCGTCCAGCATCCCAGAACAGGCCCTTGTTGGTTACATGCGCCAAGTCTACAAGCATGGTGATGGTGAGGATGCTTGACCGCATGTCGAGGACCCGGTACGTCGCGCCTAGAAAGTCGAAAAACTCCCATCGCAGCGTCTCGCGTGGGCTGTCCCACGCCTTCTTCCAGTATGCGGCATGCTTCGGCCACGTCTTGATCCGGTAGCGAAAGAGCTTGGGCATCACGGCGTGCGCTGTTTTGCGCGCCATGCTGTATGCATCATCGGTCTTGCGACTCTCGTCCCGTAAGAGGAGCGGGATCAGTGGATGCAGCGTGATGTAGTCGCTTTCGGACTGGCCCTGCTTGTCGACTGCTTTCCCCACGACAACAAAGCCCTCGTCGATGAAAGGCTGTAGGATCGTCATTGCGATATCTCTGTTGGAGCTGGGAAGTTCCTGATTTTTTCTGAAGAGGAGTTCCAGCTCTTGGTCCCCGAATACTGCGTACCGATTAATCGACTTTCGCTTACCCTTTTGATATTCAAGGTCAATATACGAGAGGTAGTCCTGTATAGTCTGGAGCTGAAAAGGAGCCCAGAAAGGGTACAATGCCCGAATCACCATCGAAGATTGTTCGACAGAGTCAAGAAGACGCCGGATGTCGTCTACGGCTTGTGTCAAGTCTGGAAGTGCGGCTGAAGCGTCATGATTTGTCTCCGACGAACTGCTATCGAGACATATCCCGTCTCCGCGAAACAGAGCCTGCATGAAACCGACAAGATTGTGGGCGTTGGGATTGAACGCGCCCAGCAACATCTTGAGGGCTAGGGGATTTCCCTGCACGAGCTTGCCCAGCTGTCCCCGAACAAGGAGGCCCTCCCAGTCCTTGACATCTGGATGTCGGTTGGTCTTCTCGAGTATGTGTCTCGTAAGCAGCAAGGTTCTGTCCTCGTCCAGGGGTGCCAGCATGCGCACCACTCTTTGAGCTTGTTGTGTATTCGGTATTGTTCCTGTGGACTCTGTCGTTGGTGGGTTTAAAACGGCAATCTCGGGCATGCGTCTCGTGGTGACTACTACAAAACTCGTGTAGGGACTGGGGGCTGTTGGTTCTTGGGCGGCTGGGTCCAGGTCTGGCGCGGAGAGACTGACTTGTGCGTCCCGGAAGACAGCCAAGAAGTAGCCCATCAGTTCCAGGACAGGCTCGGATAGTTTGCGAGGACCACAGGCTTCGACCCCGTCAAAGATGACAAGGAGTTTGGAGTGCCGCATTGAGAATTTGCTTTTGCGCGCCGTTTCGGGCTTCGCCTTGGCCGTCTTTGGGAGGTTTCCTCTCGCGCCGCCTCTCCGCTTCGGTTCCGTTGGTGCCAACACGTTCTTGATTTTTGTCCGGATACGCCGTCCTCTGGCCTTGGCATCTTCCAGCTGCGTGTCTAGCTTTGTCAAGTCCGTGCCGAACTCTTGATTCAGAAATCCAATCAGACATTCAGGAGACTGCAAGTCTTCAAAGCCAACTCTAACGACTTTATCGATGAAAGCCGTCGACTTCCACCACTCGGCTGCCTTGTTGATCAAAGCCGACTTTCCGACACCAGGAGGCCCCTCGATAGCTGTGACGCACGACTCCAGCATGAGATCTGTTTCAAGCATCAAGAGGTCTCCCTCCCTCCCTACCAGGTTTACGTCGACGTCGACTGACCTATCTGGAGGTAGCTCGGGTGGGATCGTCCTCAGCATCTCGAGATTTAAAAGACTCAGCCCACTAGCGACACAACTGGCGTCGCTGTGTCGAATGTACACTGACGGCACGAGATAGTCATCGAGAGGGACTTCAGTCAAGTAGCTGGTCTTCTTGGTGCGCTTGTTCATGAGACATTGCCTCGCGGCCTGAACAGCAAGGAGAGGGGACTGGTTGAATCGCAGCAGCTGATCGTAGAGGCTACAGACGAAGAGATTTGCGGTGACATCCAAGACCTTGTAGGCCATGGCGATGGCAATCTGGATGCCGTGTTGGATCAGAGCTTTGGCAAGATTGGCGGCCGGGCCTTCGCCTTCAACAGCGGACTGACACGCATTGAGGATCACAGTGTGGATCCCGTGGCTGCTTAGAAGCGAGGCGAGATCTTTCGCCGAGACCATGTGGGCGTCACGTTGGATCTCGTTGATGAATAAAGCATATGCCCTTTGGCAGTCAGCATTGGAACAGACAACAAGCAAGAACACCAACCAGTACGATAACATACTTGTGGTCCTCGACTTTGCCGTGTAAGTCGAGATGGACGACATCGTATCGCTTGTTTTTGTTTAGTTCTCGCTTCAAGGCGTCCAGCGAGCCTGGTCGCACAATGGTGAGTGTTGTGCGGCGTTCACCCGTTGATCCGCAGGCGTCTACCTTTGTGTTCGCTTTGTCAACGACATCGTATATGGATTTAGTGATGAGTCTGTGCGGTATGTCGTCCACAGAACGTGGACGCGCCGTCAGTGCGAGTATATTGAAGGTCGATGCCGAGTCAGGTTCGTCAGTCGAAACCACAGGAACTTCTCTCGCCGGGACTCCCAAAAGGCGCACTACAGAGACGCTCGCGGGCTTGGCCTCACCGGGCCATAGATCCACGTTCTGGAGAACCTCCCAGCGCAAAGCACCAATTTCAATGCAGTCATCTGGGAGGACTATGGCATCTTCCATAACCTGGATGACAATGTGTAAAGCGTTGCGGTCCGGGGCACCCAAATCTAACTGGAGCGCCTCGATTAACAATGCCGCATATCTTGCCAGGCTTGCGGAGACTTCCTGGGCCCTTGGCTCTTGGAACGGAAGATGAATTACAAACTCCTCCATGTACCATTTGATGGACTTGTTCATCTGGAGTAGCTCTTGCACAGCATCGGCCGTGATCTCGGACAGTGTTCCAATGGAGCCATACTGGACTTTGAGATGGCAGCCCCCGCTCGCTTTGTCCTTCAGCCTGTTAGCCTCAGCAACGCAGAATTATGCAGTTATACTCGGGATGAAGTACTGCACCACTTGGCGTTTGAGCCACAGTGATCCGAAGGAGGTCCATAGTCACTGCGTAGCGGCAATTCGACGACTTATCGGGTATGGCAAGGTCGGCTCATCAAACGGATCAATGCTGAAGTCGGCGTGAACTTGTCCAACGGGCAATCAAAGAGCGAGTCTGACTGCACGGCAGCCGCGGAAGAACAGCTACGAATCAATGAGTAGACGCCAATCACACCTCCGGTTGTGCTGGAGATATAGGCACTTGCCTAGCACGCGAGTCAACTCTGAAATATTGCTCTCGTCTTGATAATCTAATGAAGCATAATTCGTCTCCGCGATCTTGTTCGTGGCGCCTTGGTATTGGCCAAGCTCTGCAGCTGCTGCGACGAGGCTGGTGGACGGAAATGAACTGACACGTCAGTACCTATGCATCTTCAGCCGTAAATGTACATGCTTTCAAGCAGTAATAGGCAAAGTCCCAATCTGTTCTTGCTATGCTGGGGTAAATGCCGCAGACCCTGGTAGAGCTGAAAAATGCATGTATGTTGAGGCGCCAACGCTATGATTGGACGACATCATTCAAACATAGGCAGCAGTCCATCGCCAGCCAGTCGCTGTCATCTTGCTGGCAATGGGAATGATCTCGCCTGGCCGAATCAATGACCGATAAATAACGACTTGCCATTATCATTGTCTGTCAGTGCAGACATAACATAGGGAGCGAATATCTTGTATACATCGCAAGGCTGTCATGAAGCGCTTTTACCTCCTCCACCATCTCGACTATGTCCAGATCCCCCCAGGAGAAGACGAGCAGGCCTTCGTCAACAGCATCCTGGGGCGCGTCGTCATGGACTATAGAGAGCCAGGCCGCAACTACGTGACCATCACGCGGACATCAGAGAATGCGGCAGTGCTGGCATCCAACAGCCACGCATTTGACAAACTGGGCGAGGCCGTGTCCAAGTCCAAGTCGTTGAAGCTGAAATTGACGGTTCAAAAGATTCTCGGTTTCGAGGAAGAGGCAACCAAAGCCGGGGATCGACAGGTGAAGGCCGGCACGGTCACATACCACTTCTTTGTCTCCGACGACGCCATTGACCAGGTCCGTCGCGATGCCAAAGTCAAGGAAAGGCTGCAAACGTGGCTGGCGCGCGGCGGCTCACGCGTCTGGCTGATCGTGGGCTTCATCATGGCTCGCACGGCGGATACAACTGACGGCGACCAAGCCACCCACACGTCCAAAGCGAGCGTCGATCCAGCTGCCGCACTCCAGGACATCTCTGTCAACGTCGAGGCGTCCCGTGAATCCAAGGAGGGCCAACGCGGCGATGCCAAACTCTCGAAGCTGTCCGTGGTCGCCGTCAGGTACATGTGCCTGCAACGACCCTATCTCTCTCGGGGGCCTGCAGTCACCACAAAGCTGAAGTCGGGTCCGGCGGATTTTTCTGCTGATAAGCCAGATCCAAAAAGCGATGACTGGGTGGCTGACGTGGTCGACGGATCCATCACCGACATTCTCCAGGACAGTGACGAGCTGGACCACGAGGATTTTGGGGATGTTTCATTTGCCTTTGATGCGGAGGACGACGAAGATTACGATGAAGGGGATGAGGAAGGGGATGAGAATGAGGGCGAGGACGAGGCGTTTTGACTGAGTAGTAAGACAAGTTATGGCTTGAAGAGTGAAAATATAGTTCCTCTGCGGTTGCTTACGTATTATGCACGTACATATATGTAGTCCATCACCCTAATTCCCTCTACTCTACTAAGCTCTCTCTGAGCTCTCTCTAAGAAAGAAAATAAACCACCACCTAACAGATAATATATATAGATCAATAAGCCAGCAACTTTACCAAAACCTAGATAACCCATCTCTCTTATAATCCCTCCCTCATTTGTCAAGTGAGAAAACAGATAAAAGGCCGCTGCTACGTAAACAGTTATCCCAGGACATCGTTTCAACTCCTCGTCGCCTCCTTCTTTACGCCAAGGACAAGCACATAAAGGTCATAAATACTTTTAGGTATCAACTAATATACTCTGCCTCAGGGGAAAAAAGATGGAGAAAAGGAACAGTGGTGACATGCCTGGTATTCGCAACGCGAGATGACGAAGAGTAACAAAAAAAATAGAACAAAATGTACCTTTCTGACCAAAACTGAATCGGCATCCGAGACATATCAAATCAACCATACAAGACAAAAGATATACAAGCCAAGACAACCACATCAACCTCTTTTTCACTCGAAAAAAAAAAAAAAAACACGACAAGTCCTTTAGCACGTCGGAACAGTAAAAAGAAACTAGCTTGAAATGCCCGCTTTATTTTGTTTTCGTCGGGGTAACCTGTATTCAACTCAAAGGCTATGCATCAAAAACAAGAGATGCCTGTCGCACTTTGGGGCTTCCAAAAAAACACGATGCAAGTGTCTTCTGCCCTCCTGGTTACCATGAGCTCTCGCCCATTTACCCTCTCGAACCTTGCAGCCTTTCTCTAGTGTGTCCTATGCATCCTAGCCGTTTTAACGCCCTCTCCAGTTATCTCATCCTCTCCTTCCTGTTCATACATGTCTTAAACACCCTAATAAACCCTGAGCCCTAAAGAAGCGAAAAGAGAAGAAAAGAAGAATGGAGGTGAAGAAAAGGAAAGGTTAATGAGAGTAGTGTAATAGTGTGTGTGACACAAGGAAAAAAAAAGTCAAAGCCGCGACACCCAGTCCCAAGGGTATATACTTATCGCCATTCCCCTTCCCGTCCAAGTATATATAAAATGTGTTAGGTATACAGGTGTATATGTATATGTGTTCTATCCAGGTCCGAACCTGAATGAGATTGGTTGTGTGTTTTTTTTTTTTACTTGTTTCTCTCATTTTCATTTTTGCTTTTTTCGAATCCCTTCTTTAGTTTCCGGTAAATCCGTTCAAAAAGTGTCATAGCACGCAACGCGAAACTGACAAGATATGGCCGAATTGAAGGATCCAACACCGTGAAACCGAATGAATAGAATTTCCCGCGATCCGTGAGAAAGGCCGTGACCCAGCATAAAAAAAGGGCTGTTATTCGCACAAATCGCATTCGTAAATCATAGGGCCATAATCGTAGCCATGTCGCGGGAGTGTCATATCGCGTAGTGGTACGTACATGCTGCTCCTTTGCCGCAAAGTTTTTTGCTGTTTTTCTGTCTTTTGTTTTCTTAAGAGTGACCTTTTTGAGGTTTGTTTGCAGCTTGTTACAGTGACTGCACCGGTAGTAGCTTGCATCTCCTCATCCTGATGTGTCTGCGGTGGGAAAGGGGGGGCTCGATCCTTTGCTCCTCTTAAAGAAGGGAAAGTCCTTCATCCTAAACCTACTTGGTCTCTTCTTAAGCGCCTTGCCTTCAGCTCTACCGATACTGCCTCCGAAGGGCGAGTCTTCGTCCGCTTGCGAGGTATCCCGATCGCGTTCCTGATCGCGGTCCCGGTGTGGCGATGCCGGAGATCCCTTAAGGCTAAGCGGCGACATGTTATACGCAGGAATGCCCAGGTTGCGGTCTCCGGCTTCGTTGCTAACTATGCTGGTACCCTGCGTGCTTGGTGATAGCGTCATTTTGCCGGTAGCCGTGCTCGCGGCCTGTGAGGTCCAATCGGCATGGTACCCGGTGGATAAGCTACCCTCGGGAGTATCGCTTGTCCGGTGTTTCGGAGACACCATTCTACTTTCTATTGGCTCGTCGGGTCGGTGGCAAGAGAATGGATCGTCTCGAATGGCGTCAAAGGAGGAAGGGGGGCCAAAAGTCACCCCGTTGACATCATGATGTTCAATCGGGGTATGAGGATCGTGACCAGATTTAGCCGTAGAAGGGCTCGGTGCGGGCGAAATCTCGATATTCTTAATCTCGTTGTCGTTTTCAACAGTGGAGCTCCTAGTCCTGGTCCTCACTTGTGATTCTTTTGCCTGTTCTTCTTGCACTTTGATTTCGAAGAGTTTTATGTTAGCATGGAGCTCGCCTACGGTGTATTCCATGCCTGGCATTATCTCAGCCACACCCTGAAACAGCGGTATAGCAAACATATTCATGAATCCGAGCTGGGCGTTGGAGAGGGAAAGAATGTCCTTCTTCGGTGCTGCCATTAGGGATGACCTGATTTCGAGCTCATCTTCCATCGAAGCTTGCCGGGAAAACTCCTCTGAGAGCATATGCATCCATTTCAGCGCGGTCGAGTGACGACGTGCCTGTGACCAAATCAGCAACGTTCAATAACGCAGACGATTATGGATAGATTTTAATTTGAGGGTTTTCTCATCTATTTGTAGGTAACTTACCACGTTGCTAATGTCTGCGCACTTGATAAGTAGCGCACACGCGAGAACCTTGGTCTCTTCAAGTTGGCGGCCGTTCCACTTGTCAAAATTTCTATCAGCCTCCAACTTCTCCTTGAGAGTGCCCAGCTTTTTCATGTAGTCAAAATGAACGCCCATGTCTGTCGCCAATATGGAACTGATCATCAGGCCACGCATCTTTCTGTCTTCGAACACCGCGGGCCAATATCTGCGAAGAATCTGCGAATACGCAGCACAGTGGAAAGATTCCAGGACGGATCGGTCATTGTAGAGCTGGGCTAGCGGAGCATTCAATGTTGTTAGAAAGCCGTTGTTGACTCCAGGGTGGCCGACGTCGTGGCCAATAGCAGTGATGAGAAGAGTCAATGCTTCGTAGGGGCTGACCAGTGCCGCGATTGGCGACCTGATCACTTTCGGCAATGGTTGAGACCAAGTCGGATAAGGAGGGAACGAGCCAATATGGACGAGGAAATTGAATGTCGCCTGAAGAACGTCCACCACGTGACGGAAATTATGATAGGGAACAAAGCTATTATATGCAGCCCGGCATGCGACAAGGAAGCTAATGAGTTGGTCTAAAATTATTGGTCAGATGGTAATTCCAGCGGCTGGACGGATGCAGGCATTTTCAGTGAGGGGGTTGGTTGCTTATGATCTTAGCACCTTCCAGGGGGGGGGGTTTCTCCAACTACACACTCACCTGCTGGTATCCGCCACTTCTCAAGTTCCGGTGAGGTCAATGCGTGTCGGAACATCTGCAGAGCTGCGACCAGCAGCTCATCGTCGGAAAACTCATGGGCATCGAAATGCCAGCGGCCTACGGCCTCGGTGATGACAGCCTGGCGTTCGGAAGAAACGGCAATATGCGCACCGGCGATATGGTCGTCTTCAGAGGAAAGGCGGCAGATTCCCTTCATCAGTCCAGAGACCATTGCCTCTCGCAGATAGGCATAGGGCTTCTGGTCATTGATGCCGACCCAGGAGCGCTTCCGCCCCTTTGTGATCTCCATCATGGCCTGCTGGTCCCTAGCAGCATCCCTATGGGCCTTATAAGCGCATATTTCCAGCGTTGCGATACACTTGGGGCCCAGGGGGGCGACAATCACGTCGACCGCACCAAGGTCCAAGCATCTCCTCATGAGCTTGCGGCTGGCGGCCAGAGTGCCGGCAGCGGTTGACAAGAGCTCGGCTGTGCCGTCGGTCATTTGTTCGCGGGACTCTGGGTAGCTGATGACGGGAATGGGGACGACAAGCTTGGAGATGCTTCGCAGGTGGGCTTCAGTGATGAGCCTCTGAAGCAGTGCCAAGCCGTACAAGTTCTCGTCAGGCGTGTGAATCTCGGCGTCGCGGTTTACCAGGTTGGGGTCGGAGGAGGAGGCGTTTTGTAAGGAGTATGATTCGGGTATCCATTCGTCGTGGGGTGTGTCTAGAAGAACAATGGCGGGTGTCATATCGATCATGGAACCGGCTTCGTGGAGTTGCATAAGCTTGGCCATGCAGGCGGCGCCGGTGGAACAGACGTGAACTGTGCGTTGCGCATCACGAGTCAGCATGGGAAGTGAAGGGACAATCAGAGGAGCAAGAGGAACAAACCATCGCCAAAAGCGTCTAGGAGAGGCTGGACGAGTTCTCGAACGCGATCGTGCTGCCAATCGGGGGAACCGTCGGTCGGCGAGGCCGCGAGATCGTCGGATAAGGCGCGCAGCAGCCGGGCCTCCCCAACGCTGCGGTTGACATAAATGATATGACAGGCAAGGCTGTCCATGGTGGGCAACGGGAGGCTACCAGTCTCGCGACTGGAGCACGTTGGCCACGCGGGCAAGGATTACTGCGCGCGCAAGGCTATACGAAAAGGCACACGAGGCGACGGCTCAATTGGATCGGCGAGCGGTTCGGGATTTTCGAAATTGGAGCAGCCAGCGTCAAGGATAGAGCGCGAAGCGAGTCGGGAATCCAGGGTAAAGGGAAGCACGGGCAGCTTCGGAGCCAGAGCTCGAGGTGAAGAGAAAAAGAGCGCGAAGAAGAGAGTATACGCTGGAGCTGGGATCGCCTCGAGCGCGCGCGGATCCGAAAGGGAGAGAGAAATTTCAAAGGAAAGCGTGTGGTTGTGGGTTTTGATTGGTGATGCGACAGGGCGGCCGGGACGACGATGGAGATGGGACACTTGCTTTCAAAAAAAAAGAAGCGCCTGAAAGCCTATTGGAAAAAGAGAATAAGGAACGAGTCGAAGAGAGTCAATGCTGTCGGGAGCGACGCGGAGTGAGGAGCATCAGAGGGAGTTTCTGACGTCGGATCGTGGGTTGAAAAAGGGAAGACGAAAACGAAGACCTGGAAAGAAGAGAGGGTGCACCCTGCAGCACTCACACGGCGGCGTGAGTATCTGGACAGGTTTTGGGACGAGGATCGAATGGTAGAGGAGAAAAGGAAAAAATGGTGTTGTTGGTCCAGAGACGCAAGTCACAGCGCCGCAGGTCGCGGAACAAGCAGAGAAGAGTCGAAGGCGACTTCTGGAGTCGCACAGGAAGGGTGGCTCTTGTCGCGGGCGGGTCCCGAGGGGGAGCCTCTGGGTGCTCCAGGTGCTTTTCTGGGCCCTTTTCTGGGCCTGGCCGGACAGCGCAAGCACAGAAGCCCCGGATGGCTTCTGGGCTGGTCAGATGCTGCAGCCGGTGGCGGGATGTGGCTGCTGTGGTGCGTGCTGGTTGCGGCGCTGCAGCGCTGGGCCTAGCGGACGCAGCAGTGGAGCGCAGCGAGCGTCTAGCGGCGCTTCTAGTTCGTTTCTCGCCCTGCAAGGCCGTGCTTGGGGCCTAGCTCGGAAAGATTATGGCAGGGTGGGCGCAAGATCCAGGCTTGGGCTGCTAGTGAGTCGCTGCTGGAGGGGCAAGACGTCAGCCGTCTGGAGCGTCAGGATCGGCGGCGTTATCGCGAGAGGAGAGAGCAAGAACTGGTAAGCGAGAGAGATCGTGAGCCAGACGAGAGTAGGTAGATGGCGAGGCGGGTAGACAAGAGAAGAGAGGCGGCAACGCGCACGTAGCGACACGGGGGAGGGGAGAGCCGATGGCTTCTCGTTTCTTCTTTTCCTCTTCCTTCTTTTTTCTTCACACGAGCAGAGCGGGGGCTGGCGCAGCGGGCAGGGCGCTGACAAAAAGTCAAAAGATGGCAGCAAAAGGTAAAAACAGACAAGATGCCCTGGAGATGGGAGAAATTGAGTTGTTCAGGTAGCCGTAATCCAGGACAGGGCAAGGTAGGACTCGTGCCTTGTAGCTTGTATCTAAGTGGCAGGAAGGGTTCAAGGGCAGCGAATCCTGCTGCTCGACGACGCCATGGCCAGCCGGCAAAGTGTTCACTGGAAGCTGTAATCAGGGCAACGCCCGTGGGAGGGGAGACTGGAGGACTAGAGACAGAGGCCGGAGGGAGAGCTTCGATATAAGGTGCCAGGCCGCAGGGAGGAGTTGTGTCTGCTCCTGCTCCGGACACATACAGTACAGTGCCCCGTCGACGACTTCCTGGTCGCAGGTACTGCGGCAGATTCCCTGCATTGCACGCTGCAGACAGGTACACAGTCCCGTGCCTTGGGGCGTCCTGACGAAGCACTAGCACCGTATAATTACACGTGCGGCATGCCAGTTGACAGCTGCTAGGACTAGAGCTGCAAGTATTAGACAAATGTCATGTCATGTACCTACAGCGTGCCTCTGCTATCTGCTCCATCCTGCGACATTGGATCAGTCAATGTCGTGGAGGCAGGTCAAAGCACGGGGAGCACTGGTCTAAGGTGTCGCAGATAAGCAGCAGCACAGCAGAGCACGCACTCGGACAGTGCAGCCGGGGCAGCGCTCAACGGCAGCCCGCCTGAACCCAACAGACAGACGCGCCACAGCGTCAATTGGGCCACTGGAGCATGCCGTGCTCATCGCCAATTCCCCAACATCATCAGCATCGGCATCAGCATCATCCCTACTTTGTACGGCACAAACACTGGACCGATGCCAGCTGGTGCGTGCTGTACATGTATGCTGTACACGTAGGTGGCCGACCAGGGTAGCTCTGCGCACAGCACAGCTCTGGGCCATTAGCTGTCCGTGTTCAGATATGAGCGCTAGCACGCTGCAAAGCGCGCATCCGCGAGCGCTGACTGGTGGCTGCTGTGCCTGTGCGGAGGGCCCTGGAGGTGGGTGGGTGCAACGCCTGCAGGTGCAGCGTGTGCCAGGCCGGCCACGGACCACTAATGTACGCGCACCGATTGACTCACGCCATGGAACACTGGAAGAAGTCTTGCTCGAAGGAAAAGAAGGCTGCAACGAAGGCTTCGAGAGCTTGCAGTGAGGGGTTGGCTGCCAGTCCGGTCCACCCGGCGACGGCCAGCCACAGCAACTGAAGTCAACATGAATACTGCGAGTGGTGTCCCACCGATTGCTGTGCAGGCAATGTGCATGTATCAATTGCTGGTAAAAATCATAGAGATTACAGCGGCTCGTAGTAGCAAAGTTCGCTATGGATTAACCGCAATTAAACAACATTGAAGAAATGATTGATCCAAAAAAAGAAACCGCCCTCACATGGATTTCAGGCCGGAGCAGCGATTTGCGCTCGCACTGTGCCGCCCCATGCACCAGCAAGTACGTACGTGCTAGTGATGTGAATTCTCCGGATGCCGTCGCTTCCCTCGCCAGGCCCTTGTCTTGTCTGGTAATATTTGATGTACAACTCTGCACTGATTGCTTCCTTTTCTGACGGGTTGTGCTTCTGTAGCTGCGGCCACGCATGCTGCAGGAGAATGCCTGCCAATAACCGTCAGATTATTGCATGTGCTGTTGGGAGTATTGAAAACTGGGCCCATGGTTCGCCGGGCAGCAGTAACCCATCGCATCATCGACGATGCAAGCATGAGGTACCTACCACCTGGAGAAAGTACATGTATATGCTGTATGTACATGTAGGTAAATGAGCGGCTATTCAGTCTCTACTACATATTGGAGGCTTATTACAATCCTACTGTACACACTCCATACCAGGCGCCTACCTGGTGGCAAGGCGAGTTCGACTATCGCTTCTCATCGCTCCATAGGTAGCTCCCACGTTTCGTGCTAAACAGAACTCGGCCGGCCCGACGATGGCAATATCCATACGGGAAAAGGATAAAAGGGAAAAGAGCTACTGGCACGTACGTACTCGTGTCGGCCAAGACGCGCTTTGCTCTGTGTCCCTCTCTACTGGATTACAGCTGCAAAGCTCAGGCCCTCTCCTGCTTACAGACAAGACGACACGATGCCGTTTCGGCGCCCAAGCAACGCCCTCGAATCCCTCGTCCCGGGCTCCAACGACCCAGCCTGCAGGGCCCGCTCTCTCTTCGTCTCGGCTGGGGAATGCCAGGGGGCGGGCACGGCTGTTTGCTCTTATATGGCAACAACCAGGGCAAACTGTGAGAGCTGTGGATACCGCATTCTTTCAGCTCGCAGGGTGGCGCCTGGACAAGGTCTGAACGAAAAAGACTCAAAAGCAAATAAAATGAACAAGAGGAATCATGGCAGCCAAGCGTACAGGTACAGTATGTACAGAGGGCGCTTACCACCGAGGAAGAGGACGAAATAGGAGCAAGAGGAGCCAGAGGATCAAAAATTACGTGCGTCAAAAAGGCGCACTACCGTGGTATTCCGCTTGACTCGCGGCCAGAGGAATCAACATAGTGGGAAAAGTACTACTACTGACACTTAGTGCGAGAGGCAACAAATCGGAATGCGATCGAACGATGGACGTTGAGCCCGAGCCAACGGACTTCTCCGTTTGCTACCTATGGAGTCAGCTACCTACGGGCTCCAGTCGACTGTTGGACATTTCCAGCCTCAGCTTTTCACCTTGAGCCGAATCGTGGAGACGAAACGAAACGCGCAAGCTCTCGCACTGGACCCTCGGCGAGCTCGGTCTCGCTTATGATATTGCTCGCGAAGTTTGTCTGCCTCTGCAGGTACAGAGGCATACTGTGCTGTTGGGTCCGTCGAATGATTCAGGGAACCAAGAAAAGAGTGAGAGGCACTGCATGTAGAGAATAGGAGCTTCGCGTGTCCTCCCCGCCCTTGACCCCGAACTCGACAGGGGGGAGCTTGCTAGCTGGTTGATGCCAGCTCTTTTATACGAGTGCCTGACAGGCGCAAGCACATCGGATGGTGATCCCCCATGAACATCGTCATTCTCACACTGCCGGGCCTGTCCACGTTGCTGGCTGGGATGAGGCTGGCCCAGCAGGAACTGGAAAGGGGGACGCTGAATTCACGGCATCTATACTTCTGGCATTGCCTGCAAGACTCAGGCCGACGCGTGCTCGGGATGCCGAGGCTGATGCTGATGTTGCTGATGCCGCCGCACTGTCCAGCTACCGTCCCTGGGTCCCGGGCCAGCAGAGCATTTGATGTCTCCCTTTTTTTTCCATTTGCCCTAGAATCCCACAGAAGCTACGTCAGAAGTATGCGTGTCGGTCTGCCCCAGTGGCGCGCTACACGGACTCAGATCGAAGAGCCGGCACGCCACCGAAAAAGGGCGAGCAACAATCTCAAGTTCTCGGCAAGTGGCCGTCTCCCGCCATCTCGCTGCCGCCGCCAGCCTCGCCTCACCTCGACGTTGGACGCAGATTCGCGGGTGGCCACAGCCCTACTAGTTCGATTTAACACATGCCTGGCCCGGATTTGTCGTCTTTTTTGCGTGTTTGCCCGTGGTTGGGCGGCAGCGCAGCACAGCACAGCGCACGGCACTGCACGGTGACACCCAACACGGCTGCAGACTTGCATTTCCATTGTACCCAATAGAACCGCCAGCCCGGTCCATTTCTGCCCAGCCCAGCCCAGCCCAGCCAGCCCGGAGCGTGCCGAAGAGCGAACAGACAAAGAAGGGAATCAGATACGGACAACTGAATATCGGTCCACTTCTCACCTTTTAGTGTTAGAGTCTTTGGTCTTTTTCTTTCCTTTTCTCCTTGTTAGGCCAGTTCTTGCTCACGCCTTCTCGCTCTTACTGTTTGCTAGCAGCATGCTAGATCCTCGTTAGGGCTTCTAGCAGGCTTCTAGAAGTTTTTTTTAGCCTCATCTGGGCTTCGCAGCTGGTCCGAGCGTTTGCGCTTTCATCTTAAGCCCCGACCGCGCCATGCCGGCTTACCAGAGCTAACGCGAGTGCTGTGCTGGACGGATTGCTCTAAGCGGAATGAAGCCAAGGATGAACATGAACCCTTATCCTTGGTCCAATCCGCCGCACTGGGCCCCGCTTTCTGACTCTCGCTGCCATCAACTGTACAGGCACTGTAGCACTGTGGTTTAGTGCTCTGTACTGCGCTGTATCCTGTGCTATCTGAGCTTGTTTGCGGCTTACCACCCTGGATCCCGGCAGCTCGGAAAAGGGTTCTCTCTTCCGGGTTGTCTCTTGTCTCGTGTCATGCAGTTGAATGCTTATTTTTATCAATAATCTCCTTCGTATTATCACTAGCAGTCTTGTGTATTGCTCCCATGCATTAGCACAAATCTAAATCCTCAGCCTCTCCGCAACGCAGAGGCCGTGTCCCGATTCGCTGCGCAGTCGCGGGACTACGGAGAAGCCCGATCCCATCGAACGAGTCGGAGATTGCCCCAGTTATAATGGCGTCCAGCACACGGAGTACCGTCTGGGCAATTCGTCCACGGCCCTGTTTTCTGAGCCCATGATCAAGGCAATAAGGCCCCATAGCAGCGACGTCTTATATCCATCCGGCTAATCACCATCCGGCCCCCCTGATGTGGCAGGGCTAGCTTCCCTGCTTTTTTTCTGTTTGCGTTGCATCGCAGCCCGCTTCACGCATCGCGCATCCCACATCACAATCGCCCTGCATTGCTCGGTTCCCAATGCTCCATTCCGTGTTATATTGCTCCAATCCCGTTGTGCGAATTTATCAGCGGTACTCGGGATATGGTCTGTAAGTGCCAGACAATGATTAGAAATTACTTCCACTTCCAGTACTATGGGTACTTGTTTTCACTAGAAGCAACCGACGAATGAACAAACACCTACAGGAGTGCATCAAAGCCTAAAATACCTAATCAACAGCCAGATAGTAGTGCTACTACCTCATCAGGGTTCCAATAATCCTGTAACAGTCTAGTCCCTCAGCTTGAGACGCAGCCATTGCGAAAAGAAAAAAAAGGGCGCTCGCTTATCAGCTTGAATGTTTAGCACCAAAATTTCAATCAATCAATCAATCGCCTCGGCATTAACTTCGATGCTTTAACGTTCAATCTCAGAATCTCCAATCTACACATGCTAGCCCTTTCGTTCCCCTCTCCTCCGCAACTTTTGCTCTATCTAGAATAATAGCCCGCTGCCCGCTTTTTTTTTTCTTCACAAAAGCTCGGCAATACTACATATTTACTTGTACATTTAATAACTTGCAAGGGCTTCTCCGGATTGCAAAATTTGGTACAAGCATTTTACCCCGTACGGCGCTACAAGTATGTTAATTTACGACCCAACTCCCCTTTTTTTTTTCCCCCTTCCCCTCCTCCTCTCCCTTGTCCACACTGGACTGGCTGCTGGCCTGGCCTTGTTTTTTTAATCCAAGCTGCCGATCCTTTTTCTTTTCAGCCCAGTCGTCACACACCAAAGAAAAAAAGACCGATCATTCTCCGAGCGAGAAAGTTACGTGCGTGTGCGCGCACTACACAGAAGACTTACACGCACCAAAATACCATTTCCAGGCAGTTCTTCGAATCCGCTTACTAGGAATTGCGCTCTCCGTGGTCATTTCTATCTATACGCGCTCTCGGTAGATACAGTGCGCCACTATTTTCTGTTCCTAGTTGGATAAAATCTGATTTCAAATGAATCGTGTAGCTCCTTCTCTCTTCCGAGTTCCGAGAGAATATGTCATGCATCTTTCCATTACGTCGTCAAATCTTACCCTACAAGTTTTGCCCTATCCCAGTAGCAATATTATATATATATATATATACATCAAGAATAGCCATTGCCGACTGACTTTCCGTGTGCTGATAAAATCACCATTTTAGTCACGCCTCTCTGGTTAGCACATCATTTTACCTCTTTCGTGCAGCTCCTCCCCGCCACCGGATTTGAAATTCAGACGCATTGCATGTATGCTGTAATCCTGTGTAAGGAGAAGCCAAACTCAACGCTTCAATAGCGGCGCCCCGTTCTCCAGAACGCTCCACATGAATGACTTGCTTCTTACTCTTCATCCACCTGTAAAAATCAAAGAAATGAAAAACAGAACAGATCCCTGCTTGTCTCTCTATTCCCCAGATTGCCCAAATTAGTAGCAGCCAGTCATCCGGGCACAGGCATATGATGTATCATTTTCAGTACCAAACGCCCGTGAGAGATGATATTATCAATCTACGGGCAGCCATAATAAAGTAAAAGGATTTTTCTCAAGTATCAAGTGTCAAGCTACATGCAAGCAAACTGATTTAGTGGTGCGCTTGTTATGGAGAATATCATAACTTATATCAGTATCTGATTATACACTTGGTGCTATTGATCTTCCATCAAAAGACGTCATAATGCATACTCGTACATGCAATCGTCAATTCATGCGGCCAGTTGCCGTCCCTTCCTGCCTGGATTCAGGCGGGATGATCTTCATCTAAGTTCTATCTACACGTTCAGTGTTTGTGTGTGTATGTCCCTTACCCCCCCTTGTACTCCTCCAAACTCGTAGTGAGTTCCCAAAGTCATGCGACATGCAACCTGTGATTCATCACACAAAGCGTCTATATATATGTACGTGCCATGGTCATTGAAATCATATCCGTAGCTCAAGCTGTCTTCGACCAGACTTTCAACATGCCATCACTTCACTCGTCGCGGGTAGTGTTTTCGCCCTCCAAGTGGATCTCGGCGACCTCATCAGAGTCATCGGGATTGGGAGCTCCGGTAGGTACGGTCAAGACGTCCTCACGGGCTCCCGCCGGTGATGATGTTTCTCCTATCACATCTCCCTTGATAGAGCTGGCCGATGTCATGTGAGTGTCAGCTTCCGGAAAGCCTCCCGAGCTACCGTGCTCGTCGCCAGACGAATTGAGCTGTGCGTCATCGCTGGCACAGTCTGCAGCCGAAGACCCTTCGGCTCCACTGCCATTTATCCCGTTGAAGTTCCAACCAGACGTCAAGTCAAGGGGAGTTGAATCCGCAAATTGATAGTTATTTGAGCTTTCGTCTTCGATGCTACGAATAGCCTCTTCATATGGCGGTACTTCCCCGTCGTGGCTATCAGAAAGGGGTTTGATCGTGGTATGAGCAACACCGGCCTTTAAAGGCGAGCCGCGAAAAGGGTTGTCTTCCTCGCTGGAATTACTCCCGTCGTCTCCGCTCGTTTCTGAGTTGTACTTTTCAAAAATCTGTCCAAATCGCGGGCCGCCTAGATGACCATGAGTTCGGCGACGATAGAAGAGTAGGTATGCTGCACTCGTCACAACCGACGAAGGGTCAGAAACAGATGAAACGGAAGAATCTAGTTTTTTATAGGTTAGCCTCTTGTTCCGTCTTATTTTTACGGCATGAGCGGATTAGTGATTCTCACCATTGTAGTTGTACCAGCGCCCATCTACATAGTTCTTCGCATATGCGGTGTAATGGCCTCCGCCCAGCCCTCCGTAGTGGTCGTCGACAGCAATCAAGTCGTAAATCTCTTCTTTTCCATCCTCTTTTTGAATGACTCTCGAGGTGAGATCCAACCCTTCGATGGGGAAGTCGACCAGCACGTCCAGCTTGTCTCGCCGCCATCCAGAGCTGCTAAAGCGCTTGAGGTGTGCAATCAGATAGTCTGGTGTTTTCCACAAGTCAAACTTCTTGCTCGCTCTACGGTGCTCCTTGCATCGTGGGCAATACCACATGTCCTGCTCTGACAAGACTTCGGCTCTCTCGAACTCATCGAGGCACTCCTCCAAGGTGATACCGCGGGACCGGCGAGTCTGTCGTTTTCTCTGGCTAATCTTAAGTGCCGGGTCGTTGATAGTCTCCAGGTCCACAAACGTCTTGGATCCCTGTGCCGCGTGCTGCTTCTTTCCAGTGTAGCCAAACACAGTTTCCCAAGCCTCTTCACTCCAGTCCACTACGAGACCCTCGTGAATTCGGATTAATGGGCCACCATCGGCAACTGCGGGAGGTGTCGGTTCAGACTCGACAGCCGACGAGCGGTTTGCAAGCTTGCCACCACGCATCTGTTTGTCGCGACGCTTGTTGCCCTTTTTGTTATACGTCTTATGGTTCTTGAATTTCTTGCCGCCCTTCCGAGACACTCTAGTGATAGTGGGTCGAGACAGCTGCTGTGCATCAAGAGTTAGCCAATAAAATAATCGCTTCATGAATACATCCTAAGAAAGGGAACTTACCCGGGCACCAGGAGGGGCGTCATCTTCGCTGGACTCATCAACCATACGTGTCTGTGGAGACTCTGGTTGTGGACTCTCGTCATCGTTACTGCTGTCTTCGTTACCAGAGGCCGTGCTATTCCAGCTCTCGGGGCTTGGCTCATCCTCTTCCTTGGCCGGCGGCTCTGGGATGCGGTCCGAAAGTCTTGGAAGCGTTTTGTGATTATCAATGACGTTTCCCCAGCCGGTGGGCACTGGGCCATCAGCTTGACTGGCAAAGTAGCTCAGCTCAAAGAGACCTTGCAGCTCAGGGTCGAGGAACTCCCCAGGTTGGATAAACTTGGGACGTTGGGCATTGAAACGGCGAAGAAGCTGCGGTTGATGAGGCAGAGGGAGCTCGGGAGGGGGCATGGCATTGGCACTGCTGCGAGCATCGTTCATGGCCACGTCAACTATATCGTCTTCACCTTCAACAGATTTGGCAACAACTTTACTGTCTCCAGATGAGTCGGCATCAGAAGTATTAGTTATGACCATGTCTGACTCCGTGGTTTCTGGGCTTTCAGGCTCTTGTTGCTGGGTAAACTTTGACCAGGTGGAAAAGGTTGATACTCTTTCCAACACTTTACGCTTGATATCGTCGTAGTTGGACGCTTCTTCCCTCGTCAGAGTGATGAAGTGCGGAGGAGAGGTACCCTCGGGCCCCTTGCCAGTGATGTATGGTCGTCGGTGGAAAACTGGGACGACCATCGTCTCATATCTCGGATCGCTGCTCCACTCGTCGGCAGCGTCAGGCAGGGTGCCGTCCGGCTCCGGCGTTGAACGAATCTTCTTTTGGTTACCCTTTGCAGGCCAGTTGGTGGGCACAGCCTCCAACTCGTGGAATGCTGCAATATCGGATGCTCCAATCTCTTCAGAGATGTCGCCACTGTTGTCATAAATTTTAAAGAAGCGGTCCTTGAACTCTTCAGCGCCCATGAGCCGGTTTGCTGGTACGCCCGTGCGGATTGACAAAAATATCTTAAGAGACTCGATCGAGCTATGCTTAGGCAGCTCAACCTCAAACTGAACAGGGACGTCATTGAGAGGGAAGAACTTGACCGTCTTGGACCACATATTCTCGACAGGCAAGGGCAGTGTCAGGTTGTTGAAAGGGTCGAACGTGATGCTGATTTTACCGCACTCGGGGCACTTGAGAGTTGACTTGTACATGCCCGTAAATAGGTCGGCGATGATAGAATCATCTCGCTTTCTGGTAATGTCCCAAACTTTGTCTGCCATCTCCTTGATCGCCTCGGGGTTGTTGATCATATCATCAGTAGAGTCTGGCTTCTCGATGTAAGGCTTCTTCTTGATGCGGCTGAGGTCTTCCTGAAGAGCGTCAAGCAGAAAACCAAGGAATTCCTGCGAGTCTTGCTGACCCCAGCCAGCAAAGGTGCTGCGGCAGCGGCCCACGGTGTTCTTGAAATCCCGAGGGCTTACTGATCCTCTGCCCTCATCGTAGATCTCTCTTAGCAGCCCGTTGTACGCCATGGCCACTTTCCCGTTGTAGCCAAGAGGGTTGGATTTGTTGAGCTCAGTTGCGTACGCCTCTGTAAGGAAGTACTTTGTCAACTCCTCCACACTACGCACGCACTGCAGCGCTGAGTTCATGTAGCAAGTGTTTCCGAGATTATGTAACCCCACGGCGCCCAAACTCCGGCCATTCTTCTTCTTCTGCATCCTGCCACGAGTGGCAGGCCCATCTGAAGAGCTAGGGCTGCTTCGGTTGCTGAATGACTTGGACAATGCGGTGTTGGTTCGCGTGGGTATCGCCTTATCCAGCATTGACTGGTTCTGGCTCGTACACCTACTCACCCAGACGTCCTTGCCGACTAGCTCATCAACAATCAAGACTTGGTCTGTGACAAGCTCAAAAAGCTGAATGGCGGCAGAGCCATTGTAGTTGGGATTTATGGTTTGATCTTCGAGGGCTGCCAGCCGCCTGGCGTCCTTGGAAGCACCAAAGGCCGCCATATCAACGAGCAAGTGCGCCCACGGCGAATTTTCAGCTCCATTTGCATCTTGGTTGCGGCCGGGAGAATCAGGCGGTGTTGTCAGGGCAGCTTGAGGCTGGACATTGGTTGTGCCAAACTGTTCAGAATTGACCACCCAGAGCCGGATCTTGCGCTCAGTCGGGACTCCAGTAAGCTTCTTTATATCCTTAATAAAAGTTTGGGCATGATATTTGCGACTTCTGGCTATAGCAAGAGGAGGTGGGTTGTCCGCTTTGAGAGACGACTCAATGGGCAGCGGACTGAGTTCAGACCAAACGCGATGCACTCGGAAAATCGGGGGATGGAGCTCAAACATGACATCAGAGGCAGAGTGCGCATCGACAGCAACATTGATAGCCGTGCGAACAACAGGCTTTTGTCCCTGTTCGAGACCATACCAGTCCATGACCAATTTCCATGCGTCTTCGGGAAAGAGCTCGAATGATTGCTGATCAAGGCCGGGTTTGAGGCGAACAAAGTCTTCATGACCCGGCTCTTGGAGGACTTCCTCAATAATGTCTGAGTTGTCGATTGGGCCCAATAATGCTTCGGTTATATCAGTCTTGCCCGAACGCAGGGACAATGCCTTATCCACCCATGTGCGCGATACAAGATAGGCTATATCGCCCTCCTTTGGCGATGAGTCTGCCGCAGCTTTGAGAAGCGTTTCGATAATCTTGACTTGTTCGGTGAGAGAGGGGAGGGGAGCAGCTAGTAAGAAAGAAAGAAAGAAAGCCTCGCATTAGCAATTTTGCAAACAAATTTGCACGTGTCCTTCCCTTGCATCTTTGATATGCCTTCATTCTCTTTCTCTCCATGAAATAAACTTACACTGAGCAGGGGAATCGGTGCCATTGGTTGATGGCTTGGTATCTGAGACTTCAACGACGTCGACACTCATGGCGCGGGGCAATTCCGCTGAGGGGATGGACGATGTCATCTCCACGTCCTCGGTACTGCCGTTGGCAGCATCGTCATTCTTGTTTGTAGTGGTTTCGGGATCCATGCTGGATGCTCGTCGTTTCAGTGGGGAAGATGAACGTTGAGGCAGATCCGCATCGCCATTCATAACGGCCCTTCTGGAGATGAGGAACGGTGACTGGCTCCTGGCGTAGGTTCGCACAGAGGCTGCGTCGTCTCCTCCTCTTTCACTCTCGACAGACAGATCGGGGCAGTTGGACGTGCCGGGAGACGAGGCAACGGACGAGGCGTAGTCGGCAGACACAAGGGACGAGCTGAGCTGGGCCTGGGTCTGGAGCCGCGAGGGGACGCTGGATGCTGGGATGGAAGCGGCACGGACGTACTGCGGCGCTTCAAGCCCGGAGGCTATGGGCGTAGCGGAAAAGGAGAGGGCGGCGTCGTCGTCGGGCTCGCACGAGGGGATGGCGGTGTCTGGCGATGGCGAGTGGGCGTCAAGATCGATCGTCAAGGGACGGGCAAGCTTTCTCTTCTTTGAGGAAGACGTCTTGATAGTGAGCTGCCCGGGCAGCTCTGGGGAGAACGGGGGGAGAGTCGAGTCGGGTCGGGAGGCGATGGGGAAGGCCTTGCATCTAGACGCTCGTCGGTCGAGGGGTTGATAGAATCAGCCAGTAGACAAAAGAATAGCCAGGGCACCGCACATCGGGGCAGTGGAGGCGGGCGTCTGTTTCGCGGGTTGGCGGTGTTTTGACGGCTGTGTGGGTCTCGATGTCAGCTATTTCTGGACAGTACAAAGTCAAGCAGGGGCAAAAAAAAAAAAAGACGTCACGGCCACATGCAGCAGCGCTAGCAGGACACAGCACTGTGCTTGTATGCTGTAGGTGAGAAGGGGCAGCTGGAGCAGCCCAGCCCAGCGTCAGCCAGCGGATGCGAATGACTCCGCGTCGATCCATGGCACAGCATGAGCTGGGCGTGGCTTCTGGCCTGGACTGGGCATAGTGCAGTGTGCGGTGTGTCTTGTGCCTGAACACCTGCCTGAGAGTGTGGTGTGTGTGATCTGTACTTCGTACCTGAACCTGGAGTTGCAGCTGGGGAGAATGGCACGGCCGCTGGGATACCCGCAGCCAAGATGGTACGTGGCCTGCTTATATGGCCTGCTTGTGCCTGCAGGATCTGCTGCTAGGCTGTTGCAGCTAGGAAAGCAAAATAAACACAAAAAAAGGGAAGACCAAAGAAAAGAGAAGAGAAGTAAATAACGGTAAAAAAAAAAAAAAGGTGAGCCAAAGCAAAAGAGGAACAGCAAGATCGGCCTAGGGCCCCGTTTTATGCGCACATGTAAGTAAACAGCGAATCAGGCAACGGATAGCGCAGCAGGGAGCTGGTGGGAAAAAATTCATCAATGTTACGAAAATAAAAACCAGCAGCGAGCCCGCCCCATCCAAAAGCGAAGAAAAATGAGGTCCAGGGCTAGAAGAACTAGCGGATAGCTCGCGGCTGCCCTTGTGGGTGCGTCTCAAGAGACCCGAATTCGCCTGAAGAGAAACTGCGATTTGATGCTGAGATTTGCGAAGGGCTCTCTCCGCGCTGTAGCTGCAGCGAGGCGAGAGCAATCCCCACCGCATCAAGCCCAGCTGCCCACTAGAAAGCCTAGGAATGGCGGCCAGCGCACTGAGAGCCCCGCGCACGACCCTAACAGACGCCTGGAGTTGAACTGCCGTGGCCCTAGGCGTCCCGGAACCTCGTGTACATTTCCCGTGCTTTCGTTAGCCCGACTTGCTGACCTTTCCAACGCCGTCGAAGCTGCAACAGGTACCTGTAATACGCAGTACCTGACCAGTGGCAAAAGCGATGCGAATTGGATCCTTCCCTGCCTCGCCATTAATAATTGCAGCAAGGCAGCTCTGAGACGCGTATTTGTCCAGCATCCGCCTCCTTCCCCCAGGCTTACCGAAGTGTATTTCAACTTGGGGAATTCGAAATCAGCCTTGCCAGTCCACTACCTAAACAAGCAGTACCTTCACCGTAGGTACCACCCACCTCTGCACCGTATTTGCTGCGAGGGGCACAGACTGTGACGACGGCGTCGTTTTTTCCGACAGTAAAAGAGCAAACGAAAACGGATCCGGAAACTGGCTGCGTGCCGGCGTGCAAATATTTTCAGGTCCCGACTCATTCTGGCTGCTAGTAGCGCTCTGCCGTTTGACTGCCTCGACATCGGAGTAGCCTATTACTGGTATTACATCTTACTTTAGGTAGCATATACCTATACATTCCGGGTGACGAAATGGGAAGATACGAAGCTAGGTACCTACCTAGGTAGTTAGCATGAGTCTCTAGATCAAATGTCTAGATCTGGTTGAATTTGGTATTGATTCGTTGAAATACTAAATAATCTCACGCTGTAAAACCAAGCACCTATTTGTACTAGTAGGTATCCTGCCGGGATGTTGTGGCTGCCTTCTCCAGCATACTTCTAAAAGAAAGAGTAGGGATAATTTACTGGTCTTTCCTGAGCAAGTCCGCGAGTAATTTTAAACCCATAGTTTCTAGCTATACAGATTCTGTAAATTTTCTTCAAAGCAGATACACCGTCCAACAAGGAGCATATAGTTGCACCCGGACGCAGCGATAGCTCAAGTAGCAAGACTCCCAGGTGGCTGTTACTCGCATCTCCATATCCATTCAATGTGATCAATGAAAATAAAACTCTAAAATATATATCTACCTGCAGTAAATGCTATCTCCAACTCTCTCCTAGGAAATCCCCTTGCGTGTGCGGCATCAAACATCTATCAGGTTATTTTTTCCCCCCTTTTCTCTTGAACAATGTGAAATTCTTTCGTAATTCGTCAACATGCCTTGTACACTTCAAAGTTTGGGATCGATTTCTTCAAACTCCTTGAGGTCCTTGACAGGGCGAGCACCAGAGCTGACCTGCAGGCCAGCCTTGTATTGTCGACCATCGGTAATCTCAACTGCCGCATCAATGGCTGATGTGTCATTGCTAGATGTCTCGACCTTGGGGGAAGCTTGAGGCAGTCCTAGCTCCTTGGCCTGGGAAAGGAGGGTTGTGCGCTGGTCATCCGAAACCGACTGTCCAGTCTTCAGATGTCCCTCCAAAAGGTCAAGGCTTGCTCGGCTCTCCTTGGGAACATCTTCCAGTCCCAGGTTCTTCAGGAGGTCCACGATCTTCGAGTCAACTTCGCTAGATCCTCGAGCGTACAGGTGAACTGAAAGGCGGGCTCGGCTGCTGGAGGAAGGGCTAAAGTATTTAGCGAAATATTCCAACATTTCAGCCTTTGTTAGCAGCTTGGCGTTGGCGGCATCATGCTGGGCTGTGATTTTAAAAAGTTGTGAATTAGCATGCCGCATATACGTATCTGGGAGCGAAACAGTAAAAATCCGCAGCATCACTTACCTTGTTCGAAATCATAGTATTCGTTAGATATTTGCGCCCAGTGTCTTGAAGTCTCTTGATCTAGGTTTCGCAACTTTTCGAGTCTCTTGTTGATCAGGCTTCGTTTATGACCCTCAAACTCAGTGTCCGTCATTTTCTGCAGGCTTTCCCCAAATTGAACTAAAAACGCCTCGATGCGTCTGTCTAGGTAGTCAGGAGTCCTCTCGCTTTGGATCAAGAAGCGGAAGCCACATGTGGTAGCAAAGTTTCGGATACTGGCGAAGACAATGTATCCAAGCTGCTCTTTCGTCCTGAGCTGGTCAAAGGCGGGCTCATGCATCATCTGATCCATCAGGAGAGTTTTCGCGCGAATATTTCGGTTACCTCTGTCGCCTACATAAAGCCAGGTTTCCACGCAGTGGTTGACGTTTGCCGGGTCCTTCAACGTCTTCTTGTAAACGTAATTTGATCCTGGGGGCAAGATGAGTGAACGGATGATGGGCCATTGAGACCTGAACAGCACGCGAGGCTTGAGCGTGGACTCAACCACCTCTGTCGCATCAAGTGCGTCGCTCTTGCTCATGTTTCCATGTACATAGACTTCAGTATACAGCTGAGCTAGCATCTGCTTCTGAAATTGTCGAATATCATCTGAGGTGACCTCTCGCAGTTCCACAGCAAGTTCCTCCACCAGGTAGTCACATTCTGCGTTCAGCCAGGATGTGTAATCTCCTACTTGCTGATATGAGGACTGAAGTTGCCAGTTATCATAACCGCGAGTAAGGCGCTCCTTGACGATGGCGAATCGGTCCTCCCTGATCTCAATATCTCGTAAAGTAGAGGTAACTTTCTTAAGGAGAAGCAGAAGCTTGTCGTTGTATCCCGAAATATCGAGAAACATGCCTCGAGAATCCAGGGAGACAGTATACTCAAGTCCTGCAAGTTCTGCGTCATAAGAGTACTCTTCCAGAGCGTCTCGTACTAGCTCTGTAAAAAGTCTAGCCTTGACACTGTTCTGCGCAGAGGCATAAATGAGAGGATTCTTCAGGCTCACGATGACGTTCGCCTTGGGCACCCAGAACGTATCGTCTTTCTTCCACCAAGTTCGGGCCTCTGCATCATTTCGCAGAATTCGGGGGGCCAATGCAGGCTCTGGCACTTCCTTCTTTTCTACCTCAAGCTTGTTAGGGATGAAGCTGTTCTTGTGAGGCAGATGCAACTGTGGCAGTCGCTGCTGGCTAGGGGTGTTGATGGCTCGTTTCCAATCCTCCATCACATCTTCAGGGATTTTCCCGTATGAGTATTCTGTGCCGTACCACTTTTCTTTCAAGTTCCAATTGCCAGGGAAAGTACGTGATACAACAGAAAGACGGAGGTTCTCTGGTCGAATCTTGGACAAAGCCTGCTCAATGTGTTCTGCATCAAAGACTCGCAGGCGGCTATGGGCACTCAACAGCCACTCTCGTGGCAAAGGCTTCTGCATCACAGAACTGACTCTGCTTGTGAATCGGCTGGCAGGAGTTTTCTCTCTAAACTTAAAGTCCACATCGGCCATGCCCTTTTGCTCCTGGAAAATCCATTCCTGAGGCGAGGCTTCACGCAAGAGGGCGATGTACTGGAAAAAGATGTTGATAATTTGGGGATACACTTTGAGGCCCTGTATTTCTACTGTTAGAGCACATCCTCCAAGAATATGGGGTCTAAGCTTACCTCTTCCGTCAATCGGATCTGCACTTCAAAGACACCGGGCGTGCCAGGGCAGATTGGGTAAGCACCGGCAGACAAACTATTGGCCCAGCCCTTGTTTTTGATATACGACATGATACTACCGGGACCTTCATGTCCAATGAGGTGAGAGCAGTACCTGCTCGGCTGAGACTTGTACAAATCCTCCTCGTCAATGAAGGGGAAGCCAAGGTTTAGCTCTCTAGTGTCCATCACCGGCTTTGCGAACCACTGGACACCAATGTCATTTTCACGGAAGGGAAGTTCTTCCGTCCATCTGTTTGGAGCCAAGCGTTTGTTAGCAATACCGGAGAAGAACTCAACAGTCCAGTCCTGGAGCACATCAAGAGGTTCCCGACCCAGAATGACAAGCTTCATGCGGTTGGCGGAGTAGTGCTTCGCGTGGAACTCGATAAATTTGTCTCTGACATTGATACCACTGGCTTCTGGGATGGTCTTGAGCACTTCTAGGTTGCCGGTAGAGAAGTGGCAGTAAGGGTGCTTCGGATTTGACAGCGACTTGTCGAGCTGGTGGAGACGCCATGTGTCATTCTGCAGGTTCTTCTTGTTCTCCGAATCAACGGCTTTCAGCTCTCTGTCCAAGGTGCTAGATAAGAAAAGCGGTTCAATAAAGAACTGCGCGAAGCGGTCGAGAGCCTCGCGGAGTGGCGAAGGATTCGTCGCCGACGGGTTTTCGTCATTGGCTGGCTTGGCTGCGACGTCGAAGTAGTAATTGGTCGATGTGGAGGCTGTATAAGCATTGGAGCTGCCGGAATTGGCAGACAGATACTGGCCGTACTCATTCTCGATGGGGAACTTTTTTGTGCCCATGAACAAGAGCTAGCATTGTTCCAATGTCAGCCCGCTAGGATTACAAGCACAGAAGGGTTGAATGCATGATTAGAAAATAAGAGGGAGGGGTGAGAATCAGCAATTGCAGAACGAGGAGAGGACGACCAAGGACAATCAAACAAGACAGAAAACAGGAGACAATTGGCAGAGCAAAGCAAGGGAAAGGGCACGGCTTACATGCTCGACTGCGTGTGCCATGCCCGGCATTCCATCCTCGTCGCTGAAGTTGCCGACGTTGACGTCGAGCGCGGCGCTGGCCTTGTCCGTCTCCGGATCGTGCACCAGCAGCGCCTCGAGCTCGTTCTCCAGGCGGACGACCCTGTACTCGCGGTCGTCTAGCGAGGGCTTCTCCAGGTTGTCCGTCAGAACCTCAACCGGCGAGTGGCGGCTGGGGGCTTGGGCCTCAGCCTTGGCCGGCGCCGGCACATGCGCGGGCATTGCGGGGGGAGGCGGTTTTGCGAAGAGCGGCGAGCGAGTACCAACAACAATCGCGGCGAATGAGCAGCGACGAGCCTCGGCCGGGTAAGGAAGAGGATGCTCGACGACGCACAGCTTGGGGATTGTACAGGTTGATGTTTTCTGGAGGTGGCGGCGGGCTGACTGATCGAGACCCGCGTTTGCTGAAGCTCGCCAGTAGTGGGGGCGCCACCGTCTTTAGGTCGTAGGGAGATGCTGGAGCTCAGCTGCTTTGTAGGATTGGATGGGCGTAGTGCTAGGGAGTAATCTCTGTCGTCGGGCGGATTTCGTCGTGGTGAAGCCGGGTTTGACGAGTATTTAGGTAGGTCTTGGATAAGGTAGGAGGCAGGTTGCTTTGGTGGCGAGAGAAGCGAAACGACTGAGATCTTGTCCCCTCTGAAGCAAGACCAGATGATGGCACCAATACTGATTCTGAGTCTGGCGTTAGTCTTAGACGGCGGCTTGAGCCTGCGGTGAGTGTCTCGAATTCCTGCATGCAAGAGCGATTCGGGAGCGACCTGGACATAAATGAGCCGGCTTTGCTGATTGCGTATTGGCCAGGTGCCTGGACGCTTATAGAAGTCCCTGGACGATGCAGGCCGCTGGGGAAGCTTTGATGCTTATCTGCTCAGAGGAGTCCGCGATGCAAACAGCTGGCAAGCTCCTCTTTCATACTTCTTGTAGCTGGTCCCTCAAGGTTCCCCCCGGCACCGCTATAAGCCGGAGAAAAAGTGGCAGGCTACGCATTGGGTAACCCAAAGTAGGAAAAATTAGCTGTACTACGGCGATTCGTGATAGATCTTTGATCTGTGCGTGCAATTTACAAATTAACAGCTTCACACAAAGCTGTGCTTGTGCTTGTGCTGAGCTTGAGCTGTGCGAGGCTCCTTGAATCTGCCAATTGCTCCAAGCGGTGACCAGACTTGGCGGGCCATTGATACTTGTGGCCTCTGCTACAAAGTACGAGAACAGTTGGTATGTGCATACGGATACTCGTAGTAGGTATGAGATGCCAGACCAGCAGGGATCCGTTTCTTGGACTCGGCCGGTACTACGAAAAGCCAAGACGAAGCTAAAAATGCGGCCATCAGGCATTTATTGGCCGCGAATCATGGGGCCAGCAGGTCAAATGCCGCTCGTTGTTTGCTGGGGCCGTGCTCGTGCTCGGGATGCGGTACCACAACGGTTATCGGTGTTAATGGTGGTGATACCGCACACGGCCAGTCGCTTCTGTCTGGGACGCAGAGAGAGGTCGCTCGCCAATCCCAAAGCTCTGACAAAGGTTCTGCGTGAGCCTGCAAGGGGTGTGGAGGGATGATCCCCGTCTCGTTCCCACCATCGCTGGTGTTGGGACGACTCGCAGAGTGGATATAAAATCCTCCAAACTTCTACTTGGGCTCCGCTACTTGCTCAGTGCAGACATTGCAGACAGGAGAATTTCTCTGGATTCGAGATGATACTTGAAGATAATGACGAGGACGAGGTATCAAGGCAAGACTCCAGCGTTAGACAATGTATGGCTCGAGGCCTGTGAGTTCTTGGCGTGGTTCATCGCAAATCCACGCTGCTGGTGGCGCTTTAGACATGGCGATGGCGGGGAGCCATCCATCAACCGCAGGCAAAAGACCAGATGAAACCCAGGTTGATGTTTCCTTTGGGCTCGTCGCCCACAGGTTTGTCTGGAACCGACTCCGTCCAGAGGGGCGCGCTAGACATGGAGGTCAGGGTTTCGATCTGATCTGCTTACTTGGGTCGGTGAGGTGAGCTTAGGCCACGGTCTTGCATCCAAACCATTACCCAAACATGGACATTTGACACGTCAATGATTTCCGCGGGACTCAAGTGCCGCCGGCCCATCAGGGTCATCGTCCCGAGCATCGGCTATCGTGGGGAACACCAAGACCCTTTGCTTTGCGTGAGGCATCGCAGAGTCTTACTATGTAGTGCCCGCAGCTCCACCGCCAGCGGGCAACTCTCGAGGAGCATGCACCATTCGTGTGTCCCAAGACACGCATAGTCTAAGATCTCTAATAAGAGAGCCTTGCTCCATGTGGTATTGATCGTGTGCTCACTCGCTCTGCTGGCTTTGGCGAGGGTGGCACCACCGAGGTCTGACACAGCGGTGACTGTGTCCAATGCCAATAGCTTCGTCTGGATCAGAGCTAAACAAGCTCTCCTCCCCCTCAGCAATCTCAGCAGCTATTGGCCATTCCACGGACGAAACGGCCCAGCTAAGCCCAGGTACAGTGGTGGCACGCCATACTCGCTCCCATCTTCATTTATATGGCATATGGCGGGGAGGCTAAATCAATAATGACCGTGTAGCATGCTGGCGAATGCAATCCATATGTATGTATGTAATATAGAGACAATCCTCCTGCGGGCGGCCAGTGCTCAATCTAAGCGCTTGTAGCAGGTGCCTGCGCGCATCTCTGGCGGATGAAGCTCGTTGAGTATCAATCGCGGTGGATTCGTCTTCTGCAAGTTGTCAACGAAGGATCATGCTAGCAGACCCCGCAAATAGCCTGTCCAGAGCACAAATGGCTGCGTAGAACGTATGAGATTAGTATATAAGAGAGGCTATTCATAGATCCCAGAACCTCTTCCGTGTATCGGCTGATGTACTGCGGGTAATTGTCAGTTGTAAGAACTAGAGCGTGAGGTGGTGTTGAACTTGACAGACTGACCTTGCTTCATTACCAAGCTCGGCTTACTTGGTTGTTTTCTCAAGCTTTTGTATCCAGAGTACTTGGGTAGGTACGCTGTTCATGTAGATCCGCGCATATCTGGGATCGAAATTCGCCCACTTCTGAACCCTTTGGTAGGCAAATACAAAGTAGTGCTTCGTTATTAAAAAGGCAAAAAATCTCGATATCAAACTGTCGTCAATTACTCATCGCTCCCGCAATTTGTGACAGGCATGTGTGTACGATATGTGATAGAGAAATAGCGTCGCGGCTTTGTGATTGGGTCTCCCATCCCACCAGGCTGCATGTCATTTGAGCCCTCCCGGCGATGGCAGGGAATTTATGATATATTCTGTATGGAGTACGGCTAGTTGAGACATTAACCGAGCCTCAATATGAGGTACTTGTAGCTGCCCGCAATCTCAGCTTCTGCAGCAGGCCGAGTATGGCATGTGGAGTCATGGATTATCTACTTCATCTCGTGTTATCCGAGTTGGGGGTCCTCAGCTCAGGCCTGCGCCTGTATACAGCTAAGAGGATTGGAAAAGATCATAAAGAACACACATTATCAAGACCTTACATTAACGAGTTTGAACATGAAACTTAGATATGGAAGGGGGACACAGGGTCTTGTCATGTTATGCAAACGGTGCCGCATAAAATGCGTTTTTATTATTATTTCGGTGACGTTTGATATTGAAAACGCTCTTCTATTCTATGTGGGATAATCAAGATGCTTTTCGATAAAGAGATTCATGATTGTGCATGCGGGATCAGCAAACATTCGTCTATGGTTGAATCGGGTATAAATTAGAGAGGATGCCTCGGTATTGGTGAAAGTTTTACATTATCCCATGTGGATAGAGTGTGTATAAATCGTCCGTAGTGGGATAGGGAGTTTACAAGGGCCAGGAGTGCAAAATGAAAAGGAAGCGTTCATGATCGCTTGGAACCACTTTTGGGGCAGCTAGCGGCCTTATGTCCAGGCTGCTTGCAGATGTAACATGCAGAGGAGGCTGAGTTGCTAGCACCTTTGCTAGCACCCCCAGATGATGATATGGAGGTGATCTTGTTCAGCGAAAGTTCCTTCTTCTTTCTCTTTTCACGGAAGTCTTTGGCCCTTTTACTTTCGTCGTTAGGTCTAGATCTCGGTCGCGATTGTGAGCGTGAGCGACTTGAGCCGTCTCCAGCATCTGAATGTCTTTCCTTGCGCTTCCGACTCGAGTCCTCGCCATCACTGGATGATTCATCGTTTGAGCCGTCGTCTTTCTCGGAATTGGGTTTCTGCTTAACAGTCAGTCAAAGGACAAAGGCATAGCCTAAGCCACTATGAGAGAAAGACTTGTGAACATACTTGATTCTCAACCTCCTTGGGCTTCCGCGTCGAAGTCCGGCCACTCTGCGGGACGTCTTCGCCGCCAGACTCGTTATCTGAATCTATATCTCCGTAGCCCACATACACAACATTCAGAGACGGTTCTGAAGGCGTGCTGCCATTCAGTTTGTCCAGCTTTGTATTCAGAACCCAATGCGCGCCGCTCGCAGTGTGTTGGGCAAGCGCTGCCTGTCGCTTCGCCTCTTGATCATCAAGCGCTGCTTTGATCGATGCCTGATCGATCAAGGCGCTGACCCTTTGTTCTGCTGCGGTGGCCGCTGAATTATTCAACTTTCGCTTTTTCGACGATTGAGAGCTGTCATCTGTTTGTGGCGACGATGAAGCCGATGCAACAGCTCGTTGCATGAATTTCATTGTCAAGAGCCTCGAAGAGACCCCTTTCGGCGTGTCCGGAGCCATTTTTGTGATGTCTTTTTCTGCAAATGCTTTTCGAATATTCCCTTGGCACGCTAAATTCGTGAAGCGATTCGTATAGCGGATACGGGCTTGGATTGATAGATGTGATTCTTGAATGAAAGGCTCTGGGAAAAAAGTTAAGTAGAGCTAAGCTTGTCGATAGCATGCGACCCGCGGCTAGCGGGAGATGTCCGCCGATCACGGGAAATATTTGTTCCGCCAACTCGTTCAGCCCACCTCCATATCCGACTTCAACTCCAGTCAAGCGTCTTGCTCGGCTTCGGGTCCAGATATAGCACAATCTCATCACAGCCATGGCGTCGTCTCAATTGCGAGCGGTCCAAACGTTGACGCGCAACTTGCGCGCATCGAGCCGCACATTCACCACCTCTGCGCGCCGACTCGAAGCTCCTACACCCGTTACCTCTACCAGCGAAACGGCCGCAGTGCTGGAAACCGACTCAAAAGCCATCGGCCAGGCTCCCAACCGCGCCGCCGTCTGGTCTCGAAGCCAGAAGCCCCGAGCTACTGCCATGACAGGCCCCCGTTTTGAGCAGACCGATTTCAGCCTTCAGGTATAAACACCAGCCAAGGATTGCCATGGGAGGAATGAAAATCTGATTTGCTCGCAGCCCCAACCTTATTCAGCCATGGAGTTGGTACACAAGGTGCCCGTTACATGGACTCACGACCGCATTGTCACATGCAGCGGCGGCGGCGGTGCTTCTGGCCACCCCAGAATCTTTATTAACACCGATAAGCCGGAGATTGCTTCCTGCAACTACTGCGGCACTCCTTATGTATGCTTGACTGCCCTACGCAAACCAGTTAGGAGACTAGGAGAATTCTAACAGCGGAATAGGCCAACGAGCACCACCGAAAACACCTCGAAGCTCTGCCGGAGACTTCCTACCCCTTAAAATAGACTTATCCAGCTGGGGGAGGGAATTTGTGTTATTGAGTTTCTGGTCATAGATAGTCTTTGGGCCGGTTCACGAGTTATTTGTATAGTTATGAAGAATCAAAACAGAGAAAAAACAAATACTTAACGCACGAGATCTGCGTGAGGTACCAAGTCTTGCAATGCGATATCTATTATAAATATAGGTACAGTAGGTATACATAAGAGACATAGCGCCAATGCCATGCCAATTAATAATGCGATTGAGAGGCACATTTGTTTCATTCGGTCCATTTACCCATCCTTTGGCCATATTCAAGCATAAAATCTACTTTCCAGATGTGTCCAAAACCTACCTTAGTAGTGTAACAGGCTTTAGACATCATTGTTCCAAGACAAGCAGCAAGGTTGCATCAACCCCACTAATATCAGCGACTCATGTCTACACCTCCAGTCTCCACTTCTCATAACATCACTGTGACCACAGAATGCCTCAACAAACCAGTGATATCAAAATCATTGTCCTAGTCTTCTTGTTTATGATTACACTTTTTCCCAATCTGTTCCATTATATCTGGACCCTTCCTCTCAGCCTCATCTTTTCACGGTCGCCACCACTAGCGGATTCTACGCCCATCATGTCTTGGGCACAAAAGCAAATTACACTCCAGGAACAGTCTCGTGGCTCATATCTCGTCACAGACGAAATAGTGAAAGCGTTGCCGGAGATTCGAAACTACAAGGTTGGATTGTTGAATTTATTCATCCAGCATACAAGCTGCGCTCTCAGCCTCAACGAGAACTGTATGTCTCCCACTCTACTCTCTCGAGACCCTATGACGCTGAAGACAATCTATGCAAAATTCTGACTCTGTGGAATTGTAGGGGACGAGGATGTGAGAGCAGACATGAGCGATGCTCTTGATCGCATTGCGCCAGAATACCTGGTCAAAGGAAAGGAGCTGTATAGACACAGGTACGTAAAGACTCCGCGAACGTTGCAAGTTCTCATGCTAAATGCCCTTATGAACAGCGCTGAAGGCGCTGATGATATGCCGGTAAGCCTTGACCTTCATGATGGTAGAGATATTGAGCTAACGCTGCATAGGCTCATATTAAATCAGCACTCATTGGTGCTAGCGTCACGATTCCAATTCAGAATGGCAAATTGGTAAGTTTCGCCAAGCTTCCCCTTATTCACACCTCTACTTGTGCCCGTGTTTTTCTTGTTAACACTTTTGCAAGGCCACGGGAACATGGCAGGGAATTTGGTACTTGGAATTCAGGGCAAGACCACACCAGCGCAAGATCATGGCCACCATTCAAGGAGAAAAGTACACATAATATCTATAACATTGATTCGAAGACTCTGTACGAATTAGACAGTCCATAATTTCGAAGAGTGTATACATTGAGTCGTTTTACCTATACGCCAAACTCCATCGCCATGTCTCCCCTTTTCCAATATGCTGTTCATTTCATCTAATGTGTCCCATTTTCCTCAACCATATCCGTATCGTCTCCGGCCAGAACCTTGGTCTTGGGCACATATCCATCAGGAGCACCTGAACCAGGGGTTGCAGCGACAACTTCGCCATTCTCGTCAACAAACTCAAAGTTGTAGCGACTGAGTATATGAGGAATAGCGGACAGCTGCGGTCCATATCTGGCGGTGTTGTCGTAAAGCTCGAACAAAGGGACGGCTAAAAGCTTCATATTCTTTGGCACGCTTAGAACCTCTATTTGGGAGAAAAGGGGGGAACGTCAGCGCCTGTAACAAAAACTGTCTTGAGTATCGGATGAAACTTACTGCTCTTCGGTAGCTGAATAAAGTAGAATTTCTTGCACTCCTTGGGCCGTGTGACGTGCGCAGGTACAAACGGATACATGAAGGTCTCAAAGTTTGGCCTCCACCACTGCGCCAGGCACTCGCCAACCTCCCAGTCTCCAGCCTCTTCTCCCTCGCCCAGTCGGCCAACTGGCGCAAGTCTCTCGTCCAATCGAGCTTTGAATCCCTCGACCTCGTCGTCTTCTGGCTTCAGGTAGTCTCCAGGGAGCTTGAAGAACGCGTTTGCGATCTGCAGCATGAGGATGTGCGGGTGGTTGTGCTCATGGCACACTAGGATGCCTTCGCATGTTCGGCGCATGCCATGCTCGCTGAAATGTTCTTCTAGACGCTTCAGACGGGCAATTACGGACGGGTCTTCCTCTGGCTGTGTCTCTTTCACACCGAACGTATAGTTGGATAGCGGGTAAAGCGTAACCTTCTCAGGCTGGTTGGCGTTGAACGGCAGTGGGATCGTGGGCGGAGACCCCGATTGGAGGGCCGAGGCCGGGATGGTTGACATGTTGGAAGCTCGTCGCAATGAAGACTAGACTGGGTTGATCGAGCGTCCCTTGTGCTTCCTGCGCGATGGCATTCGGCAGAAGTTGTTGACGGCCAAAGGGGATATTGGCGAAGCAAGCACGCGCAGCCGGCACGGTCTCCACAAGCTGGCAGCGAGGCTATGGGCAGAATGCGATAGCTAGGCTGGACCGTCCGAAAATGGGAAAGCGGTGTGAGCTATAGGCTGTGTCCAGCGCTACCGGCAACACAGCCATATCCAGTGCTCTATCTACATCTACCTCATTCTTGAGCTCTTGGATGAATAAAGAAGATACCAATCGGGGGGAGCCAATTTTACTCATTGAATTAGTTTATATTACTTGCAATATCTCATTGGCAGAGCATCCTTCACTATTACCAAGCCGCCTCATTTCGTGCTATACCCAAACATTACTTGGTAGTAGCAGGCACCTGTTTGCACCAGGTAACAATGTTAGGAAGTGCTACAAGTAGTAGGTAGTAGCGCCTTCAGTGTTTGCTCACAGTAAGAACACCATCGCTCAGCATCGCAAACGCCTGATAGAAGTTGTCAGATAGTGTACACTTTATCTCACCATGTCTAATACGAGGCCTTATCATGTGAGCGACGCCATTATGCTCAAGAGATTAGCCAGCCCACCATTGTCATTGTGAAGTGCTACAAGATAGGGAGATTTAATTAGCAGCTCACACTACTCAGTGGACCAGTAGTATTCCATTGAACGATTACGCAGGTATCCGGGCGGCGCCCCAAGTGTGCCGTTGGTAGCCACCAACTTTGATAACACGAGGTCACGGGAGAAGGGACACGATACATGTCGAGAGCACCTGGTAGAGACAGCCTCGGCCCAGAGCGGGCATAGTCTAGATTGTTTGCATCCACAAGACTCTGGCATTGAACGTTATTAAACTCTATTACTACTACCAGTATTGCTGGTAGGCTTACTACCACATCTATAGCATGAGTACTACAACCGCCGAGGACCAGCCTACTATCCGCGTGCTGCCGGAGAGCCATAAGTGTACTTGAGCATGCCTAGAAGCGGGCGATGCGCAATGAGGGGCCAACAGGGGCAGATCTGCAGCATGCTGCATGTGCAGCGCCCCAAACCCCTCTGTATCCCACGTCTTTGCCCACGCTGCCCACGCTCGCCAGGCCCGGTTTGGGGGCAAGGAGGGCTTGGCTCGGCGCTCGTTGGTCTGGAAGCAGCCTGGAATATCCGGGGTCCGGAAGGGTGGTCTGCCATCCAGGCGATAAATTTACGGGGCGAACCTGATGCGACGCCGGCCAGCTCCATTGATTGTCTGTTTGTGTCGCAGAAAAGCGGAAGGGATTTCCAGCACGGTTGGCGAGCAGCGAGCATCGGCCAGCAGCAGCGCTGATTTGATTTGATACAGGTACCGCCAGAGCCCTGAGTTCTCAGCGGCAGTAAAGCTGGGCAGCGCCAAACTGGTGCGATGCCACGATATCCGGACGAATCCTCAACTAACATCTGCCTAGCGTAAGCCCCCTCCAGCAAAGCCGGAACAAGTCGCCTGGAGCGGCTTCGGAGCTGACGCAGGAAGTTTCTAGAGATACGAGGGCATTTCTAATTACATGCTGAACATGAGAAATATATTGTCTTGTCTCGGTGTAGAGTGATAGCAAATAGGGATAAAAAATAGCTCCTCTGCTCGACTCGACGTAGGTCACGGGCAAGGCCACCGAGTGGGGGAATCTCCCACGCTATGTAAATGTAGCTTAACCCACATCCACATCCTCAGATCGACGCTTAGCTGTGCCTCTGTTCATCTCGTCCCCCGAGACGCAGGAACTTAAAAACATCAATCTCTGTCTGGCCCGTTGATAGAGTTTCCCGGCTCCCAGACGGCCGCCTTCGCTCCCCCGCTCTGCCCTAGCGTCATGCGCAGATCACGGCCATCGACACGCTCCAGTCCGCTTGCAGCTTCTTGTTAGCCACAATGGAGGCGACGTTGCTCAGCAGCCTCCACACCAAGCTGGATGACCTGGAGGGCAGGCTGCAAGCCTATCGCTACGACCTGATCTCCGATTTCCAGCGCTACTACCACGACCTGCTCACCGGCGTCAACCCCAGCGTCGCGACCAGCATCCAGCAGGCCATTGCTCCGTCCTTTGCCAACTACCCGATCCTGCGTCCCGAGCTGGAGGTCGCTGACTCACAACCGCAACCACCACCACCTGACAGGCCCCAACCGGCCACATTCCAGCAGCCTGCGACGCCTGAGGCTTCTCCTCGTATCGAAGCTCCCAACGGCTCGCACGACCGAGAGACGGATCTGCAGGGCCTCTTCACGCCAAGCTACCTCCCGCTGCTGGACAGCTCCCCTCCCTACAACCGCCCTGCCGTGCCGGCTACCACCCCGACGACGACTTCTATCCAGGCCACGGATCCCTTCCCGCTGCTGCCTGCTGCCATGGACACGCCGCCTGTCGACAACAGCACTGCCACAGAGAATGGTGTCACCATGGACAGCCTTGCAACCCAAGGGAACAGCGCGGCTCCCGCAGGCGGCCAGGCTCCGTCCGAGGCGAACCGCCTGGTGAGGACCGCCACCGAAGAGTCAACCTCGTCTGCCGCCTCAGACAAGAGCGATTCCAAGGTTATGCGAAGTGCCATGCGACGCTCCTCCAGTATATCTAAACCGCCTCAGAGCCCACGACGGGTGCGGTTCGAGTTCATGGGTGCAGAGGTGCTACCTACGTCATCGCCTCAGCAGGTGAAATTTATAGCTCCCAATCCAATGTCGCCAGCCGCAGATGACGAGCCAATTGCCTCCGATATGATACTTGATGACGATATCAACGAGTGGCAACCTCCCCGGAAAAGTTCTTCTACAGAGGCCTTGAGGGCCTTGTCCAGGGCTCCAGCTGAAGAAGGCACCGTGTGGACTGTTGTCGATCCTGATGCAGATAGGGCCAATTCCCATCCAGACACCCGGAATAAGGAGGCCTCAAAGAAATCCAGCTCCATGGAGCAGACCAAATCGACTATGAATAACCCAAGAATAGAAGTTTCACCTGGCGCTGCCCAAAGCGAAAATACGACGTCATCAGAACCTAGCGCTGCCAACGGCCGTCGTTCAGATACCAACAAGAATACTGACGGCTCTTCAGATGATGAGGCTGACTATTTGGCCATGGGCAAACGCAAGTCTGCCGTGAAGCAGAAGTCTACGTCACCTCCAGATACCCAGTTGCCGTTAAGAGGAGCGAGTAACGAAACTTCACCTACGGCGCCTGGCTCAAACAAATTGCACCCCAATGTCAATAATGCCTCCAGAGAGACCAGGAGTCCAGCTATTATGGACAATGAGAGCTTTGATGATTATGGCGATGACGATGACCTCTTTGAATTCGAGCCTGCTGGCCTAAGTGCTCCCCCTAAGCCGCGTGAGAAACCAGCGGCTCCCCCGCCAGACGAGTCATCAGATGATGATGACGACGAATTTGAGGATGAAATGCCAACCATGGCTCAGTCCACTCAGCAGCCGCTTTATTCGACATCGCCAGCTGTTTCTATCGCGCGGCCACAGAGGACGGAGAACGCCATGGCCTCAGTGTCCAGGTTCCAGCCTGGGTCCCTCGGATCATACAAGGGTCGGCCAGTTGTCATGCCTGTTGTACGTAATCCTGAAGTGCACGCAAGGGCTGCCTCTTTGGGCCAATTCAACACTTTTGTCGGAGGCCTGGATGGCCGTAGCGGAATGGATGAGGGAGACCTCAGCAGCTTCCGTGCCAGCGTTGTCCAGCCTGGCTTTGCTGGTACCCCACGGAGCTTCACTGAACGCTTCATGATGGAAGAGGCACAGGAGGAGAGGAGAAGGAATGGCGCCACTCGGTGATATGATTCCCTTTTTATGACATTTGCTGGCGTCTTGTCTCGGAGGTTGGTTTCCTATCTCAGCTTACAAAGGCATGGTGGGTGGGTATGATTTCGGACTATATGGAAATGGAAATCTCGATGGCGTTCATCTCAGTGAAGGGTTTGTGTGTTTTGTCATTTTTATATGAGAAGGAATGAGCTTGAGGTGGAGGGCAGGCGACGTTACATCATAAACACCTCATTATTTTAAAACATGTTTTATCATCAACATCAAAACTGTATACGCATAGGTAGTCATAGCCAGAATGTGCCCTGATGATACATATAAGGGCCAGTATTGTATCTTCTGCTTTTATGGATCTTGAAAGTGTCAACGCGTGTGCTAGTGCCTGGATCTGCTTATCAACCGATTCCTAGAGCAGAGTTGGTGGTGTGATGGCGGGGTTGTCAAGCTACCGCTTTATCGAGGTTATGATGTAAATGCATGTAAGAGGAACTTCTTGCCATCCAGTCTGGAGTTTTGGAGGCTGACATTCTGCATTATCTCAACGAGTCATTTCGGCATACAGCAATCCGAGTTCAAAATGCCTGGAATTCAACTCGAGATCTTCAAGGTACGGACTCTTCAAATCTCAACGCAGCCGCATTGCCTAACTTTGGCCTCTTGGTATAGTTCGGCGTCTGCCTCATGTTCCCAATCGGGTTCATGTATTATTTCGGAACGAACCTGGACAATCGCTTCAAGGTTAACGATTTCTGGCCGAAGCCCGAAGAATGCAACAAACTACCCCAAGATAGAGAGGAAGTTGTTAAAGAGTACGAGCGAATCGTCGCACGGCAAAAGGTTCGACAAGCTCTTCAAGAGGAGAGGCAGCGACAACAGGCGGAGCTAGCGCAAAGGAACGAGAGCTCTTGATGGATTCGACAACTGTTTGCTTATCGCACGACGGCCTGTGGGAGTAAATAAAAAATTATGGGAAAGGGCATTTTACCCGGATTGTACTATATGATTGAATTGGCGCTATTGGCGAATACAGGACAAATGCATGGTTGGCGTTCAGCCTGCAGAAAAGCGGACTGAGGAAAAAAAACAACTCAACTCAAAATGGGTATTTTGGATGATTTCTATACAATAATGGGATTTACTACAGCTATATGTCTATGTGTCGCTCCAGCTTGTCCCAATCATCATCCGTGATAGTGCCTTGGCGAAAGTTGGCGAACAAAGCTCTGACTTCGGTATATTCGCGAAGACCAGACAGCAAGGTATTCAGACTTTCTACCAATTCGGCTGTATCAACGTCGGCTTGGGTGTCTTCATTCGCAGCCCACATTATCTCAGATTCGACGACCTCAAGCTCAAACCGCTTAGAGATGGCTTCCGTAATGGCCATGAGCTTGGATGGCTCCGTCCAGATTAGGAATCCACCATTCGGATGCTCTTCCACATCCTCAGTTCCTTCGTGCTCAATTGCTTCGTCTAATACATCTGATAAGGAAGGGCCACCATCCCTAGGCTTAAATATAACCCGTCCGCGTCTTGAGAAGTAGAATGCAGTGGAGCCCACAAGGCCACCGGCCTTCTTGACGACGAGTTTAAGATCATGCAAGCTACGCGTCTTGTTATCCGTCTCAATATCGGCAACTAGGGCGATATTGGGTGGCATTAGAATCTCGAGTGTCATGGGTTCAAGCTGCGCGCCTGTTGCAGAGCGACCTTGGCCTCTTGCGATGGCGCCTTCAATTAGTGACTTGGGGACGCTCGCTAAAATTAGGCATTAGATGAATAAGTTGCTTCAACAATATGGTGAGGATAATGAGTCTCATGAGAAACATAAGTAGGTACCTTTTGTTGCTGCTGCAACGGCATTTGCCAGCTGGGGGTTGAACTTGACGTCCTCGCCATACACTTTTATCAACGTTAGACTGGGTTTTCTAAGACTTGGAGCTTGGTGCCACTAACTTTTAGAGTACATGGTAATGAGCTTTGTAAATGAAACACGGTCAGACATTTTCTTTTTGTCTGTAACCGCCTTGATATGCTTCGTTTTGGACCATTTATTATGTCCTGCATTCCGAGACGCCGTCGTGCCAAATGCATGCAGACATGACGGGCATACAAGACCACTTGAAGATGCGCGAGAAGGAATTGAAAGACGAGACTTTCTCAGAAGCGAAAACGACCTTGCGGAGTTCATTGTGACGAATTGTTAGCAAAATCACAATTAAGGGACATCCACAAATGCTCTGCGGCTAGCCAGAGACTGAAAGCGATCTTGCGTCACCGTAGTTTAAGACACCCGGCCAATTCAAAGATATTCGAGCTTCAGAGCCACTAAGCTGGTGCTATCGCATGTTTCCTCCAAATGCGCCGGGTTAACGATCTTCCCTGGAGCTTGGAGCAGAGAGGCTGCCCATCCAGGGCCACCAGCGCCTGCTGATTGGCCATTGCACCACCGCTAGTGTCGATGCCCATCATCATACCTGTTGGAATGCTGGCCATCCATCCCCTATCAATGAGTCCTGGACGATCATAGATAGCGAAGACCTAGTTACGACAACACAGAACTCGACAACCGAGGGCCCCTCTGACGACGCCGCATCCCGCCTGCCATGTCGTCGAGCCAGGAGCCCGAAGCTCCAACCAGTGCGCCGAGCGTGCAGGCCAGCGCCGCCGATCCAGTCACTGCCAACCCGGAGCTGGACCTCCCTAAGCTTCAAGCGCTCCCCGCCGAACAGCAAGATCTCTTCCTCCTCACGTTTGTTTCGAGCTTGAAGAAGCATGTGTTGGGGCTTGCGGCAGACGATTGTACGGCTCAGCAGTTTTACCTGAAGCGCGAAATCTTCCAGATCATCAACCTGTCCACCCCGCAGCCGTCTCGGGTCATCAGAAACAACCTGGGAGCTTGTCTAGCCCACATCTTCGGCAAGGGAGACAGGAAGCTGCTGTTCGAAACGATAAACGATCTGATAGCAATAGTAGCGGGAGGAAAATCCAAGGATGGCGAGACTCGCGCAAAGCATGCGGCTGTTAGCTGCCTGGGAGATGTGTATGCCTCTGCGGGGGATAGCGCAATTGGACTCCACCAGCTGGCTTGCACAACGTTGCTGAAGCTGCTCAAGTCGGCTTCGAATAACGCAGGCATAAGAGCAGCGGTGTTTACCGCTTTGGAGAAGATGATCATCATGGTTGAAGGATCCATGGACGAATACATTTCTCGGGATATCTGGAAGCAGGCAAGGAGCCATGCCTCCGTTGACAAGGGAACTCTCGTCGTTGCGTCTGCGTGTCGATGTCTTAAGGCCTTGGTGCGACACACCATGTACTTCCAAAACTTGACCGACTTCGACAAGCTGGAGACGGCAATGTTCAAGGCTGCCGACTCATCGTCCGCCAAAGTTCGAAATGCCATGGCTAGCTGCTTTGCCGAGGCGCTGGTGCAAGGATACTCGGAGTCCAGCGCCGCAGACGCCGCCGCCAAGAATAAAAAGTCTAAACTCAAGCTTAAACGAGCCTCCACCCACCCCAGCATCGCGGGAGATGAGGACGATGTTCCATCTCGCCCGTCAAGCCCAGCTCCTGGCGCCAAGCGGAGTCAAGACCTTGCTCTGTCGCTGCAGGACATTTTGAAAATTTTGGCTGGCTACTTTGTCAAGCCTGCAACCACCAACAAATCCCGGGCTGCTATCGGAGTATGCTATGGTAAACTTTTCCGCCGACTCGGAGAGAAGACCGTGCAGGCCAATTATCTTGGCATAGTAGAAAGCTTGACCGTTGATATCCTCGGCCACGCAACCATTAGCAACAATCGCTATCGCTTGCTCGTTTCACGAAAGATTGTTGATACCATCATTCAGGATATCATTGGGCGCAAGATCCTGGGAGAATCTGGCCAAAAATCTGCCGCAGAATCTCTGATCAGCGGCGTTTTGAAAAATTACCCTCAAGCTCTGGCTGAAAAGCCAGAGCCTCAAAAGCAAACTCTCATTGCTGCGCTGAATGGCGTTGCATCGCTATTAAAGTCACTTGGATCTGCTGCAAACAGCTTCGCAGAGCCTTGCCGAGATGGGCTATTGCAAGTGCTGCAGCATCCCAGCTATTCTGTGCAAGTATTTGCTTCGAATTGCATGAAGACTTTTGTTCTCGCATGCCCTCAGCAGCTGCTGCCGTGTCTTTCGGTATGCATGAACAGCCTCAGCCGTGAACTGTCTCTGCTGGGGACTGGACGCAACTCTCCCAGGCGATGTATCGGGTTCGCACACGGTCTGGCTGCTACTCTAAGCGCCAGCCCCTCTCGCCCACTGCATGGCTCTCTTGACGTAGACAGCCGAGTTTTGACAATGGCAACAAACTTGCTCAAATCCAGCAGTCAGTCTGAGCTCCGGGTCTCGAGCACCCAAATCCAAGTCGCTTGGATTCTCATCGGCGGCCTCATGTCTTTGGGTCCAAATTTCGTCAAGATCCATTTGTCGCAGCTGCTCTTGCTTTGGAAGAATGCGCTGCCAAAGCCTCTAGCCAAGGATAATACTTCAGCCAGGAGCCTTCTCGAGGCGTCGTTTCTTACTCATGTGAGAGAATGCGCCCTGGGCTCCATTCTAGCTTTCCTTCAATTCAACAACCGGCTCCTTACGGTTGACGTCTCCAAACGTATAGCGGCAATGCTCCAAAGTACAACAGCCTTTTTAAAGACACTGCCATCAAAGAAGATAACTGAGGACATTTCTCAGAGACTTACTCCTGCTCTTCAGTTACAAGACCTTGATAGGATGGTGCAGCGTAGAGTCTTGCAGTGTTATATCAAATTAGTGAATTTGAGCCCTGCGGGTGGAAGCGAAGCCCTTTTGCAGTCAAATCTGCTCACTCTTGCGATATCGCTCTTTGCGGATCCTGACAACTACACGCCCAACTCTTTGAGTGCGTCGATTGCGAATGCTGCTGGCACTTTTGAGTCGGTTTGGGATGTTGGCGACAACACTGGCTTTGGAATAACCGGTATCGTATCAGGTTTCAATGTCAAGTCGCTCCCAGGCCAAAATGAGAACGCTATTCAGGAAGATAAGACCCGGCAAAATGATGCGGAGGCTTTTATCGATAGTCTCTTGCAGTCGCCGGTCTGCGGCAGTCTGGAGCATGATGCGTCCATGCTCTATATCGGCGACGTGGATGACGGATCTACAGATCCTGATCCCCCCGCCACTGAGGTCATCAACAGCGCCATTCAGCTCTTCGCTTTTGCGTTCCCATTGACTCCAGCCAAGGTCCAAGAAAGTATTCTGGAGCAAATCAGAACTTTTGCATCGGCAGGTTCTCTCCAGCGAGACCCTGGACGCAAAGCAGCCATCAATGTCAATCTTGCAACAGCAGTTCTCTGTACGATGAGGGTTGCCGTCAAAGAGACTAGCTCTCCATCCGGAGATATTGCTAATATCGCCGTGGAGCGGTTACTGCAGGATATCGTTAGAGATTTTGTTCTTGATCCCGACCAATATGTTCGGAGTCTTGGCTATGCTGCCGTTGCGAGGCTATGCAACGTGTACGGTAACGCATTTACAAATCAAGAGATCAAATACCTTGTTGACACCATTGTTGGAAATCGAGAACCTAGTGCAAGAGCGGGTTGCGCAATGGCCCTGGGTGCTATCCAGACCAAGGTAGGCGGTATGGCTGCCGGCTACCATCTGAAAACTATACTCGGTATCCTGATGTCGCTTTGCAATGATCCTCATCCCGTGGTTCATTACTGGGCCCTCGAAGCATTGTCCCTTGCGTCAGACGCTGCTGGTTTGAGCTTTGCCACCTACGTGCCAAGCACTTTGGGTATGCTCGCGCAGCTCTACGTTTCTGAAACACATCATTCTGAGATATCCTCGGCCATTACGATGAACTTTGAAATGGAACTCTCGACAACAGCAGCC